TGGAGGTGTACAGAGTCGGAGAGTTGACGGCGGTGAAGAACCAGAAAGCACCAATGTGGATAACCCAGATGCGGTTGAAGTTGACAATAAGATGGAACCATGAGCGAGACTCCTTGTAGGTCTTGAAGAACACCTTGTTCCAGTTGACCTCCGTGAGCTTCAAGTAGCGCTCAGCAGGAGGAAAGTCAACCATTCGGCTCTTGTCTTCCATTATGATCCGCTCAATTCCCTCTGGGTACCAAAAGAGCTGGTTACAGTCATCATATCCGATGACCTGGGCATGGTCCCTTTCGCGGCGAATGTACTTTCCATCCACGATCTCGTATCCCTGGTCTCTGCAGTATTGGTACAGTGGGGTGATAACGTTGTTGAGGTACGTGAACTCATCCACCGGCTCAACAAGGTTCTGGCACGCAGGCGAGTTCAAGTAGTCGTCGGCGCACTTGAAGATGAAGCACAGGCACTCGGGCATGAAGCGGACTTGGTTTGCCTCACCCCAACAGAGGAGGTAGAGAGCCACTTGTCGCACACGATCATGCTGAGACATGCGGTTCATCCGCGTCTTCCAGCGGTACTCGGCAGCCTCGAGACTGTTGTCACCCTCCATTTCCTCCAAGGTCTGCGCCTCGTTTTCGGCTTCGGGGTTGGCATTCTTCTTCTTCGCAGCCTTGCGGGCCTTGCGTGTGCGCCTGTTCGCTTTTCCAAGCTTCATGTTTGCGAAGCCTACCGCATCATCCAGATCCAGGTGAGCAGCGAAATACCACTTCCTGTAGTTGGCATTTTCTCCTCCAATGTAATCGGCGTGAAGGGAGAGTAAGGCTTGGTTGGGAGTCATGCGGGAAGCGCGAGAGTCCAGAAGCGTCATGAAATGGTCGTACATGTTTCTCATGCTGTCACGCTGGAAACCAAACTTTGCCGTCAGGTCAAGGAAAATATCCTCGACCTCCTCCTTCGACAGAGGAATCTGCGCATCTGCAGTCCAGGCTGGGTATGGCTCGCGAGAGCGTTGCCCAGATGGCAGAACGTTGTTGTAGTCCATGCCATAGTTGGGGGTGGAGGCACCTGAAGATCGGTTTCCACCGTAAGAAATCTGCGAGGAAGGTGGGCGGTAGCCTTGGCCTCCCATCTGGCTTTCGTTGTAGCTGTTGTAGCGCTCATCACCACGGCCGTAGTAGTCCATGTCGGTGGCCCGAGCCATGTCAGATCTCATGGTGAAGTCACTGAATGTCTCGGAGTCCTCCTCGGAATCTCCACGCATCTTGCCCTTGGGGTAGTCGCCGCCTTGGCCTTGGGGGTGCTGGCCATTTTGATCGTAATACTGGTCATTGTAGTATCCATCGTTGTACTGGCCATTGTCATGGCCTCCCTCGTAGTACCCACCATCCTGATGGTGCGGGTTGTTGGTATCGGCATTGTAGTAGCCACTGCAGAATAGTTAGCAAAGTATCTGGCGAAAGATGTCGAGGTTTAACTTACGCTTCATCGTAATACCCGTCCTGTCCTTGTTGGTGACCTTGACCATGCTGGCCCTGGTGGCCTTGTTGGTCGTTGTAACCTTGATCGGCGTACCCTCCCGCTCGGTCATCATAGTAACCTTGGTTCTGGTGGTCGTCTTGGTAATAGGAATCAGTGTTTCCTTGGTGGTGAGGATCTTGATGGCCGTAGCCATCGTTATAATGATCCGTCGGATGACCCGACATTTTCGCGTTCAGTAGAGCAGGACAAAACTGTTGGGCGTTGTCAGTATAACAATCCGACGACTTCAGAGCGGCGGAGAGGGCAAGTCGTTCGAGGCGGGCCCGAGAAGGATGGGGATTGGAACGTACATCTTAGTTTGACATTGATAAAGATTCCAAGTTTCCGCTTCGTAATAAAAAGAGAGCAAGCTCGGACTCCCTCGAATAGATGATGTTTCGAAAAGGTTCGGTTGTCCGGAGATTGAGGAAAGAGCGATTGTAGACAGAACGACCAGTCGCGACCGTCAGATTATGGGCAAATATTAAGCGTCAAGGAGAGAAAGTTTGGGAGAACACGATTAGGTGATTCAGTGATTCAGTTTCCTGATGCTGGAAACCGTGATACGTGGGTTGCTCAACTGAAATGTGGTGTTCAGGTACAGGGCGGTCTGTATGGTGGTCGGGGATCGAGGGCGATTATTGGCGTGGAGAGATGAAAGGGAAATCAATCATCAACTTTGTAACGAGAGTGAAGTTGGCGCAGCAATAATCACAGAACGACGACGGTGCAATGGCGATGACGGCCGGAAATGCGACAAAAAAAGGACAACCAGACCACGACCTTTGGGAAGATGTCGAGAGTCTAAAGGTGTCGTGAGGAAAGAAAAGGGAGCAATGGGAGTTTGAGGTCGAAATGTCAGGAGTTTTGCAAGTACAGCGATGCACGGCTGGTTTGTTGGCCTATAGTGGTTTGTAGTGGGGACCAGGCATTCCAAGTTACGACCCCAGCGTAAAGTAGTATGGAAATATGGGAAAAGTACATACAGGACTAGATTAGGAGAGGACTAGGAGTGTGCATTAAGGGGATTATTACAGAGCATTCTACTAGTAAAATATGGTATATTTAAATTTAGAATGCAAGTGTGTGTACTCTATAATGAAGTACTACTGCAGGAAATGGTGTATTGTAATTGTTCCATCCAGGACAGAGGACTCCACTGTTCAACCATATCAGAGGGCTGGGGGGTTGGTGTACTGGGGCTGGGTAAAAAGAAAAGGAAAGGGCTGGGTCCTGGCTGTACACGGCGGTGTTGTACCTACAACAGAATTGTGGAGGAGCTGGAGGTGGAGAGGAGCAAGCATCCACACATCTGACGATACCAGCGATTGCCAGCGATTACCAGCCGTCCATACCAGCGATATCCATATGGTTGGCTTTTCATACAAGAAGAACAGAGATTCCGCCGTGTCGGTGGTGTCTTCATTCTTATAGAAATGCAACGGTATGCAGCTGAGTAGATATCTTCACTACGAATACTACTCTACACGCATCATGGGCATTTCTCCCCAAATAGCTCAGCTCAGCTCAGTTGTCACGGCCGAGCCGAGCCCAATCCCTCTCTAGAGTCTGGTTGCTGGTTGCTGGTTGTCCAGTAGGAGACTATTACCGGTCGCTGTTCCCGGTGTCAACAAAACGGAACCAGAAAACCAGACCGTCACTGCAAACACTACTCTACCCCTAAAAATACCTCGCACAGCAAACTGCATAAAATATCCTCACTACACAGCACACTAAGCATTTTCTTCCACGCTCTTCTCCAGCACTTCCCAATGGGAATCCACAGCGCCTGTGACAGTGACGTCGTGCCTCTTTTCCCACAGCGCGCACTCCGTAGTCGAATGCGGAAAACTTGGAAAAAATACATGCACATCTGGGTTTCTTATCGCCAGCCCCTGAGATCCGCATCGTTCCCCATTCCTATCGGGGTTTAGCGCGGGACACTTGGGACACCTCAAACAGCATCAGGTAAGCGTGAGGCAAGATTTCAGGCAAGTGACCGGCCCCTGTCGAGCGTTTCGCAGTGCTAAACACCCACCACCACACTCGACAACTCGACAGGCTCCTTGCGTTTCTGGTACTACGGCTCGCCCCACCAATAAATCGCCCACTGCGGGTTCCGGAGCTTCCGTGGTACAACTAAACTCGGGACTTTTGCTGTGCTCACTCTAACTCATCATAGCAACAAATCTTCGAAAATACCCTCGTCTACTGCTTTTACAGACTGCTCTACGATGGCCTCCTACCTCTCAACTCCGGTATTTTCCAGGCTTACACCAATGATCTATAATACTCTACTCTGGAAAGATCCAAAGGGTCGAAAATAGGAGTGACGGCATCGTAAAGCTGACCATACATGGTTTACGAGGTACATTCATCCCATGTACACCACACAGAACAGAACAGGTACCTGGATGCCACACACTCAACTTGTCCCGCCCCCCCCCTTCGACAATTTCATTGGCTAATTGACTGCCATAGCCCACTGTGTGCAGGCACAATAGAAGCACTCCGCTGAACCATGCGCAAGAGATGCTCCCGTACCGCTAGATCCAGGAATAATCACCGGAATGGGCCCATGTTTCGGATATTGTTGTTGTTATGTAAATTAGCATCCTGCAAGAGTCGCCACAGTGGTTGGGGGTTTGTTGCCACATGATAGTTAGGGGGAGAAAGGGCCAAAGGGCCTTTCAAGTGGCTGAGGTCTTGGTGCTTGTGTTCAGGGTGAGTGTACATGGTTGGTTTCTGTGTGTTCCCGATGATAGACGTCGGTTGGTGGCTACAAACCAGTCGTGGTCGGACACCAGTGGTTGGTTTCTTCGTCAGAACCTGATAACTGAGGAACCTGAGAATCCTGCTTGGTCGGGCACTGGAACAAATCTGTGAAAGATGGCGGTGTACCGTACAGTTACAGTGCTGCACATACCCCATTGGTCAGCGATGGGCGATGGGCATCTCGAAACAGTGCAATCAACAGCAGTAAGATTACTGTGAGTCCATGGGGCTATGTCCGTGTTGGAGAGCAGTATCACAGTTTGCCCCTGAGCAGCACTCGCTTCACCAATCACGTGCCCAGTCCTGGCCGTTGCCCGTGGGCGATGGGCACAGAACAGAACAGAGACTATCGACACGGTAGAGTGCGGTATGGTGCGGTATAGTGCTCGTACCAATCTTGTTCCTGGGCGTGTTCCAGTAGGGGAGGAGGGGACTTCGTACAGACTCCTTACACCCAATATTGGCTCGTAGCTGATTTATATCAGGATACGAAGCAGGACCCCGAGGCACCCGGCTTTACATATATACTGTCTGGTAAACTCAGCCGCCCACAACCCGCACAACCCGCACCCTGATGATGCCGCATTTCTTGCCTCATACTGTGCATTTCTCCGCAAAGATTCTCAGAATGAAAGCCCGTAAAGACATTTCGACGCGCGTATTGCATGTGCCCAGCGTGTGCCCAGCGTGTGCCCAGCGCAAATGGGAGACATCACAATGCAAACTTTCTCCGCAATCTCGTACTATAGTACCAGCACAGTGACTCTAGTTCATCTTGGATTTGCACAGCCCACCTGCTCCGAGGGACCGCTGCCGTTGCCGTTCAAGCCCTAAAGTGTGCTCGTCACTGCTTTTTACTACTTTCGTCCTCGGCGTTAATCCGCTTGTACCCAAAACTTCGATTAACCCCTTGAACCACCCTGCTCCAGTCACCCACAGCCAATCCCTTCTCACTACCAAGGCCCATCCAAGGCCCCTCCAAGTCCCCTCTCCCCCAATCCCCCAAGGCTCCTAAGAGACCCTAAGGTCCATCTGAGGTAGTACCGCCAATGCCCCCTGACGCCCCAAGATTGATTGATCTGGGTAGAGATATGAAGCATCGTCGGACCGCCTTTGTTTGATCTTGCTCGTATTTCCCTCCTCTTGTCTCTGTATTCATCTTCCTGCCGTTCGCACCTTCCTTTCTGTGCGAATTGCTGCGTCTTTTTTCTCTCAGTCGCGCCTTCTCGACACTCTTTTAACAACTATTAAACTACTTACCTTTGGGTTTCTTTCGTTAACTTAACAATTGATCGTCCAATTGACTAAACGGCTCCAACTATCTTTCCAAGTATCGCAATCATCATCAACAGACCCAGTTCTTACGATTCCGATCTTCAGAGAGAGTTTACAAGATCATCATGAAGTCCTACAGTCTTGCGTCTGCTGCGGCTACAGCATTCGCTGGAGCTGCCCTGCTTGTCTCATCTGTCAAGGCGGATGTGGACCCCATCGTGATCAAGGTTTGTTAATGTCTACCCCAACCTCGCATTGAGCTTCCCCTCACATATCCCAGGGCTCCCACTTCTTCTACAAGACGAACGGCACCGAATTCTTCATTAAGGGTATCGCATACCAGCAAGAGGCAGCCGCCAACGGCACCGCGTCCACCTCGATCGATTTCACCGACCCTCTGGCTGATGAGGCCAGCTGCGCTCGCGATGTGCCATTGTTGGCTGAGCTCGGCACCAACGTTGTCCGCGTCTACGCGATTGACCCCACTAAGGACCACAAGAAGTGCATGACTCTCCTCGAGGAGGCCGGCATCTACGTTATCCAGGATCTTTCCAACCCCCAGAACTCCATCATTCGCGACCAGCCGGAATGGACCACCTCCATCTTCGCGGGCTATGCCGCTGTCATCGACGAGATGGCCCAATTCACCAACACCCTAGGCTTCTTTGCTGGTAACGAAGTCTCCAACCAGGCTAACAACACCGACGCCAGTGCTTTCGTCAAGGCCTCCGTTCGTGATTCCAAGGCTTACATCAAGGCCAAGGGTTACAGAGCTATCGGTGTCGGTTACGCTACCAACGATGATGCTGAGATCCGTGACGATCTTGCTGATTACTTCAACTGCGGAAAGGCCGAGGAGTCCATCGACTTCTGGGGTTACAACATCTACTCTTGGTGCGGAAAGTCTACCTTCCAGAAGTCCGGATATGATGTCAGGACCAAGGAGTTCGAGACCTACAACGTTCCCGCTTTCTTCGCTGAGTACGGTTGCAACGAGCCATCTCCCCGTGTCTTCACTGAGGTTGAGGCTATCTACGGTCCCCAGATGACTGGTGTCTGGTCCGGTGGTATCGTCTACATGTACTTCCAGGAGGCCAACAACTACGGTAAGTCCCTCGCCGAGCTATATTATCTCAGAATATCGTCTAACAGCGCACAGGTCTCGTCCAGGTCAAGGACAACGCCGTCTCCAAGCTCGCTGATTTCAAGGTCCTCGCCAGCCAGGTTGCCAAGGTCTCTCCCAGCGGCGTCTCCATGGCTTCCTACACCCCCACCAACACTGCTGCCCGCACCTGCCCATCTGTCAACGCCGGCTGGGCCGCCAGCAGCACCCTCCCCCCGGCAGCCAACTCCCAGGTCTGCGACTGCATGGTCAAGTCCCTCAGCTGCAAGGCCAAGTCCGGCATGAAGGGCAAGGACATCGCCACTCAATTCGACTACGTCTGCGGTAACGACGCTGCCGCCTGCGCCGGCATCAACGCCAACGCCACCACCGGCAAGTACGGCGCCTACTCCATGTGCACGTCCGAGCAGAAGCTCTCCTTCGCCTTCGACCAGTACTACCAGTCCCAAGGCAGCAAGGCCACCGCCTGCGACTTCAGCGGCACCGCCGAGATCCAGGCTGGCTCCACCGCCAGTGAGTGCACCACGCTCCTCGCGGCTGCTGGCAAGGATGGCTCCGGAACCGTCGGCTCTGTCGGCACTAGCACTGGCGGCAGCGCCTCGGAGACCTCTACGAACGCTGCTGCTGGCTCCATGGTCCCGCGCTTCGAGATGGGTGCTCTGTCCATGGGCTCGTACGTCTTCGCTACCGTGCTTGCGGGTATGGGTATGATTCTTCTGTAAACCAAAAATCAAGAAACCAAGAAACGCAATAATCCAAATTCAAAGTTTTGGGGGGCGCTTATTATCCATAGTCGTGGTGTGTGTGTTTTTTTTTATGTTTATACCTGAGTAGTTGTAGTGAGGGAGGGAGGGGACCATGTTTTTATTTTTATGATTCTTTTGGAGCATTCATTGCTGGTGGATGATGGGGTGCGAGTTTCAATCAAAGATATCTTTTGAGTTTGGCTTGGCATGAGGTTGGATAGTGGTGGATAGAGGGGGGTGTGTGTAGTAGTGTATTGGGAAGTAATTCGTGCTTAATTAGATGGTTTGTGCACGTATTTTTTGACTTGGCTATGCTGTGTGTGATTGTGCTGTCTGTATATGTATTAAGTTATGTGGTTTATTCCTCTGTTCCCCTAAAGCACTGGTCTTGTAGCTGGCTTATCGGTTTTGGATAGCTTCGGATAGCTTATCACCACTCGTTGCCCCACCAACATACGTACCCGTAAACACTAATCGATCGACGACGACGACGACGACGACGAAGGTCTCGAGAAATTCAATCAGCGACCCTTATACGACACCGACAATCTGTATTTCTAGGCAGCAGGGCAGAGCAGAACAGCACGCGGACTGCTGCGAGGCAATTAATACACCCGACTGGAACTGGCGAATAGGAACAACATGGCGCGCCGCGCGATAGTGATCGAAGACAGCGAGGACGAACTACCTGAGCTGGGGACGATTTTTAAGGCTAAGGAGCTTAAGACTATAGGAGATGGGGCGAAAAAAACAGAGTCGAAGAAGGGGACGATGAGGAGGAGGGTGTTGAATGGGGTGTCTGATAATCCGCTTTTGAGACCGCTGGGGAAAGAGTTGGGAAGGGAGAAAGATGGGAGGGTGAGAGGGAAGGGGAGGGCGGCTTCATCGGCGCTGGTATCTGCTTCCGCTTCTGGGGGCGTGGGCGTGAGTGTTGTGGAACCCGCGAAGGAGGAGGCGACACAGAGGAGGGCGAGGAAGATGGGGAGGACCGCGGTGGGGGACCAGAAGAAGGCGGAGATACTGGAATGCTTGGAGAGCTTAAGTGATAGCTTTGATAAAGGGGTGAATGGAATTGGGAAGGGCATGGATATGATTGAGGGAATCAATGAGGAGATTAAGATGCCTCGTGGGACGGGGAAAGCCGCAGTTGAGCAGGCACTGGACGATGATGTGGAAGTAGGCAAGGTGGCGGAGGATTTGGAAGGGCTGCAACTGGAGGAGGAAGAAGATGTTGCGAAGCCGAAACCGCGCAGAGGGAGGGTGGTGAAACCTGTTGCTGCTATACAGGCCGAGACGGAAGAAGAGGAAGACGATTCGCCAGTTCTTGATATGAGGTCGAGGAGGGTGAGGACGGGCAAGCCTGCTGCTATCGTACGGGCTAAGACCCCGGAGGAGGAAGATGATTCGCTTGTTGAGGATGAGGAGGACGACATGTCTGATTTTATCGTGAGCGATGATTCTTCGATAGAGGAGCTTGAGGAGGAGGAAGATGATCTCAGTCCGGTGCCAGCACCAAAGTCTGTGAGAAAATTGGTGCGAGGAAGGCGACCAGATACATCGTCGCAACCGGAGGCGCCAAAAGTAAAGGAAACCCAAGCTTTACATCTCGATTGGAGCGATGACGATACTAAGGAGGAGAGTGTGGTGCCACGTCCAGTCACAAGACGTCTATTCCCCACACAGAAAGACCAAGACACGACTGGAAACTCCGAGGAAGAATGTCCCATCCTCACCTACGACCCACCAACCAGCAAAGCAAGCCGCAAACCCGCAAAGAAAACAATCTTCACAACCCCCCCACCAAGCCCAAAAAAGACCCTCGTCTCGCCCAAAAAGGCTCCCAGAATCCCCACCGCCACACACAGCCCCAGCACAGACGACTTCTGGAAAGCCGACGTAGTCAACGACTGGAACGACGAGTTCTCCCCCCAGAAACCCCTTCGGTCCCTCAATCTCGTCCCAACCCCCGAAGACCTCACCGGGTCCCCCCGAAAAGCTCCCGCCGCGAAGAAAGACAAAGCGCTCATAGAACGAAAGAAGTTGTTCAACGAGAACAAACACGCCATCGCGCTCTCCTTCCTCCGCGAACTCGACTCGGAAATCACAGACGGCAAAGTCTCCGCCCTCGCCGCCAGCACGGGCGGAATATCCATCATCTGGTCCAAGAAACTCAACACCACCGCCGGGCGCGCAAACTGGAAGCGCGAAGCCATCCGCTCTCGTCCCCTCTCCCCCAACCTCCCCCCCACCACCACCTACCGTCACCACGCCTCCATCGAGCTCGCCGAAAAAGTAATCGACGACGAAGACCGCCTCCTCAACGTCGTAGCGCACGAGTTCTGCCACCTCGCGAACTTCATGGTCAGCGGCGTGACGAATAACCCGCACGGGAAGGAGTTTAAGGCGTGGGCTTCACGGTGTTCGGCCAGGTTTGGGGGGAGGGGGATTGAGGTTACCACGAAGCATAGTTATGAGATTGCGTTTAAGTATGTGTGGCGGTGCTGCGAGGTGGGGTGTGGGTTGGAGTTTAAGAGGCATAGTAAGAGTATTGACCCGAAACGGCATAGTTGTGGGCTTTGTAAGGGGAGGTTGGTGCAGACAAGGCCGGTGCCGAGGGCGGGCGCGGGGGAGGGGGTGGAGAAGGTGATGGGGGAGTATCAGGCGTATGTTAAGGAGAATATTGGGAGGGTTAGAAGGGAGAATTTGGGGAGCCCGCAGAAGGATATTATGGCGCTTGTGGGGAGGGGGTATAGGGAGTTGAAGGCGGAGAGGTTGAAGGGGTTGGGGCAGAGTGGGTTGTCGGTTGAGAGTGTGGTGGAGGACGATTCGGTGGATTTGATTGTGAAGAAGATTGACTTTCTGGATCTCACGACCCCGTAGGAGGGTAGCTTGGGTGCGGCGGAGGTCTCGCTTTAAGCGTGGTTATATATCTATCTACCTAATTGAAAGCCGTAGAGCTTGTCATAATTGTTCATGAAGTTAACTCGGGGGATATTCATCTTCAAAGTCATGTACCTTCTCATCCCACCCTTTCCCAATCCTTCTGCCACTTCCACAACCTTCCGTCAAGCATACTTGCTTATATCATTCAAAACCACAACCTCGCCACCCCCCGCATCCCTCCCCCCCCTTCCTATCCTTCTGCCATTTCCATAGCCTTCCCTCAAGCATACTTGCTTATATCATTCAAATCTCCAATCTCCCGCCCTCCTCCTCGCATCCTCTCCCTACCTCCCAACCACCACACACCTAAGCCTCATCAAAAAGCCCCCAATCCCTAATCTTTAAGCTCTCCCAAATCACCGACGCATACTCAACTGCATTACTAATCAGCTTCCCCTGCCTCCCCAACTCCAGATCCACATCCTCCTCCGAATACTCCCCCTTGATATGCGGCACATTAATCGTAATCAGCACATCCGTCTTCTCCCTCTCCAGACGGATCAGATTCAGCACAATGGCTGTGAAATCCGGCGCCGGGTTGCGCGCTTCTGGGTCTGGCCGCGGGGTTTGCGTCGCGATCAGGGTGTAGGCTGGGGTGTCGGGTCTGTTCATCTCAGTTAGTTAATCAGTCTGTCTGTTGGTCTCTGGGCACGTGATTGCGGGGTAGTTAGACGCAGAGAGAGGCCTATGGTGGGGGAAGTAAGGCAGGGCGCAAGAGACATACGGTAGGTTGGAGAACTGCGTATCAGTCGTGCTCCAGACTTTGAGCAGATCAGAGTCGGAATCGACAATGTCCTCGAGGTGGATGGTCAGCGCAGCGCCATCGGTGGCGTCAGTGCTGCCAGCGGGGCCGACGCGCTCGGTGATGTCGAAGATGATGCTTGTGAATCCCTCTTTGTCCAGGTAGACTTCTTGGTTATCGGGGACTTGACGGATCGTGCTAGGGGAGTTAGATGGGGTGCGATAGAGTCGGGAGGAGAGGGGGGAGGGTGAAGCACCTGACGTCTGCGAAGGTGGTGGGGAGCTCTGCTGTGAGTGCCCCGCCAAAGAGAGGTGTTTTTCGGTATGAGGGCATGATGGAGAGTTTGTGCGCTGTGGGAGAGGCTTGGGTTGTAGTTCGTCGGTTTATGTGTCTGTGGTATGAGGTTTTGATGTTTATGTTGCTGCTTAAGGTTGATAGGCCTTGGTAGATGATATGCTGGCTGATGTGCTGGTGTTTCAATTTATTGGCTGCCTACTATAATTGCCTCGCTTCAAGCTGAATGATTGGCGGATGGCATGATCGTCATGGTGGAGGGGCGAATTCAAGATTCTGGAAAACTGGTGATACATGCTTTAAATAAGTACGATATTCATATATTTATTATTTACTACTGTGAATATATTATTTCTTGAATCAAGACGAGCTGGTGAGCAACCTCCAGGCCACACAAAACACTGTAGTATCTACGCTTTACTCCCCTTCGGGTGGTTTTAACCCTGGCTTGTAGGAGGTGGATCCATAAACCATAGTGGATAAACACTATTTCTCTACCTGGAAAGGAAACTACGACTCTGGTGCCTTATCAATTCTTATCGCCGTCGTGGCCAAGGTCGATGAATATCAACATGAAAACCACCCATACCTAAGGGTCCATTGTGCCAAAAATACAAACTCGAACCCACCATCTCCATAGGCGAGAAATCCAGCAAAAAAATCATTTTTTTGAGCTATTCAGACCATTCTTGACCCATGAGGTATGTAAAATGAAGCTTAAAACGGCAAAAAAGTATTTGATCTGAACGTATCAGAAGTTTGATTCCAAAGATTTGATGAATGGAGTATTATGGACATGAGCCACGGTCATCTCTGGTAAAAGGCTGTAGGGATAATTAGTATGGGTTGCGCGGAGTCACGTGATATTTAAATCAGGAGCGCTTACCAAGAAATGAATGCACTAGCTTGTTCCACTCCATAACTTACGCGGAGCTATTGGGGTATATGAGGGTAGATGGGTAAAGACAGAAATTAAATATTTATATTTCCTACTTTCTCACAACAACCAGGGGAATTCAACTATACTAAAGGCCTTACACAGTGACAAGTATCAACACTTTCAAATTTGAGTTAAAACGTACTATAGGATCTTTTTTTACATAATTTCCAGAGCAGCGGGTTACAATAGTGATAACTCAGCGAAAGAATTGGTCAATTCATGGCCTTCAGGTTATTACTTTAGCATAGTCACGATGGGAACTCAGCAAAAGAGTGGCACGCTTCTTGAGCTTCAGATAATTATAGACTCAGTAGACTCATTAAATTACATCGCTCAGTAGCTAATCCGCTCAGTAGCTAATCGTATAACAACACAAACCGCTAATCAAACATATATGCAAGCATATGCAACCACCAAGCCCGACAATGATATGTAACGCCACCCAACCAGACCCCCTCCTATCTCGGCGAAGATTTGCTGTACAGTATATACTGTCAAATGTCCTATCATACCCATCATATCCATTATATACCATCGGCTCGTCAATCTTACACCATCGTTCCTCTATCGATCAATCGATCTCCCAGCTGTCGCCAAACCCACCTGGCGGGCCCCTAACAGCCCTATGCCTCACCATCTGACTGCTCACCGGCGTCTTCGTCCCATAATCATCCACATCCGCATCATCCCACTGATCACACATGAAATCGCCATCCCCATAATCCCACTGTCCAACAACCTCCTCCCCTCCCTCATCAACCCCGAAGACAGCACCGCGCCACTGCCCGGCTTTGATCTTCGCCGCAATCTCAACCATTATCTGTATAAGATGGCTTGGTGGACTCAGGAGGATCTCCCATGTCTTCTGGATGATGGCGGTGGGGAGATGCCGTGCGGTTCTCAGGTGCCGGGCTCGCGACAGAGATGGGGAGAAGAGATTTGCTGGAGACGGGAGGGGCGAGAGTGCTCGTCTGCGGGATGAGCGCTCGCTGACTGACCTATGTTTGCGTGTATCTGCGACTACCACTTCCGCTGATGGTGAAGCGTCCTCGTAGACCTCCTCCTCATCGTCGTCCTCCTGAATCTTACGGGCCGGAGTCGGTGTTGTTGGTGACGGTGGCGACGACTGTAGTAGAGAGCCACTCAATTTGGTTTCTGGGGTATCAACCATTGTCCAGACGCCCGGGGTAGTAGGGGTTTCTGAGCTGGGGCTAATTGCTAATTCTGAGACATTTTGCGGCTCGAGGGTTCGCTTCGGAAGCTTTATATTATCGTGTGGGTAAGGAAACGTAGTTGGTGTAGAGGGTCTCGAGTCGGACGAATCTGGAAACATTGGTGTAATGGGGCTGTGCCATGACTGCACCGTGTGGAAAGAGTCCTGGCTCGAGGAGAAGTTGGATAACGTTGAGTCCTCGGACTTTCTACCAACTGGCGAGCCAAGAGATAGACCCTTTGTGTTTTTGGAAGGGGGGGAAGTCATCAGCGTCAGTTGTGGAGGTGCTGTCACTGACCGTCCAGTGTCTAGGACTTCTGGCCGGGTCAAGAGTTCCTGTTTAAATATATGTGGAATAGGGGCCCGAGGAAAGTAATTCCGAGGCGTGATGTTTGTATCATCAGTTGCATCGCTGTCGCTGTCCATCTCAGGAACTGCAGGGTGGTCATCTGAGGAAGCAGCGGCATAGTAATCCTCAGTTTTCCTAGATTTCGGAGATACGTCCACAGGCGTCTCGGTGTTGACAGATTTGGTGTCTACATTGGCGGAGCTCGGTCGCTCCACAGGTTTCCACGGCTTCTTCTTGACAGGTGTTTGGGGCGGTTCAGGAAGCTCAATGTGAAAGCTCCTGCTAAATGGGCAGGGCGTCTTCTCAAATAACAAGATTTGGCTCAACACATCCTTGAGCTCTTGTGATTTCGCCTTGTGATTCGGGTCATCCAGTGGGACCTCAATGCGCCAGAATTGAGGCCGCCTGATCTGCAGGATAAATTTGGTTGCATCGTCGTCCACACACCAGCACCTGGATTTCGGTAGCACTGGTTGTATAACACTGCTGCAGTTTATGAATGCAACTGAGCCGGGGGCTCTGTAGATGCGGAGAGGGCCTGCATATACCAATCGTTAGAAAACAATAAAAAACGCAGACGTTTGTTGTTTTATGACTTGTCACTTACCAACTGCAATGGTTCTCTCGAAGGTAGAAGACCATGGTAAAGTCCCAACCTCTTCCTCAACGTCGGCTAGGTTCGGAGTGTTTAGACTTGATCGTCTCTGGAAGGCAGAGGAGGAGCCGAAGGATTCGAAAGACACAATCCGCACCGACGGGTGTATATACAGACTTTCGATAGATTCCGAAGACGCTGGCTTCTCGCGTGGTGTCCAGCTACTCGAAGTGGAGGGTCGTAGAGGCAGCGTAACTGCGCGCTTCATCATCGACTGCGTCGGAAGCGACGACGGGAGTTCTTGCGCCATATTGATATGTGAGAAGCCTGTATTACCTACAGGCTTTCATCCCATCTCATGCGGCGAGGCTACTCGTGTATAAAGTTCGTATGGCGGCGCATCGGATTCGCGGAGGAAGTCGAGTTGTTTTGTTCGACCTGGGAGATTGTTGCATATATTGGGTAGATCCCTAGTGGAGACTCGGTGACACTCCTCTTTCTGGGGGAGGTCATTAATGAGAAGCTATCACAAAAAAATGTGTCGCAGAGTCACTGTCTCACAACATACTGGTACTGGTAACTGTGAAGATAGGGCGCGGCTGGGGATCTCTAGCGTCCCGGCCCCTTGACGGCGATGACGATCCGGTGCCGCAAGCTCCACAACTAGCGAGGCTGGGAAACAGGGCCATATCTACCCCACGTAATATCTTATAGTCGCGTGCAACACAACATAACCTCACCACCACAATGTCGGAACGAAGAGGAAAAGTCCAGATGCCGCTGGTAACCCCAGAGCAAGAAGAGAAACTCAAGAAGAAGCTCGAAATTAAGAACTTCGATCTCAATGCCATACTGCGAGGTGCACAACTGACAGTCGTCGGAGGTATGGGTTCCTCTATACCAGTCTTTCAATTATAATATCTGACCGAGACAAGCCCTACGAGCGTTACAGAACCCGGCTCTCTTCACCTCCGAGCATTATAAGCAAGCAGCTCTAGCTGTCGCAGCTGGAATTGCTATCCGAATCCTAATAGCAATACCAGTATGCCTATTCAAGCTTATAGGCGATGACGCAAGGCTGACTATTTCTCCAGATCGTCGGAATCAAAGTATTACTATGGTTCCTATCATTCTTCATAAACTTCGACGCCGTATCATGGGATGACAACCTCGTCAGCGGCCTGGACTTCATCCAGAACTACGTCCTCCAGGTCCCCTTCTTCCTCATGACCCTGATGCGCTACATAACCCCCACCCTGGACAACATGTTCATGGACTCCCTCCGCTGGGTCGACTCCACCTACCAACAAAAGCACAAGGACGATGACCCTTCCCAGCTCCGTCCCCCATATTACCCGAACATGAGCCTCTACTCCACCAGAGACGGCAGCACGCACAGCAAATCCACCGCCGAAGCGCTAACCCGCCTATTCATCCGCCGCGGCAAAAAGGCAGGCATCTCCCTCGTCATCTTCGCCTTATCATACACCCCCTATGTAGGCCGCCTCGTCCTCCCCGCCGCGAGTTTCTACACCTTCAACGCCTCAGTCGGTCTCGGCCCCGCGCTCCTCATCTTCGGGAGCGGCATCTTCCTGCCCCGCCGCTACCTCGTCATTTTCTTGCAGTCATACTTCACCTCACGCAGCTTGACGCGCGAGCTGCTCGAGCCGTATTTTAGCCGTATCCAGTTCACGGCTGCGCAGAAGAAGCGGTGGTTTCATGACCGCTCGGGACTGCTGTTTGGGTTTGGCGTTGGGTTTTACATATTCCTCCGTATCCCGCTGTTGGGCGTACTCATCTATGGCATTGCCGAGGCGTCGACGGCGTATCTGATTACGAAGATTACGGATCCGCCGCCGCCGCCTGCGCAGAGTGTGGGGTTTGCGGAGAGTCAGCAGAGGTGGACGAATAAGCATGAGTTTCTGAGTTTGGATTGGGCGAACTTGGATTCTCATGCTGGGCATGTGAAGAGTGGGCAGGGAGAGGGTGCCACGGATGCTTATTATGAGAAGAGGGAGCTGTGAGGTAGGAGTTGGTAGGGGACGGGAAGAAATGAAGATTGGAAACGATAGAATGTAAAATTGTGATTTATAACGACAATATGAATATTAAATAAAACCTACATAAAATGAGCATATACGACCCTTAGGGTACACGAAGTTATAGAAGGGTCCTCGCCTCGTCACAGAACAGAAGTGATATCACAAGTTAAAAAAAGTCCGCCTGACGCCATATAGCTTCATATATAACAGTAAATCCATGGCAGATAATGGCAATGCCTCATCCAGATCTAAAACCGATTTAAAACCCCCTCACCTTCCAAACGCCCAATTCGCCCCCTCCCACCCCAACTCCCTGTCCCCCCCCCCTTCACGACTTCTGCTCAACCATATCATAATGCCCCGTCTCCTGCGCATGCCCCGCCGCCATCGCCTCCCCATACCCGACCCACCCACAACTCGTACACCTAATCGCCATCTCCCCCACATTCGTGAAATAATGCTTCCCCTGCAGCACCTTGCATAATTGCTGGGCTTTAATCAGTATATCGTCGTCGTACGAGTCCCACACCCGCTTGTCGAGCTCGGGAGGGTTATCGGCGATGGTGTGCGGGGGGTCGGAGGGGGATTGAACGATCGTGTCGTAGTGGATGCCCGAGTAGACGAGGATGCAGCGGATGGGGGAGCCTTCGTTGAAGCGGTCTATGCGGAGGGTCTGAGGGGGTGTTAGTTAACTTGTATTGCCTCTGGGACCTAAGGCGGCGGGGGAAGCAGGGAGGGCGTACCTGGACATCTATACTGCACACCTCGATCTTAAAATGCTTCGACAGAATAGCCAACTCGATCGCCCCGCCCCACGCATCCTCCGTCTGGATCCAACGACAGTAATCGTCCGGCGTCCGGTTGTCGAGGACCACTTTGGTATACACATCCGGCTCCTCCTGTATCTGTGACGCTACAAGCGACCTTAATTCTAACATCGAGAGGTCATCCCCTGGCAATACCGCGGCGGCGAAGGCGCGGAAGAGACAGCTGTTATCGTCGGGCATTACCCGCATCACTGTCGCACCCTCGTCAGTGCTTGCTCCGGGGGAAACTGGAAGAAGAAGAATAAAAAGCACCTACCTAAAGTCGCGCCGCGATCCGGCAAAGGGAGCTCGGGTGTGTCCTCGGCCATCGTTCTTACTGTGTCGTGTTGTGCTGTGGTGGGGTATGGGGTGCGGCGGGATGGCGGGGTGCTACCTTTATAGCTATCTGATTGTCTGGGGAGCTTAGTCAAGCTAGTGGCGTGGCGAATGGGGGGGTGATTGGCGATGGAACTGGAGGGGTGATTGGGGGTCCAGTGGGTTGCGATTCGTTGGATGCCACGTCTATAGGAGAGCTATCATATTATACGGTGTTTGTTTGCTTAATTGTGAGTTGTTGAGGAGGAGGTGATGAGTAGCGAACTTGGGAGATGGGCGGGGTGCTTCGGTTCACAATACTAGGGGACCAGACTAGGATATGAAGCCCAATGGATGGCGTTCCGAGGTTACATTCACTGTCGGGGTATATGCAGGGACGCAAGGGAAGCATAGCAAACATGCTTTAACAATCATTTCATATATTCCAGTCCCTAACCGCTCCTATTGTATTTATTGCTCTCCAACCGGCTTTCTCGTGAGACCCCCCATGGAAGTCAAATACACCACACACTTCTATGTGATATACGGCCTTGTTAAAAAGCCCCCCCCCCCCTTCTCACTCCTCCCCATCCCCTCCGCTCCGGCCATCTACGGCTTCGGGATATGTATAGACTTACTCGTCATCAGACACCCACTAATCACAAACAGCCCCAACACCGGATGAAACTCCATCGCCGACCCTTCCAACACCGTCCCAAACGGCAACTCCCCATGCAGCCACCCCTGTCCCACCCAGTACGCCATCAACCCGACAATCGACAAGGTGGTCGGGATCGGCGTGCCCTCGAAGTACTGGGACTTGCCAGTCGCGTCTTTGGGGACGTTGGCGACGGTGACGTTGAAGCGCGCGAGGCGCGTGAGGCCGCAGAGCACGAAGAAGGCGAGGATGAAGTGGTCGAGGGGGGTGCGGAAGCCGATTGCGAAGGCGGCGGCGGCGGGGGCGACGCCGAAGGATATCTATTTCGTTTATAGTCAGCATGGTATTCCACCGTCATTCACCCAACTTCCCACAACCGGATATGCGAAGTAAGGGTATAAGAGGACAACCCACCAAATCAGCCAAAGAATCCAACTCCTGCCCCATCAAACTACTCTTCCTCCTCCACCTCGCGACCTTCCCATCAAAGAAGTCGAAAAACAAGCCCAGCGGCATCAGCGCCAGCGCAGCCCACAGATTCCCCAGCTCGCCGGGAGAACCGGCCATGTACCGCATGGAGGAGAAGATGGACATGACGCCGCACATGCCGTTGAGCTCGGTGATTAGATCGGCGAGGTGCAGGGCGCGGACGAGGCTGAAGTGGCCGGTTTCTGAGCTGAGGAGGGTCGTTTGCTTGTCGACTACTGGGAGGGGGGGTTAGCTGGTGGAGGGCGAGGGAGGTGGAGGGGATTGAGGATGAGCTGAGAGAGGGAAAATGAGCTCACCATCTTCAGTTTTCGCAGCCTTCGCGCCAGCAGAGGTGCGTTTCGACATATCGTCTTCTTTCTGTCGTCTCGTCCCAACCTTTCCCTTTCGTCACTCTGTAGCAAAAACAACAGCAAACTACCCTTCGTAAGAAAAAAAAGTCCCGTCGCAAATAAATGAATTGAAAAGCTGAAGCAGAAATTCTATAATCGTGATGTGTTGATTCTAACGTACGTTATTGTCAACGTTACTCGTTGCAGCAACCTCAACAAGAAAGCGAGCGCCGCAAAATCTTGGCCTAGCCGCGATTTTACCTGGTTGCTGGCCTGCGCGGAGCTCAGCTGCGCCTACTTTCGCTTCGGCCGCTGCTGCGGAACCAACGTCATCCCCTCCCTCTTCCCACTCCCCCATCCGATCCCCCTAGCTCTTCTCACCGCCACGCCATAATAGGGTGTGCTAAGCTCAGACCAAGTCTTGTTTTTGTGCGAATGTCACCCCTAAGACAGGTTTTGGCCCAACAAATGGGCTTTTCACATGGGAAATCTATAGGATGGTAGAACGTCGCTGTCGCCGATCATGTTCTATTAATGTTCACAGCGAAAATAAGAATAAAAAGGGCAATTGAATATGCAAGTATAGACAAAAATTCGTCTTTCGTTTGTTGCCCAGTTTATCTACCCTCACCACCCTCTCATTCAATCCAATCCAATCCAGAATTAAAACCGTTCTATATACCACCCAACATGGAGCCAATCTCCCCCCCCCCCAAAACAGCTCTTTCCCCCTTCCCAATTCCAAAAAACTCCAGCCAGTATGGTATAGCTCATTACCCATTTCATAAACCCATCTTCCTATCCAGTCTAGAGACCCCGTCCAACGAACCAAACCCCCCAACCCGCCGATCGGAGGCGGGTACAATTTATTATACAACGGCATCGACCCTGGATGCCGCTTTGAGATTCGACAAATATGTACGCACCGCACCCATCCCCAAGGCATTTGAAATATCGTTGGGAGCGGTCTGAAACCTTCCTCCTAGCTAGCCATGTGGCTATTCGAGCGCACCTTTCAAGCCAGCCTCATTGTGTCGCTCTGGTCGCTCGTTACCGTAATTACCCTCACCCCTCGTATATACCATCACTTCAGCGCGTGATAATAAGAGACAGCCCATCCATCCACTGTCCACAGGAGCCCGAAATCCCCGCTACCGAGTATCCCCGCGGCGGTATTAAAGTGTGTCTACAACGGATTCGTTAGCTTGCTGCTGATCCCCTAACGTGAGGGAGGGGTAGGGGGGCTGTTATAAAACTTACGCAGATCCACCATGTGCATTGCCATAGATTTCCGATTTACGACCACAGCTAGTTAAGAGTTGGATGCCGTCAATCCAGAAGCCTGAGCGCACGTAGAAACCCAAAATGCATTCTCCTCGGCGAGTATCTGCAGGACAAGAAAAGTCAGTATTACGTCCAAGTTTCACTCAGAAGAACAACATACCAAGGTAAAAATCACTCCCCCCCTCCTTCCCCCCTCTCTTCCCAATAAGTTGAGTCGAAGTATCCTCATAAATAAACTCAATCCCATCCAGCGCAAACCCATGATAAAACTTAATCTGCGTAAGCAGCTTCGTCTGCTTCAGCACGCTATCAAAGATGATCTCCTGCGGCTCCGAGCCCTGCGTCTGCGAACGCCCCAGCTTCGCCCCCCGGAAAGCAACTTGTCCATTCTTCAGCTTCAGCATCGAGGCCTTGGACGCCAGGAGTCCAAAATCTTCTATATCGGTGCTCTCACCGCCGATTGACTTGACAGCCAACCTTATCTTCTTCGATTTCCGGTCATCAGGCAGCCTACCGCGCAGATCCAGTTCTGTAAGCACAACCTGTCGCTGAATAGGGCCGCGGCCGTTCCCATCGCCATATTCGATCCAGTTATGGCAAGTCTCGTCGCCCTCGGTAAATATCTCGATATATGCAACGCCAGAATTCGCGGTAACTAATACGTTGCCGCTGTCTACAGGCCAAGCGTGTATGCTCCTGTCCGCGCACAACTTCGGGTCACTGACTACGCGGAAGCATGGATGATTCCTAAAGCGCAGGCAGTCGAGGCGATGCCATCCGCACTCGTCTTTTGGAAGAACGAGACCACCCTTTTCGTTCGTCCGAACAGAGAACGGCTCCCGGCTGGTGAATGTCCGGTTGAATGTGACGTAGTCTCGTAGCATGACACCGTTCTCCTGATGAGGGCACCCGAATAAGTGGCCTGTCTCGTGGAGGTGCGCGCCAATGCCAATGTTGGCAGCCTCCCAGCTGCTCCCTGACTGATTGGCGTCGTTGGCAACGAAGCTGGTGTCTGTTCGGGTGCAATCTGTGAACGCCGGCACCACTTCTTCAAGGCTGGTGGGATAGGAGTGCAGGGCGTGAGAACCGAAAATTCCCATATGAATCCTGCCATGCGTACCACCAAGCGCTGCATGGCCTGTGACCAGATTCGCGGCTTTATCCCAGTGTGAGTCCAATATCAAAACAGACACATATTGGTGCTGCCCCGGACTAGGCTTGAAGTACTCCTCCACAGCCTCTCCCGCGATCTTGAACAGGTCTCCGCTCATTTTCGCCGTTGGGTTCTGCTGGGCCCTGTCAATTGATCGGATCTCAGCAACCGTTCGAGTACTCCTGATAACATGGATCTTGGCCTCGTTCCTCATAGTGCCGTCCTCACGATCCCGGTAGTTCGCAGTCCCCGTCTGCCATTCCTCTTCGAATCGGAAACAGCGTCGGCCCATCTTATTCCGGAACATTTGCTCTGCGGTAAACGCCTGCCATAAGTACGCCGCCATCCGGAATTTTTTTATAGCGACATCAAGACCGTTACCCTCCTGCTCAATGCGCGCTGGCGTCGAGTCGAAGGTGGCGGGGGAGTCTGCGCCGAGGAGGATTACCAATTGCAATGGGGGCGAGTTTGCCATGGGCATCATGTGGATAGTGATGAATGTTGAGTGTATCGGGTTTGTGGAGTTGCTATTGGCAAGTTTGGGGGAGGAGAAGTCGAAACGCAACTTATTCATACCCGGGGTAAGATATACCAGGGCCTTGAAATGGGACTCTGTCACCGGCCAATTGATGGCGGGAAAGTCATCGTCAAGACGGCTGAGGCTTATGTTCCCCTCAATTGCTGCTGCGTCTGCATCCCCGACAGTGCCATTAATTAAGAGCACCTTCTGATTTACCTGGACAATTGTTAGTATCTGTCAATGGCTTGGGAAATTGATTGGTATTATCATACCCATGCTCCATCTGAGATCGACTGTATGCGTGGTGCATAAGGCGATATAGGCAATGCGCTGTGTACATTCGGTGATCCGAGTCCTGACATTCCAGAGACACTACTATTCCGCTTCCCAGGGCTCGTTGAAGCTGAGACCTGGGGTCGCAAGGGAAGCGACGATTTTGTTTGTGATTGGAAATCGGAATACGAGGCGAGGATTGGGTCTGGCGGTGTCTGCGAGCCCACGGCCGACCCTAGAGTCGACGAGGACTTTGATGTGGGCACTGTTCCATTGCTGAGATTGCTGCTGTCTGTCGACTTCTCGGTGCGGAAGCTGGCCTTGGACCTTCGGCGCAGGTCTTTCAGAAATGAGGGGGCCATTGCATGGCGCGGCGTCTCTCGTCAGTTTCAGCAACTTGTGATAAGCTGCAGCGATCCCTTGTTCTTCCCGTGTGTCGTGAAAGGCTTTGTTTCTAGCAGAGGGAGGTTTGTGATGCAAGAAGCCGTCTCAGTCGGGTTTCAATAAAAGTGCTTTCCCTTGCTTTCCCTTGCTGGGCTTTGTTTGGGTGAGTGACGTGTAAAGGGCAGTGAAATTGCTGGCAACGGCACAGCGTAGTGGGTTGTATGTGAGACAGCTTTCTGCTCGTACCTTTTCGGAGCTACCTATGTTTAGCGATGACGATTGTCACAGTGGAAAACTTGTCCAGACGCAGTTAAGGTTTGGCAAAAGTGGAACTTAAGATTGCGGAAACGATAGATTGGAGGAGGAGAGTGGTCAGAGTGGTTAGAGTGGTTAGAGTGGTTTAGAGTCCGTGAGTATAGGATACGATACCCACGTTCTCATTGGGAGGGAGAAGGGAAGGATAGGAGGCAGTGGCGATGGAGAGCAAGGAGAAAAAAAGAAAGTAGAGTCTACTCAAGAAATATACTCTGACATCATTTACAGTGCATAACAGAACAATGCACGACCTGAGCGGCGGTACATATTCGGAGATATTCATAGAAAAAGGAACCTTGCAAGCCTGGCCGAGTGGGTGGCCGAGCAGGATTCAAACTGGACGTGCACGGCAATATACTGGATACTGGTGGATGCTGGATAATGGAGAACTTGAGTTGAGTAAGTACCGCAGTCAGGTAGTATTGCAATACCCGTATATGCATATCTCCGTATCTGCAAAGATTGATTAACTCTGCCTGCAACATGCCATCCATCATCCTTACTACCCCATCGCCATTCAACACTCAATTGTCCCGTATCCCACGTATTCCACACCTTGGCTCCCACCTTGGCACGGCAGGCGTTAAAATCCAGAGCAGGGAAGGGAGCGTCGACAGAACAAGAGCACGTGCAGGGGCTAGCAAAAGATGGAGCAGGAACAGGATGGGATTTGGGCCAGTGATGGCGAAAGGCCGTGTTCGCCAGCGCCGCCCTGGTGTCCCAAAGCCGGAAGAGGGATCGTCAATGGGCTAAGAGGCGTGTATACTATACCAGCGATACCAGTGATATGAGTTGCTGACGAAATCCCCCCTCGATGGCTTCAGCTTCAGGTCCAGCGTAATTGGCTCAATTGAGAGGCCATCATAGGACAATCGTGACAATCGTGGCCCTGCGTATCTGCAAGCCACCATCCATCCTGTTTATGGTACTTGCTGTCGTTGTCGCCGTCGCTGGCTGTCAATCCACGGCTCGTCGTTCAATCAAACCATCCTTTTGGCGGCAGGCGACACACATCATCCCTGTGTCTGCGCTGTGCTGGGGAGCGAGAGGCAAGGAGCACGGAAGGAGCACCTGCCGGAACAAGACTTGATTAGCATTCGCGATTCTTGGAAAAGTTGGTGGAGCGAGCGAGGATAGCAAGCGTGGAGCTGGTTGTAGCGTGGGCGTGGAGCAGTAGTGGATGGAGCAGCACTGGTGGTGGTGGAGGGGCAAGAAGAGTACAAGCCATACAGGGCTGTAATCACTACTACTACACCGGGTACAGGTACATGTTTGATCGTCGCCGGCGCTTGGTTGAGTTGGTGGACATCTTGTGCATCCATCGTCCTTGGTGTGTGGAGTGGAGGATGGTATGTACAGAGTACTGATAGACGGATAGTATGGCCATGGCTGTTTGCGCGATGCGGCGACCCGTCACTGACCAATTTATAGGTTGTGTAGTACTCTCTACCATGCACCAGTATGGGAGAGCGGCACGAGAGAACCACTTTGCTTGGTAAACTCGTGCTTTGGCGTCACGTTGGCGTTCTCTGTTTGTGCCAAGTGCACTCTACTTATATATGCCGACCCATCGATCCTCGCTGAACATGCGGGAGAGATGCTCATCGGATGCTCATGCTCATCTCATGCTCATCTCATTACCATCCCATCTCTATCTGATCCGCATCTGTACGATGCACACTGCACGCTGCACACTGGACAGAATTGCCGTCCGTCCAATCCTTCAGCCCTGTGAAGCTTACCCAATTCACCCAGGATTGGCCCTTCAGCTCACCTCCTTCCCTCCTCCCTCCCATCATGTCAGCACACCATGAGGACACCTCCCGTGTCTGTGTGTCTGTCTCCCAGACATCCCCGGAGAGTAGATGGAGATGTCTGAGATGTCCCAGATCGATGGGGCAGACAGGCAGACACTACTAACGGCTTGAAGAGAAATCCCAGAGACATTATAGTCCATAGCTAGGCCGAGAGCTCGCTCAATGTTCCAGAGAAGACTCTCTCAAACAGATCCATCACATTGTATGGTCGTGGTGTGAGCAGTGTGAGCAGTGCCGCGCATACCATGGTGTCTAGAATGTCTTATACACAAGTAAGACGGGTCCGACAAACACACATCCCATCTGGCAAACACAGGCAAACACAGGCAAGCATGCATCGAGCTGTTCAGAGATGACAAAGTTGATTGGCCGAGAAGGGGGAATTTGAATTAAAGTAGGTCTGAGAGCGTGGAGCTCCCCTGAATGATAGCCAGGTTGCACGGCAAGGAGACATGTGAGGGTAGGCAAGGTAACCAGATGGCATTCTGAGTAATTATACTGAGCTCCTTAAAGGCCAACGAGCACTTTTTAGAAAAATACTTTTCAGTAAATGCTTCCAGTTGAATAAATTGTGCTGCATTATCATTGCTCTCGTCACTGCCCTGATCATATCCCTCATCACCCCGTCTGTGGCTGGCTGCTTCCTTCTTTTGGATCTGTTGGCTCATTTACTCCTCGCTCCTGGCTGCTTACCGTAACCAAGCTGCTTCGTTTCGTTGGCTGGCCTTACCCGGCACCTGCGTGGTCAATCCTTGCTAAACGAACGGAGCCCAGGAAAAAGAGCCAGGGAAAGAGCCAGGGAGGAAAGGGAACAGACCTAAGCCGTCCAAAGAAACCCCAGACCGTCCGGGCAATTGCAACACCGACCGTACCAGGGCATACCATACCAGCAAAATACCACCACGGACCAGCCAATACCACAGGCTTGCAGCACTCCAACTCCAATCCCTCACGTCGTCTCCTGGCGTGAAACTAATGAGGCACGCAACAACCACCCACTCCCCACTGAAAGTCTGACCTCGCAACCACCCATCGCAACCACCACCCACCACCACTACACACGTCAACCGCCCAACCCCTTCCCACCGCATTGTCGCAGTCAACACATACTCTCGGCCTCATTATACTCTATCTCAAAATACAATACTATTGTAAAACAGAAAGAATACCATCCTCACTCCCTGCCGAACACACAAAACTTCAACAACTACAAACGCAGAAACAATTCTTTGACCTCGATCTCTTTCAGCCCACCACCCTTTCGTGACCCACCTCGAAAACACTGAGCAAAACCCTCCACTTTCTCACTTAGACGCCGACCTCTTCCTCGTCCCCACGAACCACGCAAATACCGAACGTCCTGTCTTGGGGTAGCCCCAGCGCGACCGCTCACTGATCACCTCGCCCCCCGACGAATGCCCTGAACTCGGGCGGCTATTCCTCGATCTCTCAATATGTCCTCCCCATGGAAGAACAACCAGCCCGAGGTCGTGGCCGACCGAGTCCTCAGGAGGGCTGAGGTTAGCAAGGTACGTTGCCATCACAACCCCTCCTTGAGAAAAAAATCTAACGTATATTTCCAATCCCAGATGGCACGCAAGTTGCAGAACCGTCTCGCCCTCGCCCAATTCAAAGCCAAGCACGGCTGGGAAGACCTAACCCTCGACCTCATCGAGCCGAAAGTCGACGAACACCTGCGCCGCCAGCGCCCCTCCTCCGCCGGCGACATGCTCTCCGACACCTCCTCGAGCTCCGCCTCCGACTTCAACTACCCGCGCACAGTCCTCAGCTCCTCCCCCCTCAAAGCCCCCTTCTTCTCCGACGCCCTCGACTCCTCCAGCGGCAGCTCGGGACACAGGAAGCGCTCCTACAACGCTACCTTCCACAACCCATCGCAGTCCACGGCACGCAAGCGCTTCCGCTCGTCACCCAGTGCTGGGCGCAGCATGTCGCAGAGCCATACGTCGTGGAAGGATCAACACCAACTCTCGCAATCCTCCCCGATAAAGCCGAGGAAGCAACCCCACTTCACCACCTCCGCCGGGCCAAACCTCTCCTTCTTCCGCGGCGTCAGCGGCACAATCGCCGAGGACATCCCCTCCTCCGCCCACCCATCCCTCGACTCAAACTCCGACTCCGACTCCGACCTCCTCCCCCTCCACTCCTTCAAACTACCTTCAAACACCAACATCTCCCGCTCCTCCCCCCCTCGCACCCCCCCTCCCCGGCACCGCGCCATAACCCGGCGCACCACAGCCAACGCCAACAACACCACCACAACCCTCACCACCAACAACCCCTCCCTAACCCGCAAAAGCGGCGAAGAAGGCGCAGACCTCCTCCTCTACCTCGCCACCTCCCCCTCCCCCGCCCACCCACGCTCAAACCGCATGCACCCCCCCCAAACGCCTCCCTCAAAACCCCTCGCCCTCCCCTCCTCCATGATGACCACCCCCGGCGGCGGTCTCGGACTCCTCTCCGCCTTCGGTGTCGGTGGTGGCGGGCCGCACACGCCGTCGCAGACGTTTGATTTTGCGGATTTCGTGAATATTACCCCGAGTCCGGCGCAGGGGGCTTGGACGACGAGGACGCCGGCTTCGGCGTTGAGGGAGGGGAGGGGGAGGGGGGAGATGCCGACGAGTAGTCCGATGTTTGGGGTGGGGAGGGGGAGGATGGGGGGGGGGTTGGGGATGGAGTTGGGGGGGGAGTTACTTTCTTGAGCTCAGTTTTACTTTGGGCCTGGTTTTTGATATCATTCACCTGTCTTTGTTATGACAGAGAGGAAAGGGGGTTTACGGTTACGATAACACACACACACACTACACACAACTTACCAGTCCGCGCACTTGGTCTTTTTTTACTCAACTCGACTTTGGCTATTCTTTTGGGTTCCCCCTTTTTTGGGAGCGCCTGGTGTCTCTAGGCGCAGGCAGTTACTTGGCCTTCTTTTTTGTATTGCTTTGCTCTGTTTTTTTGTATATGGGCATCACGAACCGAGACTTAATGCATTTTTCTTCTTTTTGTCCTTTCTCTCACTCGCCCTCTCTGTGGGGATTGAGGGATGTCCGATTTACCTTGGCTCCTCTTTTTTGGTATCAGCAGCGGCGGCGGTGACTGACTGGCCAGCTGAATATGGTGGCTGTTTTGTTTATACACACCACCCTCCTTTGAGGGAGGAATGGAATGGGTAGTTCGCGGTGGTATGGTGTGGTATGGGCGCGAACAATTGCGCGCCCTTGATGCGTGTGTGCGTACAGCGTGGCATACATGACGCGGTGGTGTTAGTTAGTTAGTCTGACCAAATATCCAATCAATCAATAAAATAAATAAACAAACTTCCAGATCGTGTGTATGCAGTCCCTTCTCATCCTGTCCATACGTAGATTGTGTAATTTGTATCCATCACGCAAACACCACACACCTCTCATCCCGTCTCATGGTGGTCGGTTCCGTTCCCGTTCCTCGCGTAGTAAACACAATTTTTTCTTCCCCGGCGCGGCCGGACCGCGTAAGGTACACGCGTAAAGTACCTCCTAGCGTGTATTTACGCGATACACTAGTCGCGATGGGGGATGGGACGTGTTCGGTTCGCGTTTTACCCGTCCCAGTGGTTAGGGTGTGGGAGAGGGCGGCTACGTCATGTGATTTTAGCTGGTTGCGGAATTCTCACACTCACACAGGCATGATTGCATTGGGGATGTATACTGTACATAGGGGATTGTTACGCAGGTGATTGGGGGATGTAATTAGGATAGATGATGGATGGATGGATGGATGTAACTGACGCTTCCGGCCGTAGCAGGAGGGGAAGGGGAAGGGTATACGATGTCATAACTTACCAGGAACCACAGTCGTAAGTCTGCCAACCACCAAGGAAACCAGCACCACCGCCATTTTACCCTCCAGCACAGATAGAGATGGTTAGATTAGACAGTCTAGGTGAGCAAGCGCGAGCAAGATGAGTAGCGCTGGTATTCTTAGATGTCCAAGAACCCATAAACCAGAACGTCGGTCCCAACCTCAGGAGAGCGCGCTCTCCACCTCGTAGAGTTTTGGTCTGTATATGCACCATCTCCTCGGTGGATGAGTTGGAGGTGCTGCTGTGGAGAGGGGTGTTTGGTATGGTGAGTGTGATGTGTCCGTGTGCTGACTGTGATTCGATCCTATATGAAAATATCCGTTTGCAGCCTGAGTAACCGCGGAACGTTACATTAAGGGACCTCCTTCCTTCCACCTACCCCGAGCCCACGACTACCCTGAGCTTCTACGCCCCTGACACTCTTTATGAAGCCCCTGAACCCCTAACACTATCACCAGTATCACCACCATCACCACCATCACCAAGCCCATCCAAGCAAGCCCATCAAGAACCCAAGAGAATCACTCGCAAATCTCTCCATTCACCCCCCTACCCTATCCTATCTACCTATCCCAGATACTCTAACATCCCCCCATTCCTATCCTCGCCCTACCCTCCCGTCCAGAAAGTAAATCCCCCCCTCCCTATCCCCTTCCCCATCTTCCCCTCCTCAAAAATCGTGTAAAAAAAACACTCGGCTTAACCACGCCAGAATTGTATATACAAGAATCCTCCCCCCTCCCGACTTTCCGTCTCCTCACCCACCCATCATGAAGAAAAGAAAGAACCTCATTGCTCTTGGTACAACCACCCGTCCTCAACTCATCACCAGAAAAGAAAAGAAAAGAAAAATCCCAATATCGACGGCGCCAGTAAGTAGAAAAGAAGGAAAGAAGAATATGAAAACAGGCAAAAAAGCCCAAAGAAAAAACAAAAGAGGCGGCCGTCGTCGTCCGAAAATCTTATAAACATGACATAGCATGATCCCATCACTTCGTAACCCCCCCATTCACCCCCTTTCCCTCGTCCACACCTCCCAAGCTCCCACTGCTGTTCGTTCGGCAAGCTCAAACAGCTTCCGCCGCTCTCTCCTCCCTCTCCCGATAAATCTTCTCCTTCATCACCCTCGCCGCGAGGAGACAATCAATGTACGTCCTAAACTTGACTATCTCCCTGAGCAAGTAACTCGACTTACGCTCCCAGTTCGCCATAGCGCGGTGGGCATTGGGTGAGCGTGGTGTGAACTATTTCCCCCAAAGTCAGCAAATTTTCCAACATCGGGGAGGAAAGGGAAGAAATCCAGAAATGAGAAAAGAACAAAAAGGGGATAAAAACTCACAGCCAACATCATAGCCCCCCTCAACCGATTATGCCCAACCAACTCCTCCTCAACCCCCCTAACATACCCCTCCAACCCCCCCAACTGCTCCCCCTCCTCCAGAGAACTCGCCCTCATACTCTGCGTCGGCGGCGCCCACTCAGATATCGTAATCTTATCCCCCGGCAAGCGTGCCTTAAACCCCCCAGCACCCTGATCCAAGCTACTGCGCAAGCTACTCTGCAGACTCGGTCGGGGGCCGCTGATACTCGCTGATCGCCCGCCGCCCCTCACACCACCAGCTGCCGTGGTGGTCGTACCTGTCCCCGTCGTGGGGGGGGAGGTTGGATGTGCGTCTTGGATGGCAGAGACCAAAGAGTTATTAATAACAGCATCACTCCATCCATACTCAACATTACTAATCCCCCCCACCAGCGGATGATTCGACAACCTCGCGCTCCAGTAATTGGCCGTACTAACAAACTCCTTCACAATCTCCGGCGTCCCAACTTGGAACAGATGAACCGCCCCCGTCGGCAGACTAAGCGCAAACACATGCGGTCTAGCCTTCGAATACCCCGGGCTGGGGAGCGTACTAGCAATCGTCTGCCTCAGCAAGAAGCTTCCCAGATTCTCCGCATTATCCTGCCAGTTCCCCCCACCAACAACAACAACACCAGCGCCCTTGGCGCGGGAGGCGGATTTCTGGCGCACAGACTTGGAGGAGAAGGAGAAGAGTGACATATACCCCTTCTCAATAACCACAAACACCTCGGCCCAATTGCGGTCTTTCGCTTTCTTGTCAGCAGCCTCGAGATGGTGTTTATGCTTCACGATCCCCTCCTTAGCCCAGGGCGCGCCATGAAGCTCCAAAGACTCGTCCTCCAGCAGCGGCGGGGTGACTCTAAGATCGTCCGCCTTCCCATCCGCGCTGCCGACATTCTCTTCCCTAATAATCGCCTGACTAAGCGCATTCGCAAAGCCGATGGACTGCTGGTAATCCCCCTGGGGGTAATTCGAGTCCAAGGAGTTGACGGACAACATACTCGTCTGCGTCTTCCCGAGGGAGTATTTACTCCACGTACTCGAGCTCTGCGAGGGACTCCAGATAGAAGACTGATCATCCAAACTCGTCCGACTCGATCCCATTGTCGAGTGCGGATACACCCTCGGCCGCGATCGATTCTTGTTCGTCCACTTCCCCGTATTCAACCTCACCGCATCCGCCGTCCTTCCACGCGAGAAACTCATCGATTCCGAGCCCGCCTTGCTAATAATACTAGGCGTCCTCCTCAACTTATTCGTCCCGAACACAGACAGACTACTCTGCGACGCCTGCTGCAACCTCGGCTGCTCCGCCGGCGCCCCGAACAGCGGCAACCTCTCGCTACGAACCCCATTATAGAAGTCCTTAAGCACAATCTCCACCTGTCCCTCCCACGCCTTCAGCGTCCCCTGGAACGGCGCGCGAACGAGCGGTCCACAGTCATCCAGCGCAGGACTCTGCCCATTCAGACTCGTAACACTCGGTCCCATAGACCCAGGGCGTAACGACTTCCCCGGTGGTCGCAGCGCAAGCTGTTTCTCCGGTTCAAACGCATTAACCTGGTCCCTGAGCGCGCGCATGTCGACATTGAGATCATGACGCAGTTCGTCCTCGGGCTCGGGGACTTCGAATTTAGGCGACAGGATTGTAGGCCGCGAGGGCTCGAAGGCTTCGGGTGCGGCGTCGGCGACGACGCGGAGGATGGTGGGGATGGTGTTTTTGACGAATTGGGATTTGGTCATCTTGGACTCGATGTCGGCGAGATGGAGGTCCGTGTTGAGTAGTAAGATGGAGTAGCAGATCGTGTGCACCACATCCGTAATCTTAAACCCATGGTGCGGATTGCACTGACACCAGCGTGTGGCGAAGGTATCCAGAATCCGATCAACCTGCTGCGACTCCGCCTTCAGAAGAAGCCTATTACACAGCGCGCGCAGAGCCCCAAGGATATCCATATCCTTGAAATCGTACAACTCCATATAAGCAAGCAGCGTGCGTCGTCTGATCGCCCCATCCTCCCCAAGCCACGCAGCCGCCTTCGATTTCTGGATAAAATCCTCATTGCCATCGTAGATCTTCTTCGCCCTCTCCCAGTCCCCCGTCGTGGGCTGAACCTGCTCCACCGCGCTCGAGGGCTCGGAGGAGTTATACGCATCCTTCGTAGACGGGAGAGTCATGCTCTCACCACCAGCAAGACTAGTCGCAGAGTGAAACACAGCCGGGCTAGACTCGCTACTCTCCACCCCCTTCATCCCCTCCAACGGCAGCGAGATACTAGACGTCTTCTCCGCGTCCGGCACACGGTCCTTCCCCCTAACCGTCCCGTCATTATCAGACGCCTCATCCTTCTTCGACTTCGGCGAACCCCCGGACGCCGGATAGAGGGATAACATCGGATTCTCCGCCTTCCTCGCCGGCTGCCGCTTCGAGTACTTCTGCTCATACTCCGCCACGAGCGCCTTGTCGCGCGCCACTGAGTTGGGGGAGTGCGCCATATCCCTACTAGCCGGGTCCGCCTTCACCGTAAGCGTCTGCGACACAATCCGGTTCCCCTCCTTGTCATTGTCGCTGTTGTCCTGGAGGAAGGTCCTGTCGAGCTCCTTCTCGCTGTCGGTGCCCAGCTGGCTCTGCGAGGTGTTGTTCCGCATCAGCGGCGCGCGTATGGGCTCACCATTGCGACGACCAGGGTTGACAGATCGGATCGTAGCACTCTTATCCGGTGTGTATCCCGGCGAGAACCCAGTAGACTCCTCAATACTATCGTCATCCTCGCCATTGTCATAGCGTCTCCCGTCATCATAGTCATCCCACCTTGGCGGCTGCGTAATCGGGCTATTGAGGTACTGGTTCATGACCTGCCTCAGCGAACTCGTCGGGCTAGCAAGATCCTGTACCACCTCCTGATCTCTAACCAGCACAAGCTGCAGCGGCATCGCAGGCACCTCCGGCTCGGATACCGACTTCTTCCTACGCTTGAAGAACGACGAGGGTTTCTTGCTTATAGCCTTCGGCGCCTCCTTTGGCACTCGCGGCGGCGGCGGCTGCTGAGGCGGGTATCCATGAGCCGTCCTCACCCTCTCCGTAGCCTGATTCTGGTATTTGTTGCTGGGCGGCCTCTCCATAGGGTCTCCCGATATCGTCGACCCAGGAGACGACACAGAGCCAGTGCTAGTCGCACCGGGTGTATTCGCCTTCGATCCAAACACCCTCCTAAAGAACCCAGGCTTCGAAGCACTCGTAGGCGCCGGAACATTCTTGACCTTGCCATATGCAACCAGCGGCGCGGGCGCAGGCTCCTCCTTCTTGAACGCCGGCATAGCCGCGAGCCTGCGATTCTCATCCAAGCCATTGTTCATCGGATTTCCCTGTCCATGCGACGTCTCCGCACGCTTCTGGTATAGAGTTTTCGGCACACGACTGCTCTGCTCGCGTTGTAGATTTCGTGGAGACGGCGTGCTAATGTCGGCGGTATACACTCCATTCGGCGTAATGGGCCTCTGTCGTCTCGGCCCAACAGGCACCGTCGGCGTCGGCGCCGCATCGTAGATATCGTATGGTTCGAGCTCATCCACCGGCGACGAGTGCGTCCTCTGCCTCTGTATCGGCGGCATCTGAGCCTCCTGTCCATAGTCATCGAAACTCGACGCGCGACCACGACCGTACCCCGACGCCCACCGCTGACTACTCCCCGCCTGGGACGAGTGTCCCATATCCGAGCTCGAGACACTACTATCTTTGCTCTCCTTCCTCTCTCTCGGATGCGCCCCCCGACTTTGCAGCGCCTGCCTCGGCGTGCCCATCGAGCCGCTATTACTCGCGTGATGTCTCCCCGTCGTCGTAGTCGTATAATTCGAACTACTATTGCTCCTCCTTGTCCTCGCATACTGACTCGACGCCCTACTCGCCGCATCATGGTCGAAATCCTCACTAAACGAGTGTCCATGTCCCAATTGCCTCCCCCCATTCCCCCTTCGAATCTCATATCCCGCATACCCATCCTCCTCCGCGCCAAACGAATTATACAGCCCCTCCGCTCCCGGGATCCCAAACCCACCTCCTCCTCCTCCCTCGCCACCCAGCGAGAACTGGTCCAAGCTAAGCAACATATTATTCACCAGCGAATCCCGTGTGACCTGTTCAGGGGCAAGACTGAGATCGTGCGAGTGCCTCTCCCCGTCAGCGCGACGAGCTTGTGGTGACGGCCTTCCGAAATCGACGGGCGTGCTGTCGTCGAGGAAGGTCTCCCGTGGAATCGCTGCGGGCGCGGTGGTGTTGTTGTCCCTCTCCCTAAGCGCCCGGCGGGAGCGGGTGCCAGGGGGCGTGCGAGGGGGGGAGAGGTTGGGGTCGCGAGGCTTGCGGTAGGCGCTCGTGTTGCTGGTTGTGTTTGTGTTGAGGGTGAGGGAGACGCCGGCGGCGCGGCGGGAGGGCGAGGTCGGCATGTTGTCGTAGACGTCCATGGTGTGTTCGCGATCGATTGAATCCCCCTGGGGGGTAGTAGGGGGTTCGTGATCGGGTGGTAGGTGGTGGTTGAGTGTGTGTTGCTCAATGGGGGTGAGTGTGATAGTGATGGGGGGTCTCAACGGCGGTGATGGGTCGCCATATAGGTTGACAGCGAGCGTCCGGAGACTTTTTGTGGAGGGTTGGGGGTTGATTGGAAAGGGAGAAGTGTGGTGGTGAGGGTGGAATGGATTGGCGTTTCTACTTTCAGTACTTTCGTTTGGGACGGTGCGATCGGCGGCCACATGGCATGCTGGGGGGTGGAGACGGAGAAACGTTTGTACTGTACTGACGGAGACAAAGTTAACAATTTCGTACGCTCATCATGGTGCAACATTAACGGGCTAGGAACACTAATAAGCCCGAGGCCTAGTAGTAGACTGTAGCCTGTAGACTGGTAGTAGACGGGAAGTCGGTCATAGCACAAAACGGGCAATTTTAACAAAATGCGCCCACGACAGATGAGTGTCTCACAACAATTAGGATTGAGGGTGGTTCAGTCTGATTTTAGTAGGGTTCAGTAGGGTTCAGTCTGGTTCAGAAGGGGTTCACCTAGTATCAAGCGCGTATAATTACCTACTTGTACGCGATTATATATCCCGATGTCCTACCTACAGTCCCACAGCCCTACACCACAGTCCTACAGTGGTACCACTCGACGCGTAAAGTGTGTACAGACCTCTAACTGCCATAACCCGTCCCTCCCCCGTTATCCTAAAGAAAAATCAGGGGTTCTCCCCTCTCCCTCCTACACGAACGGGTCCTTACCCTACCACCTACCCGTCAATCCCCCTCTACGCGTGCAGGAGTGCGTGCAGGAGTAATCCCTCCTCATGCACCACACCCTCTCTCCCGAAACGCGCTCTCCTCTAGTCGCCTCAGCCCGTCCCCCCTAGGCATTATCGTCGTGTGATAGGTCGGCGATTAGTTTAGTAGTGGCTAACGGAACAGGTTTAGGAGGGGGGATTCAGGTACGGGCCAGGTACGGAGAGGCACGGTTGTTAGTTGGGGTACTTTTGAATTCAGGTAATTTAGTAGTGGGTGGTAAGTAACTTATCTAACGATAACTCCAGCCCACATCTTCTTTTGCTCCCCTAACTAAATTCTCACTGCATCCCTCACCACACCACTAGAACACCCACTAGAAGGTCTTTGCACCATCCACGACCAGCCCTGCCATCCACCACAACCATCACCACACCACAACTAGCAGCACCCACCACCAGCACTACCACACCACTAACCACCACTAACCACCACTAACCACCGCTAACCCCCCACCCCAACTCCCCGAAGTAAACCCCCCAAACCACCCCATCCCCATCCCATGAAACCCCCATCTCCCTCCCCCGCCTCACCTCAAACACCAAACCCGTCTGTGCGCTGCGTGCTGCGTTGGTTCAAAACACGCTATTACACTACATACACGTCTAGACATGCACTTTCCACAGCCTTGCAGATAGTTAAAATTGCACGCTACTGTACTGTACAGACAGACAGGAAGGGAAGACAGGAAGACACACAGACAGACAGACAGACAAGCCGTACACTACACGACTTACCGCGGTTCATGCAACCCGTACTGTACTGCACGCACACACCTCCTCCCCCCCCCCACGAAACAACTCCCCTCTCCCCTCCCCCCGATCTCCCGATCCCCCCCGCCAATCACCCGCCACAACCCATCCACCGCATCACATCTCATCAAATCGATCGACACACGATGGACAGCGCATCGACGCCTCCTTCCTGCCTTCCTTCATATCCCTTCTATCTCCCTGTAGATCCCTCCATCACTGTCTGTCCCTGCCTCCCATCCTATCCTATTCCGTCTAATCCGTGTACCCCCATCTAAGACATCCACCCCAATCCATCACCCATCGCGCGCGCCACACATTAACCCATTACTCGCGCGCCCTCATCTCTCACCTAACTCAGCACACCGCCGCATAGCAGTTCAGTGGTGTGGTGCAATCCATCGCGCGCCGGCTAGTCCACCCGCGACCCGCCGCGTTCCTCCCGCGTAGCTCCCCTAGCTCGTCCTAAACCGCTCGACCAACCTAGCAATCTCCTCTCCGTCGTTGCCCCTTCCATCACCCCCTGCGTCCGCACCGCGTAAGAAAACCCACTCGGCGGGGTAGCTAACGCGTTGGATGTACTAAAGAGGTAGGGAGGATGTACCAAAGAGGAGAATAGATGCAAGGAACGGGGCTAGACTGGTGATGTTGGTGCCCAAAGGAGTGAGTGGTGCAAGGGTGGATTAGCTAGGAGGGGAAGGAGAGGAAGGAGGAACGCGGGAGGGACGGGAGGGATGGGGGATCTGTGCGGGAAGCTCCTAGGGGTCGGGGGGGTCTAAGCGTCTATCTCCTCCTCAGGACTGGTGGGCTGGAATGGACTCGACTCGACTCAACGACATAGCCATGATAGTAGTTCGGCGGCATGAGATATGTGCCGACGAAGAGACCTGTATCCTGCATATTTACGGTAGTTGGACGGGGAGTAGGCGGGAGTGATTGTAGTCCGCTTGAGGTTGTGAATGGTGTCTGAATGCCACCCTCAGCCCTGGCGCCACATTGATTGTCTAGAGGTCTATGATGAGTGAGCAGGTTGGGGGGATACACGTACACCCTCTCTCTCTCTATGGCGCGGGGAATCGGTATATCAACCCCCCCTTGAACCGGTGCGAGGGGGACATCTGGGCAGTTGGGGTGGCCTGGTGAATGCATCCGGGACGACAGAGAGGTGGGCGGTTATGCATTATGCGTCTCTTTTAGGACGGTGTGAGGTCTTGCGCTCACGGCATTGGCGTTGGAGGAGCGTGAGGGATTGTAACTACCCTACTTAATGCATTTCACGTGGTGACTTGTTTCTGGATGCTGAGATATCCATATTCACCCTATTGTACCCGATCGTCTATGGCGGCTAATGCTATGCTATAAGGTGCGGGGTATTCTGAGCTTATACAGTATAATACTACGGCCAATTAGCATGCTGATTACTTCACATGAGGGGTAACAAAATCTGCTACGAGCAGTCTATGAACCCATCCGTAAACCATAACTTTTGAGTAATAGTCAAGGCTTCCATTAATAGCGAAAGCGGGTACAGAATGGGAAGCTACGAGGTTAGAAAGAGCACAGAAACCTAACTGATATACTAATGGAAAGTAGGAAGCAATACGGCTCTTAAATGGGAGGAGAGAGCCACCAAAGGCGAATCCAGACGAGATGCGTGGTTCAGATGATATGTTACCATGGCTCAGATTACTAGGCTACTCGGTATAGAACCAGCGCTCTCTAACCCCCCGCAAATCCTGCTAACAGAACAATATAGGATGAGACATTAAACAGTCTCAACGCTATACACGTCGCAGGAACGAAAGGTAAAGGTAGCACATGCATTTTCATCGCGTCATTTCTCAGAGCACATGGGCAGCGCTGTGGATACCCGCGCAAAATCGGTCTGTATACATCACCACATATGAATCATATACGGGAGAGGATTCGCATCAACGACGAGCCGATTTCCAAGGACCTTTTCGCGTCTCATTTTTTTGAAATCTGGGAGAAACTACCCCGTGAGGCTACTAGGACCTTGGATATTCCTCGATATCTTCAACTCTTAGCTCTCCTCGCATTCCATGTGTTTGTCAAAGAAGGAGTTGATGTGGGGGTCTTCGAGACGCACGCTGGTGGGAAATATGACGCGACGAACGTGATAAAAACACCATGTGTAACAGCGGTTACTTCGATCGGCATGGATCATGCGAGACTACTAGGCCATGATATCCAAGCTATTGCCCGACATAAGGCAGGAATTTTCAAATCCGGATGTCCAGCCTTTTCTGTTCTTCAGGAACCAATGGTTACGGCCGAGTTCGAGAAGCAAGCAATGAAGGAGGGAGTATTGTTGAAGTTCGTCGACTTAGACGAGACGCTTCCTACGGACGCAGCTGCTTTAAAGCCAGTTCCCCAGAGAATCAACTGCTCTCTCGCTCTCACAGTCTCCCGCGAATGGCTACGTCAGAAGGCTCCAGATAAGGAACTAACTACGGAAGATATTATCTGCGGTATTAAGCAGTTTTCGTGGCCCGGCCGATTTCAGCAAATAACAGACGGTAGATGTCAGTGGTTTCTTGATTGTGCTCATAACGAGTTGAGTTTACCATATGCCGCGACATGGTTTGCAGAGGCTATTACCGAGAACCAAGAGTATGTTTAATCTTTGACAGTAGAGAAACAAGGCATATAACAATCAATTCTAGTGGGTGTACATACCCTCCCCGGATTCTTATATTCAGCCATTTTAGTGATCGAGATGGCCAAACGCTTCTAAACAGCATTGCTAAAGCCCTAGAGACTCGACAAGTTCGAATACAACACCTTATCTTAACGACATACGACATAAGACGAGATGGCCAAGCTTCAATCGGTATATTTTTCTTATACTAAAGTAAGACTATAAGCTTACCCTCTCGTAGACCGAAACATGATGAACCGATACAAGCCAGAGATTCAGAGCCTGTACGCCCAAGCTTGGAGGTTATTAGATCCTGCTACCAAGATATGGGAGGAACGAACGATTGAGGAGGCTTTGGATCGGGCAAGGAATATCTCTACCCGGGACGGAATGCAGGTTTTCGTTACAGGGAGTATTAAATTAGTTAGTGGCGCTCTCTCTCTCTTGTAATAACATGATCATCACACTTGCAGGGACCGGTCGCGCCCTAGATCGGCACAAAATGAGGGAGCCCATCCATTCATAGAAGGAAGGTAGGCCATCCTAGTAGATGTGAAATCGGGATGAACCCCGATATGACGGACGGGAGAGCGGGGAGTTGGTAGAGAAGCGGCGTGGTGTAGATTTGGCAGGCAGTTCTGCCTAAACCAAGCACGTTAAACTAAATAAGTAAATCTAAAAACTCCTAACCAACCAAGCTCATCATTATTATAAAAAATAGTCCCCCAAAAATAATAGTACTAGCAATAATTTATTTAAATCAACCTAAATCCCAAAAATATATTCTAAACCCCTATGCGGACAGACAGAGAATACGACCAAATACGCAATCACATCGAACAGACCCCCCGAAGACACAGCTAGGAAGTTATGTATACAGAACCCAGCGCTCCGAGTCCAAAAGGCTTACGATGCAAGGGAAACTCCAAAACCCTCTTACCCCATCACGAAGATCAATCTAACCCCTCCCCCCCAACAAAGCGTAAAAAACCCTTACGACGGCGCCCGCCCAAGGGAACCAGAACCGAAAGAGGCCATCGAGATCCCAAGGCTAGAGGCGGGGCGGAGCTCGAAAAGAGAAGGGTGGCTGAGGGGGGGAGGAGAACAAGGCATCAATGCCATGGTGGAGCTGCACATATAAAATACAAAATTCTAGAGGCAGGATGTCGGCCGACCAGGCCTATTGAGAGAGAGAGATGTTGCACATTTAAGGGGATTGATTGTGTCTGGATATGTCTATGGCATGATCGGAGCAAAGGCGGGGGGCTGATGGGTTTGGTGAATACTAAGGGGATTGACTGCCTTAAGTACTCAACCTTTGAGAGAGGTCCAGTTCAGCCAATTTTCAAATGTTCGGGTCAACAGGCAAATGTGTGTATGGAAGTAAGTAAGTAGTCGGCTCAATATGCATCAACAGCGCGTGCGTTACGAGAATGAAAAAATGGCAAACTGTACAAACTAAGTAATATATGGGTTCTAATATATGATAGATAGACAAGACTTCTTGTTGAACAAGATATCCAACGACACCAATCAACCCACACACCCAGTCTCGTCGAACAACAGGAGTATCGCCTTTCGTCCTCGGGTTAATCAACAGCACGGCACAACCTAATCACCAAGTGCTCGTAGACGCCCGCGGGAATCTAAATACGCATACGTTTCTGGTTGATATGGAAAGCGACAGTGACACTTGGCTCCAAGAGTTGACGGAGGAAAGGCCACTGAGGACATGAAGAAACTTCAACAAGAGGCAGAAGAAGAGAAAGCGATTATATGATGAGCAACCTACTCCTGATGATCTCGCCAAGGTCGCAGAAACACGAGGATCGCTCTCTGCCAACCAGAAGGCAGTGAGCCGAGGAACAGCAAGAACGACTGATAGCAAGAGCGACTGATAGCAAGAACGACTAACAGCAAGAACGACTGACAGCAAGAACGACCAACAGCAAGAACGACTGACAGCAACGACAGCAGAAACAACAACCAAGGACATATTAAACCAAGGCAGCCTGTCTCGGGGTAAGTATTTCAGGGCGGCACTGGCCACAAGCACATATTGCTCCTAGACACCAATATACAAACCCCTCAACCACAACCACGCTCACATACCACGAGCCCATACAATCATAGGCCCCCCCACAACTCACTCACTAGACAAACTTCACGATCACTTCCCAGAATGCTCATTTCATCAGATGACATATTTATTTCAAGAAGCTATATCCATCCTCCCCCTCCCCTCTCCACATATCTGTGTATTTGCAACAGCCCCTCCAAAATATAACAATCTCCATCCCCCCACCCCATGCCTCCATCCGGATCCATATCATCTCCAAAAAACCGATTAAAAAACATTAAACACAAAAGGGCAAAACCACTGACGTGAAAATCAAAAGCAGAGCCCGTAGCACAAGCACCAGCACCCCCGTTTGCCGTTCTAAAAGGTGAACGCCATTTTGTATAGCAACCCCCCGTGCGTCCGTCTCCCACCATTCCTGCGCGCACCCTCCCGTCCAAAAAAAGTGGAAAAACAGAAAAAACAAAGCGCGTATTAAACTCCAGACCAACCCAAATATCTTCAGGTAGTTCCCCATCCATCTATAGCCGAAGTCCCGATTAATCCCCCCGTCTTGCGATATTATTAAAGGAGTGTAAGTGTATGTATTCAAAGGAGTGTATAATATGCGTCCCAAACATAAACGCCGCCGTTCTCGTTGAGAGATGTGTATATTGATCCAAAGCTGCGATAGAAACCGAGGATTATGAAAAAAATTAATCGAATCGAAAGGCAAAAAAAATTCGTGACGTCGCAACTTGAGAGATATATATGTGCCGAGTTTTTTTCGTAATTGAAGTTGGTTCGTCATATGTATCTTTGGTACAATTTTTTTTCAAAGAACAGACTGGGTTATATGATTTAGTATTTCAGAATCATCAGTGCCGGGTTGAGCATGAACGGCAGGAGGACGTGACTCGAGATCATGACCGCCAACGGCACGATAGCAGTGACGACATTGATCTCGTACCCCGCAGGTGCGTATTTGCCGAGATAAACCATACCACCCACCATTGGAATGGTAAAGGCGTACATCCACTTGAAGCTCTTGAAGATCTTGGGCACCTCCTTGAAGAAGTTACTCGCGACGGCTTCCTTGGCAGTAGCGCCCCACTCCATGTTGATGCTGAACATGTGCGCGCAGAGCGCGAGGAAGAGGTGGAAACTGATGCCTCCGAAGAAGACGGCGAACATGGGCATCCACATGAAATTCTCGAGAAGTGCGCCGAGGAGCGACTTCTCGCCGAGACGGTAACGGAGGATGGCGAGACAGACGTTTCCGAGACCGGAGAAGACGACGAGGAGGGCGACGAAAATCTTCCACGACTCGATGTAGAAAGAGTCGATGTAGCCGTTCTCCCATCCAATGAGGAAGTAGTTCAGGATGGTGAGAGGAAGACCGAAGGCCAGGGCGTAGTAGGTGGCGATGTAGGCGAGAATTGTGATCTTGGAGGACATCTGCATGTTGGACCAGATGAGCTTCCTGAAGAGAGGTGTGAATGGCGACTTCCACAACCATGTGTACAGAGGGTTGAAGACAAGTTCGTTACATCCAAAGGCATATTTCTCCCAACGGGACAGCTCATCGTAGACGGTCAAAGACACACCCTCCTTGAACTCATCACCGTGGTATGTAGCCAGGCGGACGAAGTTACCAGCCATCTGAACGCGGAGGGAGATATCGAAATCCTCAGACACGTGGCTCTCAGACCAGAAGAGATCAGATCCATCAGGAGCCTTGCTAGCAACGCTCTGGATCGCCTGCCAGCGGAGGAACGCATTGTGACCAACGAAGGGAGCGGCCTCTCCGGATCCGACAGCGAAGCGAATGGCGGAGTAAATCTGGTTCGTGAAGAATGTAATACCGTTTTCGAAGTAGTCTCCGACGACTTGCATGACGCCCGCAGAGTGCTGGACGATGGCGACTTCGGGGGACAGGAACATTTCGGCGGCACCGTAGAGGAGGCAGTCGACGGGGACACGGGTATCAGAGTCAATAATCAGAATGTATTCACCCATGCGGATGTCGCCATCAGCCCAGGCTTTTCCATCGTCATCCAGAACCTTGTCAAGCGCAGCCTTGTAAAGCTCATCTTGCTCAGATTCGGTGATGTCACCTCCGTTGGTGTAGCTCTTGCGGATTTCAATCATTTCAGTGAGCACATCCTCGGTCTTGTTGGAGATGTTGAGGGCGAAGTTCATGTTGGAGGCCTTCTTGAACTTTCCTCCACGGACGAATCCATCAACACCGTGCTTGGGACGCGCGACCCAGCCAATGTTGTTATCGGTGTAGAAATCTCTCCGGGCCTGGGCCTCATCTTCTGGGAGGAGTTGAAGACCATCATCGTTGATGAAGATGCTTGCAGTTCCACCGTTCAATTCGTAGTGAGAAATCGCGGCTTTAAGCGAAGTCACGGTAGGAATGATGACGCTGTCCAAACCCTCCTTGTAAACTGGCATCTGAATCGTGATGTGGCTAGGGCGGAAGCCAATCTGATAAGCCTTGAAGATATCGGGACGGATTGACGAATAGCATCGCGAGTTGCTGGTGACGCCTGTAATTGGCCCAATGACCTGGAACAAATCGGTGAAGATACAAATCGCAAAGAACTACGAGACATGTTAGTAAGCTGACAGCCGTGTTGTGGGGAAGCGACGACATACCAAACCAAAGAGACCAAAAAACGGCACGGTCGCGAGAAGGGCCATTCTGATCCAGCTTCCATCCATCAAACACTCGTAGAGCAGCGCCGAGGCACCGAATCCGAGCAGGAGGATGATCATCAGGCACAGAGCCATACCAACGAAAATCGCAGAAATGAAGACCAACGGCCTCTCCAATGACTCCTTCACCGGAACAGCAGACTCAACATCGACGTCCTTCTCATCAGCATTGGCCTCGCCTTCGCCTTTCTCCACCTCTTGAGGGGACGTAAAGCCTAGCCTTGACGCAAGAGAGACTCGGATGCTGGATTGGGGCGCGGAAGGGGCCTTGATAGGAAGAGCGTGGGTCGACGAATTGAGCGTCGGAGGTGCGTGGAATGGTGAATGGATCACTGAGTTGTGAGAAGATGACGAATTTGGCATGGCTGGGATTTTGGCTCCCCAGATCTATCATGCAGTTAGTATAGGTAAACAGCTTGAGTTGCAAGTTGTACTTACGACAGTGAGCAGTTGTCTCTCAACCTTGTCTCCGTGGCTCAGGATGGACTCCACGTCGTCGTGCCACAGCAGAACAACCCTTTCTTTCCTGACGAAACAGGTATATTGGAAACGCTTGAGCTTGTTCGACGAAGCTTTGGCCATATCCTCAAAAGAGTCTAAGATCTGATATTGCGTGCTATCATGCGGCAGGATGAACTCGGTTTGGGTTGGCGTAATCGTTGAGAATATGAGATTTGTGAGCTCCGTCGACATGGTGAAGGCGACCTCGACATTCAATCTCTGCACCGCAGCAATAAGGTTATGGCATAGGTTTGATGGCTGTGTCACATAGACCCCGCGCGACGTCCTCAAGAGGACACCCTGAACTGATGTCCGGTCATAACTCGAGATTGGCGAGTTCGAACGGCCAGAACCAGCGGGGGTATAGAGGAACTCTTTGTTGACATCAAACCACATCTGGGAAGCTATCCTGCCGTGAAGGTAAGATACCATCTGTTGCTGTTAGCTACTGATCCTGTCTGGCACGCCTGTCTATATATCCACTTACCACGGCATGCTTCTTGGAGTGAACTTCATCGCCATCGCCCTCCCACAAGCTGTTTGCCCGCGAGTTTGAGGATATCGACGGTGGAGTGTGAAGAGAGCCATTTCGAGGGCTTCTTGGGAACGGCAACGACCCATCGAAGAGTCCGCTGTTGACCGACATAACTTTGCCGTTGTGTGATTAAGGAACAAACGAGTGAGTTCCAAAAGCTTCGGAGGGACAGAGATATAGGAACCGACTGCAAGGTTGACGGGGATTGTTGCAGCGGTGCTATCTACTGGTACCAGCCCGGGGCCCAATGTGTGCGTCGAAGGCAATAAATATGTGAGCTGAAGGACGGGAAGTTAAAATTGGGTGTGTGTCTGCCGTGTATTACACAATGTGTGGCGGGGTGGTGGTGAGGTTGGGAGTGGCCTTTTTTGTGTTGGTCGCTGTTATCACAGAGGATAAGGCCGCTTGAGAGGTAATCTTCAATGTGAGATTATGTAGGAGGATAAGACGCCTGCTAGTCAACGATAGTGTGAGGAGAGTATCTTCCAGTAGGGTGACAGTGAATAATGAGTTACAGATTGAGGCGCAAGAGTGAAGGGAAGAGTTCACTTTTGCAGACCAAGCAATCTGGTTGAAAGCTTGAGAAGGAAGAAAAACAACGGGAACAAAAGGCAGATAAACACGGCGTAGTATAAGTTATCCCGGCTCCGTGAGCGACTGAGTGCAGAAAGACAGGAAAGAGGGTCTGCGTGCAGAGATGGGAACGGCTGGTTGGAAGTATCTGTAGGGGACCTGGACCTGGGCCTGGGACTTCTGGTTGAGCTCGCAATGCCTTGCCTTACTTTAGATGAGTGCGGCGGGCCATTCCATAATATTGCCAAGTAACTTTTCTATACATCTATACATAGTATGCAGACAAAGAAAAAGAACGAGTGACAAGGTAAAGTGACGCGCCCATGTGCCCTCATGTGCCTCAGCTCAGACTAGAGAGTAGCCGCTTGCTCACGGCCGCAGGAAGGGGGGATTTTTCTCGTCTCTCTTTTTCGAATTCGTCCGTGTCATGGTGTGTGAGTTGTGGGTTCTGTGGGTTCCGTGGATAGCTGTGGGTTGTCATGGAGAGTAACTAGAGTAACTAGAGTAACTAGAGTTACTAGAGTAACTATTTTATTTTTGCATTCGTTCCGACACGACGGAAAGAGCCAACGACCAAGGAGGCCCTGGCATAGGACAGGGTGTGACAAGGGGGACTGGTTGGGGGGATATGGTTTGTAAGGGTTTGAGAAGGGAAGGGGGTGTGGCTGCAGACAGCATTCTCCGGATGAGAAGTAGCACAATACTATGCATATTCTGTATATTCTGCATACTCTGCATACTATACATCAACGTAATCTGCATTCTCTGTATGTTTGTATGGAAATATGGTGGATGCTAATGTACTATAGTTATGTTGTGTGGGCATGGTTAAAAAGAGTCTACTTCCCATGGTAAGACATTGCCAGACATTACTACAGCTCTCCGCGCCAATTCCATTGGAACACGCCGTCCTGACTGAGAATTTGTTTTATCCCTGAAACGTTGCGAACAGTACCAGCGCAGACCGGCGCTACGAATCCACAGATATTTGTGACCACGCTGGTCTGTTTGTGGTAACCTGAGCACAGATTTACGGGTTTGGGTTCTCGTAGCGCGCGCGCACGGTGAAAGCTATACCCAGATATAGCGGTGGTGGCGGTTGAGAGAGATCTCTTTTGAGACGAAGGGGGTCTAAGAGGCGTTGTGCCTTGTATTGGCAACCATGGATGATCGATTGGGCAACAGTAGCCAATACATGGACTGTCAGCAAAAGGACCTACTTATCAAAATTGGTGATAGTGCAGAGGCAGGCCAAGCCCACTATCTAGGAGCCCCTGGAGGCCATGGACTACTCTCGATTCACAATTTGCTAGGTATAGTACTTTCTTTGTGCACGTCGTATCTAGGACGAGGCTTCCATGTCGATAAGCTGGGATCTGTACTGACTGTGTGGGTGTTCACAGAGAAATATTGTTCTGTACAGTCATTACCAAGAGCCCCTACTGTATCGTCATAGATTGCGTGCATCAGTCTTCCCAAACAACCCTCACCAGCTGACTACAGTGCCACAGTCACTGCGTTGGGACGGGGACGAGAGTCGTGGCAAGTCACACTCTGGATTTGCACAAATTATACACACATACGAAGTGGGAAACCACATTGTGAGACCAGCTTTGTCACTCCACTTCTTGTGTTGTACGGTGGATCTGTCAACACCTTCGATCAACATCTCCGGCGCTCTGGGAAACCCAAAGAAACAAGAACGAACAAGCCGTGGCCCACGCGATATACCACCTGTGGTTCGCCATTATATCGGATTCTTTCCCCTTACCCGAAGCATCTGGGACGGGACCACAAATGGAAGTGAGACAAGCCATGGCGGCGCCATATTGCCTAATGACCCACTGATGCCTCGGTGTAAGGGATTTCCGTCTCCCAAGCGCCTAACAAGAGGCGGACGCTTGTAAGAGAAGAGTTGTCCGGTCAAAGGCCAGACCCGCCCGTATCCCGAGAGAGAGACAAAACATCCCGTCCGCAGCTATTCTGGAGTACGGGCATGATGCCTGGTAGCGCCGCATGCACGACCGCGTTGGGAAGCTCACGGCTCGCACGCACATGCACGTTCGCCAATGTTGCTGCCTCAACATTACAACAGATAGATCTATCGTCGACGGCTTAAAGTATTGCAGGGATAAGCGAAATAACAGGCATGATGAGCTGTTCCCGAGCCAGGGTATATAGAGTAGTACTGGACACGGGGGTTCAAGGGAAGGGAGGAGGTTCTAAATTTACTTGTATACACGCATACACTACATGTACGATTGTGCGATACGATATGCGCTTGCACAGTGGGGAGTTACACTGATACGGTTGATCTGACTTATGTGTACCCATACTCCCCATACCTCGGCGGCAGATCATCAGAATGGTCGCTTGCAAACTTGGACAGGACCCTGATTGTCGCCCTGACCCAAACACGCTGATTCACGCTGGCACATGCTGGCGCCTGCTGTTCTGGATTAAGACCTTTTCTAAGATTTTAGGAGCACGTTCGGTCGAGACTTTAGGTGGGGACAAGACGTGCTTGTGGTGCTTGTTAGGCTGTGTGTGAGTGTGTGGTACCTATCACTTTTTTGGAGAATCGTCTTCCCGGGTGGCTTCAGGGGTAGACGGATTATTTGTACCTCGCTAACCCGTGTCCAAAGTCTCTAAACCGTCCCACCGCCACACCTGCCAAAAATGCCAATGTGGCACAACAGGACCAACTTCATTTATCAGCCCGTAAGTTGTGACCATACACCCATACATCCATACATCATCCATACATCATTCATTATATTGCCCGCCCACACCTTACTCACGGCGGCCTGATTGACGAAATCACACAAAGCCACGGGCGCTCCGGTGCTCCCGATCAAATCTCTCCCCCTTTGCCATGAGCGCCATCAACGCCCGTCAGCACCATTCTAGAACCGGCTCCAAAAACAGTCGCAGATGCGATTCGTCGCAAAGTAACCGAGTACCAGAGCGATACTGTATGTCTCACTACGGCGGCACCCCCTCCCGCGCGCCAAGAGCGAGAGCACAACCTCCCCCACACCCTCAATCCGGTTCGTCGCCCAGCTACCTACGCACACAACCACAGCTGAGTTGTATCGCGCCGCCTCAACGATAGCTCCCGGATCGTCGCTTTCGGCACCCCGTCGAAACAGCGACACGCCACGGCAACAGCACGCTCAGCTTGCCTCGTGCACTCCACCATCCGTGCGCGCCTGTGCGCGCGGCGGAGACACTTGCGTATACAGTTGTTCGGCGCTACACTGATCGTCGACCAAGGGCCGCGTACAGTGGGGGGACGTCCATGCGCTGGCTGGGTCCTGCTTTTCTGCGCTTGCGTAGATCGATGCGGCGCTGGGTTTCTCCGAGATGCGTAAGATTTGCGATTTGGGGGGAGAGGTTCGTGGGAGGGGGGAGCTCGAGTGGTTGGCAGTGCTTGAGGGTGCGGAGGACCTGCCAGGTACAGAAACACTCCGGAGCGGTGACAGGTTTGGGGGGTTCAATACTGTGAGCTGGCATTACAACACCGCCCATTCACAATGCGAGGCGATTTCTTGCTAAAGCGCTGTCTGACGAAACGAAACGATCGCCATATTGCGCATTGGCTATACCCTTCGTGTATGTACTAAGTATCCACCACTGAAGGCGACCAGTGTTTTGAAAGCCGGCGGCGTAGGGTTTCCACGGAGCCGACACCCGCAATACGAGGTTTTCATGCCGCTACTGTATCTTCTAGCGGGACAGCGAACAACTGCATGCCGGCGCCAGGGATTGAAAACATCCAGACCCCCGACCCCGACTGGCTGCGCGCAGCCCTATCAATGTAACGTATCTAGTTATACGGTACACTAAGTTTTTCTGCCTTGGCTGCGTAGCTCACACACCAGCACCAACAAGGGCAAAATAGCGATGGTGATGGGGATTCCACTTCCCTCTCCATCTCCATAGTATCAATCCAGCAGACCTTGCGATCCTTCGCTCTCCGCTGCAGGTAAGATTCTTCCATCGGACCTTCTCTGGGGCACGATCCCTTCCATCGATCAACCAACATATCCGCAATCCTTCGCTGCTCCACTTCCAAGGCCGCCACCTCCCAAACCCTATCGTCAGCAACGGCGCAACTCCTTCCCATCTCTTACACCCCTTGGCAGCAGGGTTTTCCGCCCTCACCTCGGCCAACCTCGTAGCCTAGTCAGCACTGTATGCTATTCCTCGATTTTCCCATCGTGCCACACTAAGCGGACCTGGTGCTACTGGTCGACACCTGTCAGACACTCCCACTCGGCGCGGTCAAGATCAGCAAGATCAGCGCTCGTATCCCGCCACAACCTGCTGTTTCGTAGGCGTGTATGCGCGACGGTGTGTGCGAGAAGACCGGTTTTTCGGGGACTTGTTTTTTTAGGGCTCCCACGAGTTTGTTGGGATTTGGGAGACATGGGGAAGGGAGGGGGTTGAGAGGGGCGGGCGATCGATGGCGAAGCTGTGGTTCGGTCGCGGTGAGTTGTTGGATTTGGTGTGTGCGTATTGTTGTATGCGCCTAGGAGACGCCGTCTGAATCTCGATACGACGTCAAGGATAGAGATCTTCGCTGGGGATTACTCACTGCGTACCCCCAAGGTTCCAGCCAGCGAGGATCTCTCCCTCCATGCCATCAAACCCCGATCGAGCATGAAGTGTCACCGGAGCAAGAACCCCTAATCCGCGGTGGCTGGGCAAAGTATATACAACCCCATATACCCCCACCACGTCATCATCTCGTAATCCCCGAGCCAACTGATATAGAGATCACCGCAGCCGGTCGCATTTATCCACACCGAAGTCCCGGATGACGTGAGAAGGTAATATCGTCGACGACTGCGAGCGGGGTGTTTTTTTTGCGAACGACTCGCCGAATTTGCTGAGGTGAGTCGCCTCGGAGAGTAGTGGGTGTGTCGATTTTCCTCATCTCATCTGGAATGCCGTTGCTTGCGTGCGAATCGAGCGTCTTGGAGGAGGTATCTCGACCGGCGGCGGTATTTTGTTTTAGTAGTGGGGCCGCTGGCGGCGAGAGGGCGGCGACAAGGGGTAAATTCGAAAGCGTCCGAGACGAACCCGCACCGGCGAGAAGGAACCCGCCTTCATCATCGTCAGGGGCGACGGACGGGGGCAGACTGACTTGGGGGCCGCGGGCGTAAATAATAACAACAACTGCCGAAACAGACCAGCGACGGTGCCGTCAACAAGGCGTCAGGTAGCGAGCTTTCCAACACCCCAGTGCCGCAGTAGACCCGCGAATGACGACGAGGTGAGCGAAGACGGATCGATGTATCTACTTCGCCTCTTTTCTCTTCACCGAGCGCAATTCCAGGCCTTGTCAATATCAATATCGATATTGAATTCCAGCCCCCATCCCGTAGCCCCTAGCCCCATCACCACCCGTGCAGCTTCCACGTGTACCCCCTCCCAACAGGCCTTATCCCAACCTAGAATGAATCCTACGGCCCCAATACGCCCCCAACCATACCCTGATCCCGTCGACGAGGATGGATGAAAGCCGCATTTCCTCCCTTGTCTAGGGGGAGTCGGGATCGAGGGACGGCTTATCTTCTACGGCTTGGGCGGAGGTGGGCTTACGGGTTGGGGTTGGGGGGGGAGATAGGGATATGCCTAGAATGGAGTAGAACAGCCTGGGCCAGATGTAAGATCTTGTTCCTGTTCCAGTTCAGGAGCGAGATAGCGGAAAAGTCCAGATAGTAATGCGCCATTGAAAGCCACCTACCTACTACCACATCGCGTAATCCGCCCATCTGGTCTGGAGCTCAACCCACCCAGCTCAGCCCGCCACGGGAACATCGCAAGGGCTTACATTCATTTACGGTATGCGCAGAACTATCGAACAAGGTATGCGACTATCGTACGCCTACAACAGGGGGACACTTGTACCGCACCCACCAACCCACTCGTCAGCGCAACGCCCGCATATGCATCGATCTGTGCAGGATCAATACAGACTACGCCGCGGGATCAATAAGTCTTCTTCCCGTCGCCAGGTATAGCCGTATTGGCCCTGTCTGTTCATCGCTGGCGATAGCAAGTGTCTGCTATGCCGCCGTGCCCGGGTTGTGAGACTCGTACCACCACACCCACCATGGTGTGTGCTGGCACACGGGAGTCACGAGGGGGGATGTGACAGCGGGATTATGGGTTGGGAATCCCGGAGTGTTGAGGCTGTGGGTGTGCTGGATGTGAGGGTGGTAAGGCAGATAGGGAGGTGGCGGTGAGAGGGGGAGCTGAACGCCGTGGCGCGATGGGGGTGGTGTGTAGGCGTAGGGCTGCTCAGGGCGGTGCCTGGGGTGGGGGTTTGGGAGCAGGAAAAAGAAGCGAGGGGGGGATGTGAGGTTGTTTGCGTTGGGGGGGAGGATGGGGGAGTGAGTGAGTGAATGAGTTTGTTGGTGATGTGATGTGCTGTGCTGTGCTGTGCTGTGCTGTTCTAGAACTACAGTGTATATGATCTTGTGCTGGTGGTAGAAGGTACATCCCCATTCTTTCCCGCCTCACGCCTCTTTTTGTTCATTCTATGGGACTATTGGGATTATTGGGACTATTGAAGTGTAAGGAGGTGGCTATGTGCTGGAGGTGGAAATTGAGTCCACGCACGGTAAGGAGTCGGCCATCGGGCTGAGAATCTCTGCCGCCGCCCTTCTCTCACCAGCGCCACCGCGCCTCTGTAAGATTACATCACCCCTTTCCTCACTCCCTCACAGTTCGCCCATCCCTTACCGCACAAACCCATCCATCACATCCACGACCATCACCAACTCATCACCATCCTATCCCACAACACACAACACCACAACAAACCCCTCGTATCGCCCACTCATCATCCGCATTCATCCGACGCATCACCACCCCCTGCCTCGGTTACCAGCCCTACCCCCATTGGCCGCCGATCAATTCAATAGCGCCGGGAAGCCCCTGCTAGCCCCTGCTAGCCCCTGTTAGCCCCCTCTACCTGTCGCTTTGTCCCTGGTGCCAGGCCCAAGGCGGTCTAGACGTGGCGTTAGAGTGATCGGTTGAGGGGGGTGTGTGCGTATCCGGCGACACGGGTGGTGCGGGAGAGAGACAGGGTGTGGGGGCTATGAATAGATACTGTGTACTGTACCTGTACCACGGAGCGAGGGGGGAGGTGCCGGTGGGTGGGTGGGTGGATTGGGTGGGTGTTGGTGCGGGAGTGGTGGTAGTACAGTGTTAGTAGGGTTGGCAGTGTTAGTAGTGTTAGTAGTGTTAGTAATGTGCAATAGAATGTGATATGCGACAGTAGTATGCCAGTATAGCAGGGTGTGATAAGGCGCTGAGTGGACCAAACTACTGTACGTGGCAGGCACGGCTCGCGAGGGGAGGCAGGGGAATACTACATATACGAGGTTTTCGCCTTGCTTTTGGGAAAAGGAGGCTATGGATCGTCTGGGCTTGGGTTCGCGATCGCGGTAGGACTTTTTTTTTCTTCCCGACGGTGCGCTGGGCGAAGGGCTGGTTGGGTTGACTGGTTTGTTTTTTTCTGGTTGACTCGCTGAGTGGATGACTGGTTACCCTCCCCTTTTTCTTGTTCTGTTATCGTGGTGGTGTGGTAAGGTAAGGCGCGGTTTGAGGGAAGATGCCGTGGTGAGTGGGCGTAATTGAGCAGTGTTTGAGGGAGATACCGCCTTGGTGAGTGGGCGCGGCGGCGCATTGAGCACGGTTATTGATATGGATTTGGATACGAAGAGATGAGGAGACACGGGCTGGGCTGGGCTGGGCGGGTGCTATGGCTTGCTGGCGCGATGTTTCTGGCTGGCTCTGTGCCTGGTGGCATATGCCGTTTTACTGACTGTGTGCTCATCTCATGATCATCAATGAGCTGGGCATGATGGATCGGATTGCTCGGCGTGAAATGGCTGAGCTGAGTGATCCATCCCACTCATTTACGAGAACAGACATATACGCCCAAAATCGCATTGGACAACCACAACAATCCCCGTCTGTGCTAGAGTACTATAGACACCGTAAGACTGTAAGACTTGCATGTTTTAGCACATACGAGCTCCATGAACCCTACTAGCACCCCGCTCTGAAGGAGTTGGCATTGGCGTACATTCGCCGGTCCAATCTTTTCGTTTGTTTGCGTCTGCCGAGCCGAGAGACACCTGGCTGGCACTTCTCCCGGTCCTCTCTATCTCCCCCCTCCGTGCCTCCCGTCGTCCTTCCAACATCCACCACCCCATCCCACACCCCTCAATGCATGCAGGCAGTCTCCGCCTTGGGACGAAACTACCTGTTTCACCACCCACCCAATTGTCCGCGCGCCAACCAGAGAATATTCTGCAGCACCGGCCACAGCATCTTATTTATTTATTTTAGGAAATCCCGCGGAAACCGTGGTGTGTGTGTCATTACGATGTGGCTGCATTTTGATGTTTTGTGGTCCCCCAACCAAGACACCGTTCTCATCTGTGTCTCTACAGCACGCGGCGAAATGCCTAATGCTTTGCTTGTTTTCTTTCTGTTTTCAAACCTCAGAGACATGCATGGACACATACTGTAGACAGGTGACTCCGAGACGTCATCGATGCTGCAGCTTGTCTCTGCTTGTCCTCTGTCACTCAGCATCAAGTGCTTACCCAATGCTTTTCCGCGCTGTCTAGTTGATGTTGCTGCTGCACCTTGTTCCACAATAAGCCGCCTGTGACCTGGTATAGCTCTAGCAACTTCCGAACCCGTCTTACTTATTTTTATATTGATAATTCTGAGCCGCCATGCCTCATTGACTTGGCAGCCATCCATCCCCCACAGCCTATCTATCCCTTGTCTCATCCACTTCCACGAAGCCACACAACGCCTCACAGGCTCCCACCCCCATTTTATTTCAGGTTCTGTTCCAGTGGGGAAAAACACGTTTGTCGTGTATGCCGCTACCTACCCACTGCCACTTGTACGCGTGGAAGAACCGGGGACAGTGCGCAGAACGATACGACCATACTACCATACCAAGCCCTACTATCCTTCGCCAGCCGTGTGCGAGCCTTCTGATATGTACCTGGTTCATCCCCGCTGATCCATCCCTAGCCAAGCATTTCGTCCCGATCTTGCAAGGTCTCACTACTAACCCAGGCGCGGATTTTGTAGTGCAGATCGGTCAGAGGGCAACACACCTTGACCAGGTCTCTCGTCCTTCCTGACTTCCTCTTCTTCAAGACGAAGTGAATTTCGTTTTCCAAAACCACATTCGTTTCGTTGTATCACAATCTTTGCTTGTTTTTGCAACATAGGGCATCATGGCTCCTCCATTGCTGCAGCTGGGTTCACTCTCGCTTTTGCTACTCTCGGCAGTAAGTTCTTCTCCCGGTGGTATCACTGATGCACGGCGCGCGCATGCACCGTCGTAAACAGCGTCGACTATGTGCGCGTTGACCGACGGAAGCTTTTATAATAACATTTGGGAATTCAGGTCACACCTTCGCTCGCCGCTTCAGTCAATACTGCGAGTTTGCCAACCAACTGGTCCTACAAAGGATGTTACGTGTATGTGTTTGCCCTGTGCTCGTCCCGAGTCTCCCGCATTCAAGGGATACTAATTCTAACAACCTCCTTCCTATAGCGATAGTGTAGCAGCCCGTGTCCTCAGCGGATCTGCCTACAATTCGGACACACAGACCGAAGAGGCCTGCGCATCATACTGTGACACGAAAGGCTTCAAGTACGCCGGTGTTGAGTATGGCGTGGAATGCTGTAAGTCCCCGTCGCACTTGAACCCTCCTTACGCACGCCAAGCCATTGAGTCTCAGAATATTGTTCTCTGCGCGGGACAACGCGGTGCAACAGCGTTCAGAGTGCTAACGAGGCTTGATAGACTGTGGCAATACCCTCACTTCTGCCCTCGGTGCTGAGACCGACTGTGCTATGACCTGCGGTGGCGACGCGAACGAGCTGTGTGGCGGTCCTAACAGGATGAATGTCTTTGAGAACACCGCCATCTCCGCATCCACTCCAGTTACCACGCCCGTTCCCGCCAACACCAATGTTGCTGTCGCAGGCTGGACAGCTGGCGGTTGCTACACGGATACTGTAGCTGCCCGAAGCCTTCCACAAGGCGTGCCCGTTGCCGGAAATGCGCCCATGACTGTTGAGCTCTGCCTGGCAGCATGTCAAGCAGCTGGATATAAGATTGCTGGCGTCGAATATGCGAGCCAGTGCTACTGCGGCAACGCATTTGCTAATGGCGGTGCCCTCGCCCCCGATGGGAATGCACTGTGCAACATGCCATGTGATGGTAATGCGGCAGAGATGTGCGGAGGCCCGGATCGTCTCAATGTATTCTTCTTTGGAGACTCTAGTAACACAGGAACCGGTACGACTACGGCCCCTCCGGTTACCACCCCCCTTCCCTCCACCAGCGCTGTTGCTGTCGCTGGCTGGACAGCTGGCGGTTGCTACACGGATACTGTCGCCGCCCGGAGCCTTCCACAAGGCGTGCCCGTTGCCGGAAATGCGCCCATGACCGTCGAGCTCTGCCTGGCAGCTTGTCAAGCAGCTGGGTACAAGATTGCTGGCGTCGAATACGCGAGCCAGTGCTACTGCGGCAATGCATTTGCAAATGGCGGTGCCCTCGCCCCCGATGGAAACGCGCTGTGCAACATGCCGTGCGACGGCAATAAGGCAGAGATGTGCGGAGGCCCGGATCGACTCAATGTGTTCTTCTACTCAGGCTCTGGTTCCACCACTGTAAGTGGAACTGGTACTGGAACCGGTACGACCACGGCCCCTCCAACTAACACTCAGCCCGCTGGATCTGGAACCGCAACTAAACTCCCCGCAGGATGGTCCTATAAAGGTTGCTGGGTCGACAATAACCAGGGCCGTATCATGAACGGACCCCAGGCGGACCTAACCACAATGACGATCGAATCCTGTATCGCAACCTGCGTCGCCGCCGGATACGCCATCGCCGGACTCCAGTATTCCTCCCAATGCTTCTGTGACAACCTACTCAAGAACTCGGCCACCCTGGCTGCGGTCGATACCATGTGCTCCACGCCATGTTCCGGCTCCTCCGTCGAGATCTGCGGCGGCGGCAACCTGGACAGCGTCTACGCCTCCCGCGACATCGAGGTCATCGGGCCGGCCGCCCCCCAAAAGAGTGCACTCCCTGGACTCTGGCAATACAAGGGCTGCCTCATGGACCAGGACCCCAAGTCTCTCCCGGAGAAGATCGTCTACACTGGAACTAACACTCCCAACAAGTGCTTGAAGGCATGCTCTGATTACGGTTACAACGCTGCTGGTATGGAGTACGGTGAGGAGTGCTACTGTGGTGATAAGAGTGATCCTTCCAAGCAAGGAGCTAAACTCGTCGCCGAGTCTGACTGCTCCACTCCCTGCCCCGGTGACGCCCGCTACCTCTGCGGTGCTGGTAACAGACTCTCCTACTACGAATGGGTTGGTGCACCAATTCAGAATTACGGATTCCCCCAGGGTGCCGCAGCTGGCGAGTATGTTCTCCTCGGCACGGCCCCCGTCATCGCCCTGATTACCACCCAAGGTCTTAACGGCAAGGTTACCTTTGTCGAGAAGTCTGGCACGTCTACTACTCCTGGCTCAACTGGTGCTTACGAGTGGGATCCCTCTACCAACACTTTCCGTACTATGCACGTCAAGACCGATGTCTTCTGCTCTGCTGGTCTCGTTCTCCCTGACAAGGTTGGTCGCCAAATCAACATTGGTGGCTGGTCCGGTGACTCTACTTACGGTATCCGTCTGTACTGGCCCGATGGATCCCCAGGCAAGCCATCCGTCAACGACTGGCAAGAGAACTACCAGGAGCTGGCTCTGCAGAATGGTCGCTGGTACCCTAGTGCTATGGTCATGGCTAACGGCTCCATTCTCGTCGTTGGTGGTGAGAACGGATCCAACGGCCCACCCGTGCCAACTCTTGAGCTGCTTCCTCGTGCCGGTGGCACCCTCTACATGGAGTGGCTCCAGCGCACCGATCCATACAACTTGTATCCCTTCCTCGCTGTCCTGCCTTCCGGCGGTATCTTCGTGGCGTACTACAACGAGGCTATCATCCTGGATGAGAAGACCTTCGCCACCCAGAAGAAGCTCCCCAACATCCCCGGCGCAGTCAACAACCCTCTCGGCGGCCGCACCTACCCTCTCGAGGGAACCATGGTTCTCCTACCCCAACACGCTCCGTACACCGATCCCCTCGGCGTCCTGATCTGCGGTGGCTCCACCCCCTACGGCGGCTTCGCCATCGATAACTGCGTTTCCACCGTCCCCGAGGCCACGAACCCAACCTGGGTCATCGAGAAGATGCCCTCCAAGCGCGTCATGTCCTGCATCTGCGCCCTGCCCGACGGAACCTACCTGATCCTGAACGGCGCCCACGTCGGCGTCGCCGGTTTCGGATTGGCCTCTGACCCCAACCACAACGCTCTTCTGTACGACCCAAGCAAGCCTATCAACTCGCGTATCAGCATCATGGCGAATACTACCATTGACCGCTTCTACCACTCTGAGGCTATCTTGCTTCAAGATGGCCGCGTCCTCGTCACGGGTTCTGACCCGGAGACCGATGGCCTGCAGCAGGAATACCGCATTGAGGCTTTCATCCCACCTTACCTCAAGACCGGTCGCCCAGTTCCTTCTTACACAATCACCAACAAGGACTGGAAGTACGGCGCCACCATCACGGTGACCGTCACTCTTCCATCTGGAGGCGTGCCCAAGTTCTCCCTCATGGGCGCCGAGAGCAGCACCCACGGTAACTCTATGGGTCAGCGTACCATCTTCCCGGCGTTCAAGTGTACCGGCAACACCTGTACCATTACGGCGCCGCCGAATGCACATGTTTCCCCACCTGGATGGCACCAGTTGTTCCTCCTCGAGGGCGGCGTGCCAAGTAAGAGTCAGTACGTGAGAATCGGTGGTGATCCCGGTAACTTGGGCGCCTGGCCCAAGTTGTCGGATTTCAACGTGCCCGGTTCTGGTTAAATCTAGATACCTTGGGTAGGTGTGAAAGGAGGGGATGAGTTTGGGGATTTTTGAGATTTGGTTTTAAGTTGTTGGCTTGGATTGGATAAGGGGATGAATGGAAGGGGAATTCTTTGATGTGTGCGCTGTGAGTTTTCTCTTTATTACGAATTTTTAGAGTATTCAAAAGTGGAAAGATGGAATGGGAGACTGGGGGAGAAACATCAGAAACTATAGGATGCCTACTTCACGGGGTGGGGATATATCCCTTTTTTACATAGACGGACAGATGAACACACACTTATGTGAGGGGTTGGGGGTTGCGATATATTACAGCTCTCTACGAGCATGGAAGGGATTAATTGTTGGGTTGCGGGTGCTTGTTGTAGTTAGTTAGTTCTTAATTATATAATTAGACTGATGAAGGTGTTTATGGGTTGCTGTTCTGCCAATCCTCCCTTTACCCCGTGAAGGGAGGATTAGCAGAACGACACCCATGAATACTAACAATAGTCGAGAACCTTCAGGAGTAATTCTCGTGCACCCTGGAAATTGAACGTGAAACCGTCTGTTCGTATACAGTCGTAGGATTAGCAGGTTGCTCATAAATCCAAATATAGCTGTCAATGACAATTCCCAGTCGTGTCCATGCTATTTTCAGTCTTTCCCAGGCAGCAAAATTAAACTTTGATAATCCGCGTCGCCCACACATGTCCACTTTGGCGCCAAGTGTCCACACAACCACCACTGACCGCCGACCCAATGCAGCGACGACCACCACACGTGGATTGATATACCATCAGCACGTCTTATGGACAGGTCCGCGGAATCCAGTGACATCGCGTTTCAAGTTTCAATCTTTGTAATCTTTGTAATAACGACACGTTTCCAGTGCATATACGAGAACTTCGGTCTGTACGAGACATCTGGATAATCGGTGTTGCCTAATCAATCCATTGACTCGATTACAAATGCCGTCCACATCCGCATCCGCATCCACATCCACATAACTAAGACACGCCTCAGCCTTCGGATGCTGTGACGGCTGACACAGCATAAACCATCACCAAAGTTATAATCTGATCTAACAAATACATACATTCATTTTTCCTGGCTACGCCCACCCACCCATCAAAATGGACTGGCCCTACCACATCAACACCACCCTCACTACCTCTCAAAAGCTCCTCCGCCGCCAAACCATCGACCGCTACGGCCTCTACGCGCATCTCTCCCCCCTCCTCCCCATCGCCTTGTACTGGCTATACGTCCTCTTCAAATGGGTCGTACGGGCGCGCCAGACGAGGGGCGAGTATGCGGCTGTGCCGGGGTCGCCGCATGTGAAGAGGGAGGCGAGGACGGCGGCGGGGAGGGCGGCGAGGTGGTGGAGGGGGGGGTTGTGGTGGGTTGGGGGGAGGGGTGAGGAGCAGGAGAGGGTGGTGCATCAGTTGGCGGGGTTGGTGTGGGCGGTTTGGTTGGGGGGGTTGGCGGTGCATGGGACGGGTGATGGTGAGTTGAAAGCGTTTTCTTGAGTCTTTTTATTGAGTGGAGGGGGGCGGATGGGCGGAAGGGGAGGTTGTTTATGTTCTGCTTTGCGGGGGTGTTGGATTGGAAGTTCAAGTCTAATACTTCTGTTTTTATCATCTGTTCCTATATTTTTCTTTCCAATCGTCCATGGTATTCTTCGTCTTGAAGCTAAGACCTCGCAGATTACCTCCACCTCACCAAACGATTCGGAATGATCGCAGCATCCCAGCTGCCCATACTGTACCTCCTCATGATGAAGAACCGCTACTCCCCACTCCGTTACCTCCTCCGCGCCTCCCACGAAGAGCTCAACCCCTACCACCGCATCCTCGGCCAAATCATCGTCACCCTCTTCAGCCTCCACGCCGGCTTCTACCTCAACTTCTTCATCCGCGCCAACCTCGTCAAGAACCTCTTCACCCGCCCCGTCCCATCACTAGGTCTACTCTCCATCATCTTCATCCTAACCCTCTACATCACCAGCATCAAAACCATTCGCACCTACAGCTACCGCATCTTCTACGCAACCCACTTCACCATCAGCCTCCTCCTCGCCCCAATCCTCTTCTTCCACGCTGCCCCCGTCCGCCTCTATCTCATCGAGACCCTCGTATTCGTCCTCTTCAACCTTCTCACCCGCCGCCTAACCTCCTTCCTCGCCCCCTCCACAATCACCGCCCTCCCCCAAACCACCCTCCTCAAACTCAACATCCCCATCCCCCCCTCCCACCGCCGCCTCTACGCAAACTCCGCAGGACAACACGTCTACCTCTCCATCCCACCCCCCAGTCAACCCTCCACCGGAGCCGCAATCCTAAATCTCTGCTCAAACCCCTACACCATCTCCTCCATCGCCCCCGACACCAAATCCCTAACCCTGATCGCGCGCTCTCTCTCCGGCCCAACCTCCGCGCGCCTCCTTGAACTCGCTGAGCTCTGGAAAGCCCGCCCGCCTTTGCGCATCGAGGGGCCGTATGGCGGTTCTACCCGGTTTCCCGATTTCGCTAGCGAGTTTGACCGGGTCTTACTAGTTGCCGGAGGGGTGGGAGGGACGTTTGTACTACCGCTTTATCAGCGCGTGAGGACGGAGATGGAGAGGAGGGGTTTGAACACGGAGAGGGTTGTTATGGTGTGGTCTGTTCGGAGCGCAGCGGAGGTGGAGTGGGCGGCTGAGGCGGTGGGGGAGGTAGCGAGTGGGGTTGAGATTGTGGTTACGAGGGAGGAAGAGGAGAGGGGGTCTGTGGATGGGGGTGGGGGGGTTGAGATGTTAGATTTGGCGGAGGAGGGGGGGAGAAGGAAGAGGGGACGGGTGGATGTTGGGGGGGTTGTGGATGGGGTGTTTAGGAGGGGGGAGGGGGAGAGGGTTGCGGTTATTGTGTGTGGACCGGGGGGGATGGCGAGGGAGGTCAGGACGGCGGTGGGGAGGTGGGTGGGGAAGGGGAGGGATGTGTGGTTCCATGAGGAAGGGTTTGGGTTTTGAGTCGCTGTAAAATTTCATGTTTAAACTTAGATTCTCTATATACACACAGTTACTTTTCCGAGGCCAGGTCTTCTAATCTGTGACCAACCTACGCCTTCCACTCCAACGACCACGTCTCCTCACCAGCCCTAAACGGCATAATCTCCAAATCTCCCTCTCCCCTCAGCATATCCGCCACCTTCGACGCACCCCTCTTCAGCACAATCTTCTCCCCATTCGCCTCAACCCCATAAAACTTCCTTCCATACCCACCCAAGAACCCCTCAATACCCTCGACCGTCACCTCCTCCTCCTTCAACAACCCCTTTCCAACAGCGCCCACAAAAGCCTCAAGAACCAACTGCGTCGCCTCTCCCTGCGTAAAGCACCCCGCGGCGGGCTTCCCCCTCATCTCCTTCGCTGACAGCGCATGAGGCGCTGAATCAGAGCCGAAGAAGAACTTCTCTCCCCCTGCCGCAGCAGCACTAAGCAGTGCCTTTCGGTCCGCCGGGAGCTTAGCAACAGGCTTGCAGAAGTGGTGCGCGTTGCCGACCACCTCATCGATGGTAAGGTACAAGTGGTGCGCCGTGATAGTCGCCGCAACGGTAGGCCCGCACGCCTTGACTGCCTCGATGGCCGCAGCGGTTGTGCAGTGCTCGAGGATGATGCGGAGGCGGGGGAAGGCCTCATGCAGGGTGCGGAGGGTGGGGAGGAACTTCTCCTCGGCGGAGAGGACGGTGATGGATGAGTCTGCGGTGGAGGGGAGCTCGCCGTGGAGGTTGAGGATCATGTTGTGCGATTCCATGGCAGCGAAGACAGGGTAGAAGACGCTGTAGTCTACGACGCCGGCGGAGGAGTTTGTGGTCACGCCTGCGGGGTAGGATTTCACGTTCTTGATGCCGGCGGCGGCGGCTTCGGCGATGGTGGCGGGGGTGACGTCGGGGTGGAGGTAGAGAGACATGAGGAACTGGACTTTTGGCTCCAGGGCTTGGAGGCTTGCTTGGTACTGGAGGGCGTGGGCGACTGTCGTGATCGGAGGAACAAGGTTAGGCTAGTATATAGTTAGTGGAGGAATCTTGGACAGAGAGGGAGGAGGTAAGTACCATAACCATCACGCAGTTTACTCCGCCAGCTCTAATACTGGGAACGACGAGGTTCTTGGTGGCGCCGTCGCGGAGATGGACATGCATATCCGCCGAAGCGGGCAACTCCAGGGTCTGGAGCTTTTCGAAGACCATTTTGGCTAGAATTGGAATGAAAGAAGTGGAGGTGATGCTGAGAAGCGCTGGGATGAGAGTGATATAATCGGAATATATATTTTAAGTTTCGGGACCCCGCGGTTGACGCTGAATTGGGTCGGGCGGTCAGTGGGGTAACTTTCCATCAACCGGACTATTGTTCCTCCCCTACCGAGTCAGGACCAGGAACTAGCAAGGGACCCCATGCACCAAAAGTTTACCATCCGTCAGAAACGTTACAAACCACGAACATATCTCTGTCGTTTGGCAGAGAACCTCACTTCAGTCTTTCCTTCAGGTCGCCAGCGATGTTTACTGTACTATAGATTGATTTCCTCTTTTATTTCAACTTTCACTTCCACAATAGACAGCGTCAGCTCCGCAACCCGCCAGGATGAACACCATGGCCTCGCGCGCCCTGCGCACCTCCTCGCACCTCCAGCATAACTCACCACTCGCCAGCATCTTCCTCCAGCACATCAACACCTCAATCCCCCTCAGCCAGCGCCACACCTCTCGCACCTACTCAACCGATACCACTGAGTCCCTCACGACGGAAAAACCCCGCAACAACCGCCTCAACCCGCCCACCTCAACGCTCCCCCCACCCCTCGTCATTCCCCCGAAGAACCCCGACCAATCCTTCTTCCGCACCCTCTTCAACCAAGGAAAAGGCTACCTCACCTTCTACAAAACCGGCGCCCAAGCCATCTTCACCAACCTCTCCCTCTCGCGCGCCCCGCAAGAGCTCGTCGATAAGAAATACAACGGCGCCGTCTACGAAGCCGTTCGCGACCGCAACTTCAGCCGCGCGGATTACCAGCTCCTCCTCCGCTCGTGGCACGACATCAAGCGCCTTCCTGTCTTCGGACTGATCTTTATCGTCTGCGGGGAATTCACCCCGCTCATCGTCTTCGCCGTCTCCAGCGTCGTGCCGTACACATGTCGCGTCCCGCGCCAGATCGAGGCGGATCGCGAGAAGGTCGAGGCAAGACGCAAGACCTCGTTCCGTAACTTGACAATGGCGTTCACGCCGGGGAAGGAGCTGGAGAGGGAACAGCTGCTGCATATCTCGTGGTCGTTGGGCTTGTCGAGCAAGAATTGGGATCATATTGGTGGCACACCGATGACGCTGTTGAAGGGGCGCGTGGCGAGGCATGTTGAGTATCTGCAGACGGATGATAGGTTGATTAGACGCGATGGGGTGTTGGGTGATTTGGAGACGGAGGAGGTTGCGATTGCGTGCGCGCAGCGCGGGATTGATGTTGTTGGGCGTAGTGAGGAGCATTTGAGGGAGATGTTGGAGGGATGGATGGCGGCGAGTAAGAAAACGCCTGTGGAGAAGCTGCTGCTGACGAGGTAAGTTTCTTCTTGCTGCAAGGAGAACTGGGTTGAGAGAAATGAAGATCTATTGCTAACTGTTCACCTCATAGACCGAATGTCTGGCCAGTGCCAGCGAAGAAGGACAACTGATTTCCAAGCACAACGGACACATTACGGTATTTGGGCATTAACGGCATCCACTCTGATTTTTGGGACATCTGTATTATCATCTACTACATCAGCCGCGATATCCCATCTCTATGTACACTAAAGCCATCCCGCACGGAGGCGTTCAGGAAGATAGACGAGCTCATCCGCTCAATTGAGCGGAGGGAACGAACAAAATAAGAGAGCTCAGAAAGGGCAACTCTATGTAGAACACCATATCCAGCTCAGATATATTTAATGTACCATAAGCTATAGCTCCCAATGCACCTCAATGCACCCGATTCTAGACCGTCAACGTGATATAATTGATGCTATCTGCATCCCCTTCCCTTTCCCTTAGCTCTTTCTCCCCCTCATTTGTCGATTTCGTACATACATACTCATTACATAGCCACCTTGCAAACGCATAACCCCCCGCTAAAGCCGTAAACCGATACGGCACCCATCAAACGCAACCCCACTCTTCATCCGTCTCATTGCCTAAACCTCGCCAACTGCGCCATAATATTCTGCACATCCTCTGCGCTCTGACCTCCCTGCATCTGTCCCTGTGCCTGCTGTCCCAACCCCGCCGCGCCAAGAAGAGCGCCCAAATTCTGTGTCGCGCTTTGGGGCGGGTACTGAGCCTGTTGTTGGGATGGGTATTGTTGCTGTTGTTGCTGCGGCTGTTGAGCAGATTTTCCCATCAGACCTCCTAGGATACCAGCCAGGTCTACCTGCCCATTGCCCTGGTTCTGCTGCTGCTGTTGTGGCGTTGGGGATTGGATGGGTGCATTCAGTGTCCCGAGCAGCTTCTGCAGAGTCGCGTTGTCGAGCTGGCCGACGATACTCCCAAGGTTAGGAGTTGCTTGTGCAGCCGGGGCTCCGTATTGTTGACCAGCCTGTTGTCCATACGCCGGTGCAGCTTGGGCCGGAGCAGTAAGTTGTTTTTGCTTCTCACGGATCACCAGCTCCGCTGCAATACGGGGCTCCAGGTCTTCATACTCATCGAAACGGACATTATCCGCGCCCCGCGTACGATCAAAGACCTGCAGCGGTATCCTGCTCGTTTGCTGCGCCTTGTGCGTCAATTTGACAACAGCAAGAACACCTTCCAGAATCTGTCGGCGGACGACGACATCCACGGGTAAGCGTGCGCTGAGGAACATGACTTCGCTCTTTAAACCACGACCACGGATTTCACCCTCGACCCAGCTAATGAAGTTGCGGTCGAGCTCTTCGAGGAGGATGATCTGCACCTCCGGGACGTCGCGGGTATCACGACGCGGGATGCCCAGCGCAGCATCTTCGTCCATTTCGCGACGCCGAGGGCTGGGACTCCTCTCGCGGTAGCGTCCGCCGTCTCTACGGTCGTAGACAGGGGAACGAGACCGGGTGTGCCGGCCATCGTGGCCACCATAGCTATCTCGCCCGCGATTTTGGCCGTACTCATCGCGGCCGCCACGGAACCCACCACGTTGTGGCGAGGGAGACCTGAGGGCTCGGTAGTCCTCACGTCCACGTGTGGCAGCGCCGCGGTGGTCGCCTTCGCGGGGCGAGGCGACAGCTCGTCCATCGTACCGATCGTAGCCCTGGGGTTGGTTCCGGCCTTGTCCTCCACGGCCACCTCCGCCGCCTCTTTGATGCTCCGGGGATCGCGAGCGGCGTTGGGTAGCAGGTTGCGCTTGTCCAGGTCCAGCCTGTCGGGTGTTCTTCTGGGGTTTGGAGATCTCGAGGTCTGTTGAAGTTAGTATGGATTCATGACAAAGTGGTGGCAGTATGAGACTTACGCATCTTCCTCCCTCTGATTTCCTGGCCCTGTTCGCGCTGGAGGGCGGCATGACAAGACTTGATGTCGTGGAATTGGACGAATCCATAGGCCTGCTTGATAGATACCTGTGCCAGCCTGCCAAACTTGTGAAAGATGTAGAATATATCACGCTTCGTAACCTTCTCTGTTGGCAAATTACCTGTACGTGGTCAGCAAGGTGATAAATAAGTAGAAGAGCCACATAACATACCTATGAATAACCTTGATCCCGCAGGGAACCTGTCCCATAAGCCTTCGGAGACATACATCCGCTCATCGGCCAAGAATTTATCATACAGGCTTTGGACATCAGCGCCCCACTGGATTTCACCTGCGTCTTCAGCATCACCAGCCTCGACGGAAGTCTGGGCTCTGTCTTGCTTGGGGTGAGGGGGGAGTGTAGACGACGGAGGAGCTGGCAATGATGAAGGGGCATTGAAGGAGGCAGCTGGGGGTGGGGGGAGGATGTTTCTAGCATCGGCCTTTGTTCCTGGCGCACCAGAAGAAATAAGGGGCATAGGCATTCCCGGCGCTCTGTATGCGGTAGAGCCTGGTGGGACAGCAAAGCTGGGGCCGGCATGGTATTTGCGGATGTCATCTTGAGAAGCATACGCCGGGTGCATGGCAGGCTTTTGCAGGACTTGCGGGCGTGGAGGGAGGCTTGAGTGAGAAGGGAGAGTTGAGGGCCCGGTTGGTCCGGGTGGCCCCGGTGGGAAGGTTGGAGAGCTAACAGTGGTTGCGGTGGGTGTGCCATTTGCGGAGGTGGCATTGATTTCAGCATTGGCCGTGATGTTATCAAGCAGCTGCTGAATGTCTATCTCGCCTTTGGCAATACTCTCATAGGAATGGGCTGGAGGGGCTTGAGATTGGGCCTGGGTTGTCTCAGACATCGCGGGGTCGGAACCGCCATCAACAGCAGCAGCTAGAGGAGCAGGCTCAGAAGAAGTCGTAGGAGGGGAGGTAATGGGGTTAAGGGAGGAATTGTCGATGGGCTCCGTAGTGGTATTGGTGATGGAAGGGATGGTGTCGATGGGGGAAGGAGCGGTCTCAGAGCCTGATAATGGAGCAGGCGCTGACTGAACAACTTCATGTTGATCGACAGCCTCGCTTGAATCTTCTGGACTATTTGAATCCGCCTCGCCATCAGACTCAAAGGTCATCGCATAATCATCGTCGACCTCGCCTCCTGCCTGTGCTCCTGGCGCAGCAGCGTTGCTTTGCTCTGGTTTATCCTCCTCTTCATATGGATCCGAGAAGTTACTCGCCGCGTCGCTTGTATCATTATCATCATCCGCCGTCGCATTTGAATTCGTAGGAAGATTGTCGGTGGGCGCGTCTGTCGATGACGCGGTATGGGTGGATGTCATATTGAAAATAGGGTCGATCTGGTTCTGGAGGACTGGGAGATTCGATGGGATTGAGGGGTGAGATGGGACGGGAGAGACTGGAGTGGTTGGGTTGGTATGGAATTTGGGCGCGTCCCAAATCATAAATCCAGAGGGTCGGGGCAATCTGCCTCGCGACTCGCACTGCTATAGTGATGGTGGGGGGGTTGTTGATGGAACGGCAGAAGAATCAAGGATTGATTTCCGGCTGGAGGGGTGGAGGCGAAGGAAGGGAGAAGGGATTAGAGGTGGAAATGGAGGAGGATAAATAGATTGTTGGATTGAGTCGTGGATCGGAGATGTAGAGAACAAATGTCGAAATGGGTTTGCTTGCTTAGCTACGTGGATGTGGGTGCGGAGGTGGAAGAAGGCATTCTAATAAATCAGATTCACTCTTTCACGCTGGGCGGGGGATCTGGGGATCTCTTGCGGGTGGCGTTGGTGACGGTATGGCGCTTGCTAAGGTGCCGGTTTGGCGTGTGTAGGTTTGCAGGGCAGATGAAGTCGAGTTTGGAGGTTTGGGGGATGGGGAGATGGTGGAAATGGAGATGGAGATGGGGATGAATTGAAAATAGACGCGATGTTGAAGAGACTTGAGGTGAAGTCATGTATGTTGCTTGCGCCAGAAAGCTTAGTCAGCCGCCTAAGCCACATCCTTACGAATCACGTGCAACCTATGGACTCTGGTCAAACCGATATCAGTCACCTCTCACATCTACCGCTAGCAATTGTCATATAACTTCCAGATGACAGGTTCCTGGTTGCATCATATCAGATCTTTATTACATTAAGAACGGAAAAAAGATCCTGGTAAGAGTTACTCTCGTGGGACCCTGAGAATATCAACCCCTGCCCTCCTGCATCTTTGATAAGCCGTCTCATCGACCACCACAAAGAGATCAAAGAGGATGAAAGACTCGGGACTTCGAGTCCTAAATGCCCCACCTATGCAGCCGCCGAATGCAGAAAACCATTATGTCCCGTCACATTAGACTATTTGCTATACCACGCCCCGTGGTACAACAACCCCAACAACTCGTCTTGAGTTTGCCAATCCGCCAGTTTGCAACCCCATCACGCAACGGATCCGGCTCAGAATCACCCTATTCAGACGAGGAATACGCGGCTGCTCGGGAATGGGCCTCAACATTCAAGCCGGGCTCATTACCACGAGACCTGGCACAAACACGATTTGACCGGTCATCAGGCAAGGGCGGGCAGCATGTGAACAAGTAATACCCCTCAAGCAATCATCTTCTAATTGAGAAACCCTAACGCCTTCCAGGACAAATTCAAAGGCCACGAGTGCGTGGCAGATCAAGTCAATAGCGCCATATGTGCCGGCAATGGTGACCAAGGAGCTGCGTGCGTCGCGGTACTACTCTAAGAACTCTGATTGCCTCACCATTGCCTCCCAGGAAGGTCGCGTGCAGCGCGATAATGAGGATAATTGCCATGAGAAGCTCTATGAACATATTGCGGATATCGCCAAGCGAATCATTCCGGGTGAGACGTCGGAGGCTGCGAAGGCAAAGGCAGCAAAACAGTAAGTATAGTAATCAAAAATGCAACGAACAAGTTGATAGCTGACAGTCGTTCGCAGAAAGAAAATTGGAAATGCCATCCGTTTGCAATCCAAGAAGGAGCACAGCATGAAGAAGCAATCCAGGAGCAGCAAAGGGGGAGATTATTAGGACGGCAGAGTCGTCGCGAACTGCCACATCTCGCAAATGATAAAGAGACATGCATGTCCACCGGGCCTAGGCTGTGGTAGGCTCGAAAGAAGTAATGGCCAACTGATAATTTGGATATCATAGTTGGAAGTGGGCCTTGGAGTCTGCCGTCGCGGGCAGATTTACACTGTAAGAAAGTCGGCGAATCAACGCAAGGCAGTCCGTCGATGAACGAGAATTTTAAGCAGAATCAAATGTAAATAATAGATACAAGTATGATAATTATATAGATACCCATATCATAGTACGGAATGAAAATAATCCGATTGCTCTTTCCATAGTAATCATTCCAAGTGCTCCGCAGCATCCATGTAGTTCGAAGTATGTGTATCATTAGAATCAGGAAATGGTAGTGTCGATTGGTATTAGCAAGTAGCGGCGTTCAAGATATGTGTACCAGTAAATGAGAGATTATGCTTCATTCACTGTCTCTAAATAAACTTCAACTAGCCATCCCCATCCCCATCCCCAAGAATGCCTAAATTACAGGTTTGGCAGCCTCATAACAGTATCCGTCACCTTGTTATCACCGCCCAACTGCCCAGCGCCCAGAATAAGCAAGTAGTCTGGGTCATCCATGACCAGCAAGCTCCTCGTATACGCACTCTCCTGAGGCGTCTTATGCATGACCCACGCATCCTTATCACCCGCCTTGGTATTGACGAAGACCTCAGAGTGGCTCGCAGCACTCACAACAATAGTCCCATTCTTCCCCCCCGACGGGCTCCAAACAACGTACGGCGACCCCGTCGGCACGACGCCACCCGCGTTAATCACCATCTCCTCCGCCTCATCGAATTTCCTCGGGTCCGCAGCAATCTTATAGTACACGGGGAACCACCCGCTGTTAGCGGGATTATAGCCGCCGCCAAACTCATACAGCATGAGGTAATCGCCGTTGCGCAGGCGCGCGACGGTCGTCATCCCAGGGCGATTATCGTACGTAGCAGACGAGGCATCATCGACCGGCGGGCCCCAGTTCACGAGGTCCGAAGTGACCTGATGCGACAGCTTTTGGCCATGTTCCGGGTCCCGCTGATCGGCGTAGTAGGCGATGAGCTCGTTCTTGTGGACGAGGAGGAAGGGTTCCCAGACGGGTGTCTCGCCGTTGTTGGGGATGCCGCGGCCGCCGGAGGCGACGCTGGAGACGAAGGTCCAGGTCTTGCCGGAGTCGCGGGAGGCGTAGATGTCGATCTTGGTTTTGCTGAGGTCGGTGGGGAGGGAGTTGCCGGCGCAGAGGATGGTGCCTTTTTTGAAGGTGCCGATGGCGCGGGGGAGGACGTAGAGGAAGGGCTGGTAGCGGAGGCCCCAGCCGTTTACGGTGTCTTTGACGGTGGAAAATTGGGCCCAGGTCTTGCCTTTGTCGGTGCTTTTGTAGATGGGGTAGTGGACAATTGGTGGCTCGGGAGAGTAGTTTTCCCTGGAGCGTGTTAGTTGAGGTTTTTACTAGGAAGGCATTGGGCTTTACCAAGTCGCGAGCAGAGTTCCATCCTCGAGTTGGGCGGTACGACCATAGAGAGTCTTTGGAGTGTTGTAATCCCGAGGCGGAACGAAGATTGTCTGCTGGGAGAATTCCGTAACAGCACACTTCTTAGGACCTGCTCCTGCTGGAGGTGCAGCATACGTGGAAGTGATGGACAAGGCCCACGCCAAACATGTGGCGATGCCGCGCATTATGAGATTCTTGCTTCAAAGCTAATCCGTTGATGGGAATGAGACGATGGCAGAGAGTGCTGATCTTTCAATTTTATGGGTATGTGATGATCTTTATATACTCTTTTCCTAGCTAATTACCTTTATAATTATCCCTGTGCAATAACAATGGAGGTCTGGGAGCTAAGAGAAATAACTAACCAACTTCATCATTACGTCCACGATAAACCGTACATAGAGAGGGGTAACTCATAGTATCATCCCGCTATGGGGCCAATTTGATATCCATGAGGTGAATAAGTCCTCCAATATCGCGTTATAACCAACAAACAAACCGTGCCTTTGGACCTCCGAGGTCTGGTCCCGGTCGATCACGGCGTGTCCCCCCACATTCCCCAGGTATTCCCCGCCATTTTTGGTTGGCTTCGATTCTTCTTTCCACAACGTTATTCTGTGATTGGTGCATACTCCAGGAAAGTATCCCACGGTCGCGCGGTGGTGGCGGTGCAGGTGAATATATGCGGTGGTGGCGGTGCGGATGAATATATAAAGTGATATTTCGGAGGAGATTCTGCCGAATGCCCTGCCGGAGAATTAAGAACCCGGAAACATTGGCATCTATTTCGCCATTAGCAGACGTAAAGTCGGAGTCCGCTCTCTCGACCACCAGTATATAACCACCCACCATACGCTCATATCTTATGGTCATCACAGCCCTACTGCCCATGGTGTGTGCTGAATAGCCATGTGTAAATCAGCAGCTCCTTCAAACCCAATGTCACAGATACGACATGCAAAGAGTGCAGGTCTAAGCCAGTCGGTGCTTTGCTAAGCGTATCGAACGGCGCCGTGTTGATACAGAACACGTCAGTGAAAGGCAAAAGAAGCCTTACATAGACCTGGTCAGCTGCCTCAAAAAGATCAATGGGAGGTCATTTCTTAGTCTTGGTAGGTATCTTGTCTTTAAATCATGGCAGCCTTCACTCGCTATTGCTCTGCTTGGTTTAATGTGGTGTAAAGTTGCCACCCGCGAACAGGACCGGCCTGTCACTGAAAGCAGTCGAAGAGTCAAGATGAAGGTGCGTCTCGCCGTACCCTAGCTTTGCTAACCGTCGTGGCTCGGATTTAGTGGAGGCTAGCTCCTGCAAAGCTAATGTCTTCTCATCCGTTCCAAGGAGAACAATAAGACTCGGTTGTTGCGAGTCGCCGAAAGGCAGGTCGGAGAGCAAGTTTTGAGGGCGATCGGAAGTAGTAAGCGAAACCTCACTGTCTCGTACACTGGGGCTAAACCAGTAGCTGTGATGACAGGATTTCATTATAATAGCAGGCCAGCTGCAGTGAACGGTTTGAATGGAGTGACTCGGGACGGAATGTCATTATACGTATAGCCACGAGGCTAGTCGAAGGGTCGAAATGACTCAATGATCTAGCTAGATTTATCCTGCCTCTTAGCCTGTAGCCTGAAGGGTTTCATTAAACTAAAAACAGGGCTATATCTAGCTTACGGAAAACACAGGCGGATATAGAGGTAAAAGTAGCTATCATAACGCAATTCTATCGACTTCCACCTAAGCTCTCCTTCATACAATCCTTCTTCCTCACGAAATCCTGACTTTTCAATTATTATACTCTCCTTTTGCTTTGTTAAAGATACTATCGCTTCAATCTGTTACAGTAGAAGGCGAATTGGGTGTCGCGGGATTTTTAGTTAACTTTATTTGTGAGACTGCGGGGTAGGCCTGTGGCTTGTTGTGGCTTGCAGATACGTGTACTCTGGAGGTACCGAGAGAGGTACGTACCGAGGGAGGTAGAATTGGCGGCTCACCCAAAAGACTAGCAAAGCTGGCTTTCCTTACTCCCCCCATCCCAACCTTCGTCCAAAACCCACCAGAGTCAGCGCTCTTGTGTCAGCGCTTTGTGCAAAATACTTGATTGATTAATAGATTGATCAACTCTTTATCAAGTACAGGAAGTTAGAGGGATGTTTGAAGCGATAAATTTACAAAAACCACTAAACCCAGACTCATTCTACGCCATATTCATTTGACTTTCATAGTTGCTTCCAAATATCATGTCATCCATTTGATCGGACATGTCATGATTCAGCATTCTTAGTCTAATCGCCCCGTCCGCAAACTTTGACCTGTCTTGCATTTGCACAGTTTCGAGAACATCGCCATGTACCGAGAGCTCCTTCTCAGCCACAGGCGATGATTGTGGCATGTTTTGCAGGTGTTGTTGTCTCACGTAATACGCTGCGAGGTCAATTGCATGGCCTGGCCCCAAAGAACCGCCTCCACCAGATCCTACGGAAAATTGCGAACCCTTGAGGAATATGGGCGATTCGATTTGGAAGTCGGTATAAATAGGAGAAGGCATCGAACCGGTTGTGTCCAAAAACGGGCTACTTCGATAAGATGCTTCCTCGCAAAATAATAGCTCTTCAGCATTTGCAACCTGCCGTTTCTGGGTGCAGTCCTTCGAGAGGATTGAGTGATCGCTCTCACTGTTCTTGCTCGATCTGTGCGCCCCAGCGCTGGAGAACTCAATTCGGCACAGTATTCTGCTTTTTCTGTGAATTCATATGGCAGATGTCGTGAAGGCGGAATGCAATCAAGCTTTGAAACTATATCATGAATTACAGGTTGCCCTCTGTCGTTCAATTGTGGTTCCCCAAATTCCCATGATTCGTTGTCGCGGATCATAGTATAAAGCTTTTGGACAGAAGCAATTAGGGCGCATTGGGTGTTTTCTAGAACTTCAGCATATCTAGTGAATGTGCATTAATACAGATGTATAGCTCAAACAGACTAAGGTAGTGCTCATCCAGGAGGTAATTGCTTAAAGCCGTTATTTTTCCTGCTCCCAGCTATGCACACCAGCCCATCATCTTTACACCGTTTACAAGGTATTTACAAGGAAACTCTCCATCACACTTCTAAAAGTTTCAGTGACCGGTAGGAGTAAACTGATAACATCTAGTGTATACCTTCGTCTTCTTCATCCTACACCTTCCGCATGCTTTCCATACTCACTTTTGTCTTTTATTCGTTGCAACAGCATTATGTTTAAGTAATGAAGCAGTACTCTTCGCAGATAGACTCCGAGGTTTTGAAGTCTTGGGAAGTTTTCTTGATACATGCGAGCTGTGACCGTTCTCAATCACAGGCGTAGAAAAGTCGGACATGGTATGAATAGTAATAGGCTATCAGAAAATCGTGTTGGAGGAGAGTAGAGAGGCTGAAGTACCATTTATCAGAGCCGAGTTCAACGGGAATACAGCGCTCACCTACTCGAAGTGTGCGGCAGTTATATGTCATCATCAGGATAGTTTACTGTTCGATAGTTCGAGCCTCCCAAAAGAGGACTGGAATGTTGTCCAATGACGAACTTATTACGTCATTGTAACAAAGTTTACTCATCTGCTTAGAGAAAGTCTATGCTGCGTTAAGATGTAAGCCGGGTATTTCAACAAGCTCGGGATCGTCTCGCACGAGAGGTGTGGATCTTATCGCTAGGCACCGCGCGACTTGGGCATCCCGTGGTAGCGTGTGTTAGGAAGATATAGGTTACCAAGCTTCGATTCGGTATGAACACCTAGAACATCGAATATGGGAAATGAGGCTAGATGTCAAGGTTAGCAGAGGCAAGCTGTGTAGAATAGTTCTATACATAACAGTCCCGAACGTACCGTCGTTGCATGTTCCCCTTTCCAATCCTTTGCACTAGAACTGAGCTAAATTATGTTTCCCAGCAGCGAAAATAATATCCGACCAGATATTTTTTTTGAGGTTCAGTCTCCTGGGCGCTGTAATATTGCCACATCCTTAGATCACTCATTGCCTGCCCCTCCTATTTTTACTGGACGCCAACTGAGAGGAACTCTAATCGTCTCTCATGGCGAGAGCCAAGAGCATGATTTCGATTATGTGCAGCTTACCCTTCAAGGTATGGAGCGTGGATTTTGCCTGTATTGACACTGAAAAGACTAATGATAGTTTAGGAGAAGTGCATGTTAGGCTCGCAAGCCGTGTTCACTGCGAAGCTAAGAAGCCTGTGGGTATCTTTCGTTTCTGCTGATTAACCACGGCAAAGTCACTGACTAAATGAACCGAAGGTTATTTTCATGTCATGCGTCAAATTGGCAAATGAATTCCAACGGGTCAATCTTGGAAATCCTCATATTGTGACATATCAAACTGGGTTTTTCTTCGATGTTCCAGACTCTACAATATTGCCATTAGAATATGGAAACGACATCCCGCAAAGATTGCCACCTTCGATGTGCGTTGTCAAATCTGATTTCATATCTGCAGCCACTACAGAAAGTTATAATGGCGGCTCACTCGCTGGCACCTGCGATGTTTCGTACAGAATCGTGGCTCGCGTCTTCGCAGGCGGACGATTAAAATGCAACACGAGTCGAGAGATAGTATTAATTCCGGTCGAAGATATACCGCCCCCACTAGACCCCGAAGATTTCGGGAAGGAATATCGACTTGTCGCAGCAACATCCTTGAGACAGTCATGGAGGTCAAGAAAAAGCGTGACAATAGTTGTATCGTCTATGGAGCCTCGGCCTCTCATATTTCCTAAGTGCGAAGGTGGGTGCGAGAGTACCGACGTTCTGCTCCAGCTCAAAACTGAGGGATTGTTGGACGGAAGTAGTGAGAGAGCCTTCATAGAGACCCAACTGACTGACTGCGAGGTTCGGATGTATCTCCAAGCGGTAACATATTTTTCAAAATACGAGCAAGTTGCAGCCATGTCAATAATAGAGGCGCAGCAGTCTCCATTTGTTATGTTAAAGAAGACAAGGTATCCACCAAACACGAAAAAGTTGCGCCTCGACAGGTGGCGAAAAGGACGTGAGATAGCATGTAAGCCTGCTTTTGCCCACAACAATTTTTCAAAGACCGCGTGTATAGCTCAAAACTTACATCTGACTAACTTAATGCAGCTGGGCTGTTCGAATGGGAAACAACGGTTTCAGTGAGTGCCATGCTTCCTTGGAGCTTCTCTCATCTCCCTTCATTCTTCACTGCCTTAGCAGCGAGAAGATATGCGTTTGATGTACAGATAACGTTTGGACATTGGCCTAGCATCAATGCGTTTCATAAGCCGATAAAACTTCGGATTCCACTGCAGATAGTCCATTTTGCAGTTGGGAAGCTCCCGGGTCGCTCTCAGGAAGAAGATGATCTGGAAGCTCCAGTATATGTATCATAACAAGGAATTGGATTTTTGATAGTAAATAAAATGCAGATTGCAGTGAAACCTAAATTAGACTCGCGCTCATATAAGCACAATAAAGACACAGGAATTTGAGTTGTGTATCAAATTGCTAACTAGCTACATATCATATAGAGGAGTAATTCCTATTGCAGTTACGCAAAAGGATACTTATTTGTAAAGATCTCGGTGCTCAGCCTTGATCAAGTCGGCAGCCTTCTCGCCGATCATGTAGACTGAGTTCTGGATGCGACAGTCGGGGATGACAGGGATGATCGAAGCATCCGCAACACGAAGGTTCTTGATTCCGTGAACCTTAAGCTTAGGGTCAACAGCCCCTTGCTTGATGTCTTTGGAGAGACGGACAGTACCGCAAGGATGGAAAGCAGTCTGGCAGCGATCAAGCACAGCTCTATGCATCTCCTCATCTGACTGTAGAGGCATTTGCCAGGGGTACTCGTCTTCAACGAGGTCCTTGAACCCATCTCCCTTGGTGAGGACATCGTAAGTGAACCTGATGCCCTCACGCATGGCGATGATGTCAAGATCATTTGCGAAGAAGTTCAGGTTGATGTTGGGCTGCTCGAAGGGGTCGGCACTGTTGAGCTTCACCTCTCCGGGGTCGGAGATAGGGCGGACAAGGTCGACGACTACAGTGACGTGGTCGCCCTTAGGTGGAGTGGGATAGTGCCACTGGAATGCGCTGCCGAACATGCAGACGAAGTCGAGCTCGAAGTGAGGCTGACCCTGCGGTGAGAAGGGATCAACTCCGCCATTAGCGGCCTTGGCCTTCTTGTAGGCGGCGTCCTTGTTAAGATACTTGTCGATACGGGGAAAGCCCACAAGCTCTAGGAGACCGGAGCCAACAGGACCAGAGTGATCTTTCTTGTACTGGGAAACAACCTTGTCATTCTTAGGACCCTTACGCAAGAGGATGTCGTCCATGCCAAAGCCATCCTTGACCCGCAAGACAAATGGGACACCAGGATGGTCAAGCAAGTGCTGGCCAATGTGTTCAGAGTCGACAATAGCGTCAATGCCGTGACGAGCCAACTCACGCTTAGGGCCAATACCACTGAGCATGAGCAGCTTAGGGCTCTCAAAGACACCCTGGGAGAGGATGACTTCGCGGGAGGCGTAGAAGTCGAGCTCCTTTCCGGAGCTGGAAATAATGGTCACGCCTTTGCAGGTGCGGTCGGCTTCATCAATGATGAGGCGCTTAGAATGATGCTCGGCTAGAACAGTTATATTGGGCTTGTTCTTCAAGAAAAGGTAGCTGCCAGAGCGGACTCCCTTGTAGATGGTGTCGGCACAGTGGGTGAGGCCGTTAATCTCGCCATCGTAGATGTTTGAAGTCTGGGGCTCGCCTGTAGACTTCCAGGCCTTCGTGACAGCTTCTCGAAATGGTGCCATATCGTCGATGAGCTCGGCGTGGGAAATGTGGATAGGACCACCGCCACCAATCTTCTTCAATTCGGGATTGTAAAGTTTAGCGTCATCATGATAGGAGGCGCTCTTGCGGAGGTATGGAACGAGGGGGTCCCACGTCCATTCCTTTCCACCGTACTCCTCCCATAAATCAAAGGTTGGCTTGCAGCCTGGGACCCAGGTGAAGTAGTTCAGGGAGGAACTGCCACCCAGTGCTTTGCCACGGGTGTTAGGCTTATCAATGCGCTCATAATCGTCACGCTTGACAAACGTGGTCTTGTAGGCCCAGTCATGCTAGCTATTGCGGAGATCCATTGCGTTAGAAGGAATGGTAATCAAATCAACCTCTTCTGGATTCCCGACACCAGCCTCAACGACTAGGACGGTGACATTAGGGTTCTCAGCAAGACGGCCGGCCACAGTGTTACCTGCAGTGCCGCCGCCAACGACAATAAAGTCAAAATGAGCTCCGTTGGTAGCTGCCATCGTGATCAATCCTATAATTCCAACTTTCGGCAATATACGATGAGCAATGGTGGTGCGAAGGCTGGCGGCGGATGTATGTTCTCTTATACGTCCATACTTTTACTATTTTGGAAGCTCGGCACATAATACGTATAGGTGACGATAGAATTAACTGACGCGGACCTACTTGACGACATCAAATCTCACGCTCTCTTTGAGAGAGTTAGATAATACTTTCACATCGAGAGTATAGCACTATGCTCTTCCCGCGTAGGTATTTACGATTGCATAGTATTAATGTAATCGTAGCTACCGAAATAATGGCATAGCTCATTAGCCGACCGAGTTTTAGAAAGTATAACTTTGCAACTTAACTTATCTACGTCAGAGACGATAAGTTAGTCCTACCTAACAACGTCTCGGGCGAGAACGCAAAGTGCCGCCAAATATCAAACGAATAACGATGCTAAACACGCCATATGACATAATTCATATCCCCTACTATCACTGACATCGTTGCTGATTGATCGGCTAGCTTGGCTCTACGCGCGATAGAATTCGTACGAATGGAAATGTCTAACGACTCGAACATAAAGCGACATATTCTCAGGCCGGTCCGAATATCTACTCCGAAGCCCTCCAGCTCCTATAAATTTATTTTGGTTACTAAGAAATCATCAAAAAAATATCACACGTAAAGCAAAATGTCAGACAAAATACCAATTTACACGCTCGCTGAAGGTTAGGAGTCGTAGAAGTTGGATGGGCTCAAGCCAAGGAGGCATATCTAACATACCCAGGATGCCCTATTGCATCGTCGAGCACTGCGCAGACTTTTCGCTCTAGAAGCACGCCTGCCTCCTCCACTAAATCTCTCGCCCTCTTACAAGACACTCAGCTCATCGAGACCCTCGCTCATTTTTCCCGTGAGAGGATTCCAGAGCGTGTTGTTCACGCCCGCGCCGTTGGGGCCTGGGGCGAATTCGAGGTCACCAAGGATATTTCAACCCTCACCAGCGCCAAGTTCTTGAATGGAGTTGTCTTACCAGTTATATACGATCACATTATTACTACGTCTCGGCTTGTTAGTTCACGAACCCATAGGTCAATAAGGTAGTGAGTGGGGTTAATTGGACTAATTTAGTCTTATTTGCTGCACAAACTAAATACAGTTCATTCACCAAGACAGAGACAATAGCATCGAACTCGGGAGGCACAGTGTGATTCGCAAAATTCTCAGATAATAAGCATTCTCGCCTAAGTTGGCACATGAAGTTGCTGTTCCACATATGATGTTCTCATCCCCGTAAGGTTCGGCAATAGTAGAGTTACTCTCCAAAATACCCGGCATATAATTATCTACATCAAACCTCCATACTCATCACCTTCTTTTTCCATTTTCTTATCCTCCTTGAGGTAGTCTTTGAACTCCTGTTTGTCCTTATTGATGTCACCTTCTAGCTTGCCGATCTCATTCTCATTCTTCTGTAGCTCCTTGGCATCGGCTGGATGACTCTCGTTTCCCTGCTGCCTGTTCTCCTGAGGGTGTTTATGATGGAAAAGCTTGTGGATAATCCCCTCTTTGCGTGTTGTGTGCGGTGCTAGTGACAACAAGTTAACACCATATACTAATGGGTCCCGAACCGTGATAGAGACCAACTTTCTGCCATAATGAGTTTGTAACCCTTTAAAGTAATGTCCGTGTCTAGACAACTAGGGCAAAATATGACTTAATACTTTGACTGTTGAACTGACTCCTGACAGACAATAGAACGGAGCGGCTCACGTCTTATAGAACGGTAAAAAGGCGGGGAAGGAGAATATCCCTTACGTCATGCCAGTCTCTGCTACACACGTGAAGTGTTTACTTGTCGAGATCAAGGTTAGTGGGCGAGTACTCGCTTCACTACTTTCTCGTGCGAGAGAACGGGCTCTGGAAACGGTTGGGAGGTCTAGAGGCCAGTTATGAGGTGAGCCGCCAATTATACCTCCCTCGGTACGTAGTATCTGCAAGCCACAACAAGCCATAGGCCTACCCCGTAGTCTCGCAAATAAAGTTAACTAAAAATCCCGCGACACCCAATTCGACTTCTACTGTATCATGGTAGCTAAGGTTACTGTTACTTCTAAGTAAGTTTTCTTTTTTCTCTATTAGTAATAACTATAGCTAACATTCGATAGAGAGCAGAAGTTGAGTAAGAAAGATGTAGAGACTATGTTTGATAAGACACTCTATTCGAAAATTGCAGAAAATGATAATCGCAGCTGGACTGTATCATTTGAGAATAACGACTACTTGAAGTTCGCCATGAAGTGTGTAAAGAGCGATGCGGGAGCTGATTGGTTTCGAGCTTGCTACTTTAAAGAGGAGTATGCTATGAGTTTGTTCAAACGAATTATAACATCAGCGAAGAATCGGCTTCGATACTAGCATCTCACAAAGAGCAAATAAACATATAGCCTACCTTCCCTATTTCTTTGTTACAGTAGACACAATAGTTGATTTAAAGAGGATATAATAAATGCAACCTTGATATAAACCATATTAGAACCCAGGTCTGTTATGATATGTTACTAGTAGCGCTTTATCACAAATATAAATTGCCAAATAGAACTAAATACATATAACTATCAGTTCCTGCTGATCTAGGTTATGCTTGCAAGCAAGGAGAAATTCACAAGTAAACACGAGAAAAAGCAAGTCAACGAGTAGATCTAAATAAAATTGAAGGAGATAAAGTAAAAATCACAGAAAAAAACATCAAGTGACTGTAAGTTACTGTAGCAATGCTGCTCGCACTCAGTACTTAGAGCTTTTTAGGGCTCCACTCATCATCGGTGGACGGTTTTGCACATGGTCATTTCCGCACCGCCGGGCTCTGTCACGCTTTTTACCTTTGTCATAGACCTGCCAGCTGTCCTGCTCCCATCCCTGCCTGCGGTCCTCTCCCTGGTTCTGCCCCCGCCCCTGCCTTAGCTTGGACAATCAAGATATGAGCTTGAGATTTGGCCGTGGCGCTTCTTATCATATCTTTGTTCTGCGCAAGGTTGACAGCCTTACCCTTGCGTTTTGTCCAATTTGCTCGCCTTTTGCCTCGGCGACCTTGAGCTTCTTTATCTACTTCTTCCTCGATGGCGGGGGCTCTAACGGTTGTTAATTCTATATTCTGTTCTCGCTAAGTTTGGCCGCGGGTTTTCTGTTTCTGGAGCCAGTTTTGTGCTGGTCCTCGTTTGTATGAGGTTCACCGTAGTCTTATAGCTTCCAAGACGTGTAGTCATACAAAGGCAGATTTATAGTGAAGCCTAGGCTTGAGAAAATACACAGATCCCATATATAAATTCTTAATCGTTGTAATCCATTCCAATGATCTAACCCTCCCATTTACCCCCTTAAACGCCGTAACTCCACATGCTAGAAATATACAGCATTTACATCATCTCCATCTCTATTTTTCACCTCAAAGACCACTCCACTCCAGCTTCCTCAACGTAACCTCCAACACCGTCTTAATCCCTTCATCCAACCCCTCAACAGCCAAAACCTTCTCCACCCACGCCGCCGTCTTCTTCGCCAACGCCCCCTTAACCCTCACCTTCTCCTTCCCCTCCCCTAACCTCGCCAGCGCCACTCCGAGAGCCCCCGGAAAGTCCGCTGTCAACGGGCTTACGCCCACAAGCGGCATACGAACATAGCAATCCCACGTCGCGGCCTCAGTAGGGAACCGCTCCATCATCACATCCAACACATGCTGCAGCACCTTCGGCAGACACGAAACTTGCGTGAAGACCGTGAACATATCAAAGAAATGCTGCGCCGCCTCCGCGCTAAAGAACGCCTGCTTGGCCGCATCATCAAAGATAGCGAGCGGGATCGCGCCCTGCAGCGCGGGGGTATTCATCGGGTCCTGCTTCGCCTCTCCGTCCACCTTGACGCCCTCCATCGCGCTCTGTCCCAGACTCTGCGCCTTGAATTCCGGGAATTTAATCTCATCCCCCTCGAACCCCTGCGTCTCCTCCTCCACCTCCTTCTCCTCCACCGCCTTCACAGCCGGCGCATCTAATCCCAGAACTCTCCTCCTCGCCGCGATCTTGGCAAGGAAAATCATCTCCAACTTCGCGTACTGAACCCACATCTCAGGCCCCTGATTACAAAACCTCGCACCCCTCTGCAAAAAGCTCCTCGCCTCCCCCATATCGCTTTCCTCCAACGCACATCTCGCCGCATACACCCACAACCCGGGCACCGTACAATGCAACCTCAGCGCCGCCGTGAGGATGACCTTGAATTTGCTCGTCGCGCCAGCAGTTCGCGCGTACTCGAGGTATGTCATCCATAGCCCCAGGTCGCCGGGGTGCTTGCGCGTGCCGCGCCCGAAGATGGCGAGGACGCGCGCTTGACCGGTGTGTGAGGAGGAGGACTTGATGCGGAGGCGTTGGCAGCGCGAGGCGCGGAGACGCTCGAGGTTGGATTCCCAGGCGGCGTAGCGGGCGAAGGTGGGGGGGGGGCAGCCGCGGGCGAGGAGGAGATGTTCGAAGTCGGAGCGCTTTTTGACGAGGGAGCGGATTTCGTCCTGGAGGGGGGAGGAGGTTAGTTGGGTTTGGTGGAAGGAGAGAGGGAGGTTGTAGGAAGTGGGGGTGTTGGGTGTAAAATGTGCTGTGCTGGTTGTGTCCTGGGTGTACGCACCTTGGTGAAGATCTTCTTCTCTTCGAATTCGCGCAGTTGTGGAACCGCCTGTTCCATATAGAAGCGCACCTTATCACTTGCGCCCGCCATTGTCGAACGTGAGGGAAAGTGGTGGTCTTGAGGTGGTGGTTGTTGAGTTGCTCTTTCCTGTCCTGTCCAGAAAGTGTAGCAGTATCTATCTTATCCAGCAGTCAACTAAACTTTTTAGCGTATATTCGACAAAATGCCTTCGAAAATGTCACATCGGCGGGCGGTGAGGCATAAAATGTTTAAGTTCTGCCACAGCCACTAAGACACGTACGGCGAACGGAACATCGGCTACCCAGCGATCAAATAGCGGGATTAAAGTGGATTAGGGCGTGAGAGGACATGGGGGGACTGGCGTGGTTGCTTGCGGGTGCTGGGGCCACTTTAGCACTTTTAGGCACTTTTAGGCACTTTAGAGTGGTGTAAGAGGCAGCCAAACACGCCCCTCTAGCCCTTTAGCCCTCTAAACTCCTCTAAAACTCCTCCGATACGACAATCAAATCAACGGCACTGGACAATGGACACCCCAGTAACTGCTGCTAGTAGTATAGTTAGATAGTTCCCTAGTAGAGACAGCAGCTAAGCCCCCCAGTCATGACCGCCGACGCCACCGGAGCACTCGGCTTTACGAACGATTTGTTACTACTAACAGCAGGTAACAGCCCAGGTACTCGTCGTTTAATGATCGTTTAATGATCGTTCAACGTCCGTAATGACCGAGCTTGTGTTGTTACTGTTGTTGGTGTACTTACCTTGCTGCATGTACGAGACAGGCAGGTACTTATGTCTACCACCTTACTAACAGCCAAGGTGAAAGTCGACCGGTTATATTTCCCTCCCTGCTCTCTCCACCTCCCCTCCCTCCACCTTGCTTGTGCCTACTTGTGCCTACTTGTGCCTAGCCAAACCAAGAACACACTAACCTCGAACCTATTCCCATGCGCCTATGACCTTCCCCGCTGCCAGCCGATTCCCCCTTCCTTCGTGATACCTCCCTCAACTCAAACCTTTCCTTTCTACATATACTCCACGCTCGTTTGTTTACCCCCGGATGGGAACCCCAGCCATTGTGTTCTTGTCTCGGTTTGCGATTGTATGATTTGGTTTCTCCCAAGGGTTTAACTCCATACTTGCACCCTCAATTGAGTCCTGCATGAATGAGATGGCGCCCAAGACAAAGGACGGTGACGTCTTGTTGGCGTTCTCGGGGAAGTGGGTTACTTGGGCTCACACCTTCACAGCTTATGGTGAGTCGCCCAGCCCACGCGAAACGAAACACGCAGCAGCTCGACAGCTCGTATCCAGCGATCCAGCAGATAGATTGATCGGAGAGAGAGAGAGCGAGCTCTAGCTGACAGGTGACACGCGCAGCTGCTTTTATCAGCGCATTGATCGTTGGGGTCTCGCTGCATTATCATAAGATTGTCACGAACGAGCACTATGGGTACCCACACGAGTGGTTTCCCTCTGTGTCTGCGACGATCGGGGACCGCTACCCTGAACGCTCGTTCTTCATGTTCTTCATTGCCATCACATCAGGTATGAGTCCATCCGGTGCTTTCCGCCGTCAAAATCAGGTACAATCGCAGCTAACAGCCAGGCCCACAGGCCCGAGATTCGCCCTCGTCGGACTATGGTACCTACTCACAGCGCGCCCAGGGCAGAAGCTTGCCAAGTACGTGGCGATCGTCGGCATCTTTCGAACTATAACCTGCGGCGGTTGGACGTATGTCACCTCGACCGATGACCACGACTGGCACGACATCTTCATGATCTCATACCTTGTTGCGACCCTCCCGTGGACGCTAGGATGCTTGGCGCTGAGCCCGCCGAACCCAACATCTATCAAATACAGGAAAATATTCGGGGGCGCCTTCTTCGCGACGATCGTGCCGCTGGTTTACTTTTTCATTCAGCACAAGGTCCACAAAGTTGCAGGAGGTATGTCGCCGGCGTGGTTTTTGATTGTTCGGTTTTTGAATTTTTTTGACATGTGATACTGACATTTCTCATCAGCTTACACCACATACGCCTTCTTCGAGTGGTCTCTTGTTCTGTTGGATGTGGCTTTTGACGCCGTCACGATGCTAGATTTTGAGGCGTTCGAAGTTGTCATTAAAGATGTCACAGGGGCGAGCAAGGGGTACGTTGAATGGCTTCTTCCCAAGTAGCAATAGACGAGATTTCCAAGGCATGTCATGCCGTCTTAATGATCAAAGTTCTAAACTGTTTTCTGTGCAGACAACCCAGGAAGGATAGTGGCGTCGAGATGCAGTAGGTTGGCCCCGGTCTGTGGGTGAAAAATGTTTACTAAAACGTGCCTTAGTAAGGATAAGCCTGTCGTTCAAGTGCTGAACCAGTCTTTCCTTTGGAGCGACGCGATTGATGCTGCTGCGGAAGTCTATCATGGCGTAAGTTGATATTGCATTCTGCATAAAGTTGGTACTAATACTCTGTAGTTTGTCTTCTGGTCCATGTTGACCTCCCTCGGACTCTGTGTCTGGTGTAAGTTCTCCCAACAAACCACCCTTTCATAAGCTAACAAAACCCAGACTTCCCCCTCTGGAACATGGGCATCTCCGGCTACGAAATTCTCGTAATGGTAACCGTCACCCCCTTCCTCCTCTCCAACCGCACCGTCCGCCGCCACGTCCTCTCCAACCTCCGCCTCACCCACCTCCTCTCCCTCTCCGGGCTCGTAGCCTACAAGCTCGAACTCCCGGAGCTCCGCCTCTTCGCCGTCGGCCTCGGCGTCGCCCTCTCCTGCCTCGCCTGGTCCGCAACCTGGTCCACCACCGCCTTCCAGCCCGTGCAACTCGAGACTAAAATCACAGCCTGGACACTCGGTCTCATCCTCCACAGCGTCGTCAAGTTCGCGTGGCAAACTAGTAATCCCATCTGGCCCATCGTGCATGACTCGAATGGGGGGTACAACTTCACCGGCCTCGTTCTCGCTGTCCTCGCCGTCCTGCGCACTACTAGCAATGGCAATAAAGGCACTTCCTCCCCAGTGGAGCGCAAGCAGCAGGGCTCCTCCGTCCTAGCCGCCTTCGGGATCGGAGGTCTCTTCTTCGCCCTCCACTCCCTCCTCTCAGACTCCAGCACAATGATCCTCTGGGTCTGGACCGGATTCCCCGTCCGCGGCCCCCTCGCCGCCCCCCACGGCGCCGTCACCATCGCAGCCATGTGCGCCGGCCTAGTGCTAGGCCTCTTCTACCCCCTCCTCGCGCGCAGCTGGACATTCTACGGACTCGGCTGCATCGGCGCCGCTCTCCTCACCTTACGCGCCGATTGGACAGGCTACAGCGGCGCGCTCCTCCTAACAGTCTACCTCCTCGCCTTCTCCGTCCCCATGATCGGAGCAGCAGCCAAGCGCAACCCAGCTACGGTGTTCGGCCTGGGCTTTCTGGTATACAACTTCGTCGTCCTCTTCCACGTCTGGGTCGTCGCCTACGCCTTCGTCCCCGGTGGCCCACTGGTGAGGGAACGCACGGATTGGGTCATGAGCACCACAATGCTCTTTATCGGCTGCGGCGTCTTCACCATCTCTTCCTCTGTCAGCGCTGCGAAATCCCCCTCCTACACACCCCCCGCTCCCCGACAACGCGCACACACCCTCTCCCTCGTCGGCGTCATCCAGCTCCTGGCGGTATGCGTCGCGTACATCCGCTTCCCAACCTTCGACTACACGCCCTACCACGCGCCCTCCAAGCTCATCACCGCCGGAATCTGGACCGTCCACTTCTCCCTCGACAACGACATGTGGTCCTCGGAGTACCGGATGCGCGACGCGCTGCGGGACCTCGAGCTCGATGTCGTGGGGCTGCTGGAGTCGGACCTGCAGCGCGTTATCATGGGGAATCGCGACACGACGCAGTTTCTCGCCGAGGAGCTGGGGATGTATGTTGATTATGGGCCTGGACCGGATAAGCATACGTGGGGCGCGGCGCTGTTGAGTAAGTTCCCCATTGTGGAGAGTGAGCACCACCTCCTCCCTAGTCCGGTGGGGGAGCTGGCGCCGGCGATTAAGGCGACGCTGGATGTGTATGGGACGTTGGTGGATGTTTTTGTGTTTCATAGTGGGCAGGAGGAGGATGAGGAGGATAGGAGGCTGCAATCTGAGTATTTGGCGGAGTTGATGGGGAAGAGTGACCGGCCCGCGATTCTGCTGGCGTATCTGGTGACGAAGCCGTTGGAGGGGAATTATAACACGTATGTCTCGGAGGAGTCGGGGATGAAGGATATCGATGAGAGTGATTGGGATAGGTGGTGTGAGTATATCCTGTATAAGAACCTGAGGAGGGTGGGGTATGCGCGCGTGTCGAGGGGGACGATTACGGATACGGAGATTCAGGTCGGGAAGTTCCTAGTGGGCCAGACAGAAGGAGGTGGATGGGAGGGGAGGGGAGGCTGGGCTGGAGGGGAGATGGTGGGTGGATCAGAAGTGCAGAGGGGGTGGAGGTTTCCGGAGACGTTTGAGGGGGAGGGGGTGAGGGGGCATAAGTATCATGTTTTCGAGGAACCGAGGTATTGGGTTTAGGGGGAAAGGGGGAAGAGGGTAATGGATGGGGGATGGTGGTGAGGAGAGGGTTCGTGGGGAGGAGTGAAGTGGTGAGGGGAGTAATGGGGGTGATGGGAAGGGAGGAGTGGATGGGGGGATGTGGTAATGGAAGTGCGTGTGGGTTTGGCTTGGTGTTAATGGGGGGTGGGAAAGGGGATGATTGGGAAGGATGGAATGGATGGGATGGGATGGGATGGGATGGATGGGATGGAACCGGAGTGAATATTTGAAATGAGATGATGATGTATAAGAAGGGAGTCAGTCAAAAGTGGTCTTGGTGAAATCTGAGAGTGACGGTGCTGTGTTGTGCTGTCCATGCAGGCAAATAAGAGGGGGAATACTGAAGTATGAAGGGGAGATAGGAGATGAAGGGGGGGTATTTAGACGTGCTAGATAGCAACTACATACTATCCCCTCATACCTAACGTCTTTTAGAGGTTATGAGAGTTAGTAATTAGGAGTAAGCGGTGCGAGCGTATTTTCCACTCGAAGTGAGAAAACAACACCCACGTGACATTATCACGTGACACATATCCAAGCCACCAACCTGCAAACCATACGCACACCACAGCCGCAGTTATTTAAACTTATATTTTGACAGCCCTCATACATGACGTCTTCCACTCCTAAGCCTCACTCCCAGCCTACCTCACAGCTCACATCTAATATCCCATCCATCCCGGACGTACAACCCCACGCTCTACCCAACTCTGCCCTGCCTCGCTGCACTGCACTGCGACACACACGTACGCGGCGGCCTCGCGTTCACCTCCCGCTTGTAGTTTTTATGCGTGGATGGGAAATTACATTTGGGGGCTTGTGGGGGAAGGATCTGGTATTGTTGGTTGGGAGGTGTGTGTGGCTTGGTGCTTGGCGTTTCATGTCTTGGCGGCGGCGTACAGTAGTCAGCGGAGGTTGTGCTTCACGGGCACAGCACGGTACGGTAGAGGTAGAGTACGTTGTGAGGTATAGTGGCGGAGGGAGCGGGGTGGAGCGGGGTGGGATGTTCTACTGTATGTAAGACCCTAATTACTGATTTTTTAAATCCGGCTATGAGGAGGGAGTGGGAAAAGTTGACAGGTGACAGATGACGGCAGTGAGAGGGAGTGAAAGATCGATATTTGAGGCTTAGCAAGCTCCCATGGCACCAACAGCGAGGTCTACATACAGTACAGTAATATCGAGAAGCGGCACGGCATCTGCATCTCAAAAAACCACTGACGTATCCCTCCCTCGGCATTCACTCACTCACATCATCCCTCCCTCGCTTCCACAACCACGAGCGGGAGGTCTATAGCTTGGTGGGAAGGAAGAGGCGAGTCTTCTCCCTTTACTGGTGTACCACAGATGAGTGTCTAAGATCACGAGTCTAGACTACCGGAGAACTCGGATGAGGCTGCATACATACTGTGCATGTGTGTTTTGGTGGGGTTGGATAATCGGCTTTTTGCGGTATCGTGCATGTGTCTATGCTGCAGTGGGTAGCGGCATCAGTGTCAGTACTGGTGTGGTAAGTGTTAGAAATGTCAGTTGTGAGTACATCACCCAGTCGTGGCGTCAGCTAACTAGACGGTCTACCCTCCCTGCCGTGCGAGCTTCCTCCTGCGGGATCTGATCTCGCATGCTCATGTCCCTCCCATCGTCTCCTCCGGCATTCCGTCATGACCGACGGGTATCTGCTATTTTTTTATGGGGTTTTATGCGGGGTTTATGCGGACACGTGACGTGCATAACTGAAAAGAAGAAATATTTTCTTTTTCGCGTACTCGCTCGTATAGCGTATACACGCATCGGAGGCGTTTGGGGAGGATCCACCCCGAGGAGTGGTAGACGCGGGAGGGACGGTTGGTGGTCATGGCAGATGTGTATGTCCGGATACCTCGGAGGAGGAGAGGTGAAAGGGTAAGAGGAGGGTGAGATGCGGTTAGTAAGTGAAGAAAAGTGTTAGGAGGGTGAGGAAAGTTAAACTTTGTGATTGATCAGCGCGAGACAGCTGGATGAGGGTTGTGGGTTGCATGGACAGGACAGCTCGGATTATGTGGTCTCACGTGCTCACAATGTCTCTGGTCGTGCCGTCATCGTCATCGTCATCCCCCTTTTCCCTTTATTTCGTCCCTTGGGTTCCTGTCAGAAAAATAATAAAAAATCCCCAATAACCATAATCTCACCACTTACAATTATAAACCCCGTCATCATTCTGTAAGCAAATCCACCGCTTACACCCATCTCCAATCTCTGCAAAATTCCTTCCCACCACCGAGATGATGCGCGAGGGAAGCTATCCATCCTCCTCTCTCCTCGGCTCCACCATAAAACCCGACCGCCCGACCATCTAATCTCCCACCCCCACCACTAATTGGCCGCCCTTCCACCCACCGCCACGCCTACGCGCTCTAGACATACGCGCTAAGCCAACGGCCCGCTCGGAGGTTCAGTTTTTTTCTTTGCCAGCTTTTTCTCTGCGCGTCGGTGGCTTGTTCGGGTTTCGCTTGGGGGGGTGGTCTTATTCGTCGGGGTTACGGGGGCTTACGGAGTTTTGTACATTGTTTATGCATGGTGATTCGGGTTGCTCGGCGGACGGCGTGCGGTGTATGGTGGTGGAGAGCGGCGCATGCTCCATGTTTCGATGTGCAGTGTGATCGGCTCTGCTCTTGTGCGCGGTGTCGTGTGTCTTGGTCTTGTCGTCTGGATGGCTGGACGGTTGGGTGATACAGGGAGGAGGGAGGGAGTCCATTGTACTCCCTTCGCTGCCTGTTATCCGGCTGGACGAACTGGTGATGTGGTATTCAATCAGTGACTGTCTATATCATTGTACTATACAAACTGCTGCTTACTCACTTACTACTACTACTACTGCTGATTCACAGCATGACAGCTGAGATGGGTGTGAAATTGGCTGACAGACTGCCTGGGCCTAAGAGTTGCCTGTGGTCCCCTGAGGAAGAACAAGAGCAACCTGCTTGGTCTTGCTGCCCGTTATTCTAATAAAACTGTTATCCCAGAATAATGTACATCTCCTATACCCTTGCCCCCTGCTCACCACACGCATCCTCCCACGTACCGCCCACGTACCATACGCGTATCCGTACTCGAAATCTGCTGCGAACGCCCCCCGTGTCTTCCGTCCTCCGTGTCTCTCCTTGCCGCTGTGCTACTGAACGGTACAGGCGTAACTTCTTTGTTCACTCTTGGCCCCATACTACACCATGTACCGATACTCCACCCACCACTCAAATTTCACTAACTAGCCCTGCAAAAAATGAAGATCGGCCACCCGTCTAGTTTTTGTGAAAGAGAGAAGAATGAGCACACTACCACTAACCACTACTAGTCCACTAATCTACTAATCCTCACTCCTATCCATCCTATCCAACCCACTAAAATATCCCACTAACCCACTCTTCTACCCTACCGACCGTCCTAACGCCGCCTCCTACGCCTTCACCCGCCCACGCACGCCCAGACGCACCGACCCAAGAACGCGCACGCACCGACCTTCCTACATTACCGCCTTGAACCCTCCCCCCCATATACCCATAACTCCTACTACTACCCACTCCCAATCCTCAAAGTATCTCCGTCCCCGTCCGTACCTCTAATCTCTCCCCTTTTGATCTTCACTTTTGATCTTTCACTTCGCTGCCTCTCCTCTCTTCCTACTACACCTACACACCTACAACTACCGCCGCACACCCTCGAGAAGAGCCCATCTTCAACCTCACGCTTTCCACTCTCGGTCTGCCACAGCCACCCTCTCTCTCTTCCTCCTCCTTCTCTTTGGGCATCGACGACCTCCAACAACCTCCCCAACTCCTCCTCCCAACGGCTCGGGCGGAAACCACTCCCTCGATGTCCGTCCACTCCTCCTCCGGGTCCTCGTCACCCACCTTCACCAAGCCCAAGCTCCCCTTCGGTTGGCCCTCCTACATACTCACCAACCCCATCCCGCGCCGCTACCGCCGCCGTCTGCGCTCGAAGCTGCACGCGCGCCAGTCCCCCGCCTCAGCACTCTCCTCCATCGAGACCTCCTTCTCGCCGTATGTCACGCTGCACAAGCTGCAGAAGCGGAGGTGGAACCTCTATGATGCGCAGAACATCTTCTTGGTCATAATATTGCTCTTCTCGGCGGCGATTACGCCGTCGGCGCCCATAATTAAGGCGGGCATTATATTGCTAGCTCTTATTGCGGCGGTTATTCCTATTACAAGCCAATTCCTCATTCCGGCACTGCCAGTGTTGACCTGGGTCATCTTCTTCTTCGCCGCTCGGTAAGCCCTGCCCTCCTCCCCCTTTCAACCCCCCCACCCCCAGCAGCAAGCAGCTAACCCCCCCCAGCTTCATCCCCAGCGAAGCCCGCCCCGGCATCTGGGTGCGCGTCCTCCCCGCCCTCGAAAACATCCTCTACGGCGCCAATCTCTCCAACATCCTCTCCGCACACCAACACGTCGTCCTCGACGTCCTCGCCTGGTTCCCCTACGGCATCGTGCACTTCGGCGGCCCCGCCGTGGCAGCATTCATCTTCTTCATCTTTGCCGCCCCGGGCACCCTGCCCATCTACGGCCGCTCCTTCGGCTACGTCAACCTCACGGGTGTCATCATCCAGGTCCTCCTCCCCTGCGCGGCGCCCTGGTACGAGAATCGCCATGGTCTCGCGCCGGCGAATTACGGGATGCCTGGATCCCCTGCTGGGTTGGCGAGGATCGATGCATTGTTTGGGGTGGATCTTTATTCGACGAACTTCACGAATGCGCCGGTTGTCTTTGGTGCGTTCCCTTCGCTGCACGCGGGGAATGCGGTCATTGTCATGCTGTTCATGTCCTACTGCTTCCCCCGCTTCAAGCCCTTCTTCGCATTCTACGTAATGTGGCTGTGGTGGGCCACCATGTACCTCTCCCACCACTACGCCGTCGACTTGGTCGCCGGCTCCATGATCTCCGGCGTCGTCTTCTACATCGCGCGCGCGAACTTCCTGCCGCGCCGCCAGGCGGACAAGTCGACGAGGTGGGACTACGATTATGTCGAGATTGGCGAGGTGGCGGGCGGGGAGCAGGAATACGATCTTGCGGAGCTTGGATACAGGCAGAGGCTCCTGGTGGATGAGTGGTCGGTGGGAGGCGTGAGCAGCGAGGAGAGCGGGAGCGCGAGTCCGGATGATGGGGGGAGTTTGTGGGAGGGGGAGACGCTGGGGGGGAGGGAGTCGACGGATAGGGAGAGTTTGGCTGAGATTGTGTTGGTGAGGTAGTGAGATTTACTGCCTTTGCTGCACGATTTTGGAAGCACTCTACCGACCATCACGAACTCGAGAGAGATTTGGCATACAACCCATACCACCTCACCTCAACACTCCCGATACTCACGAAACCTACATTCCACACTCTTAAACGACCCGCAAACGAAACGCAATACTTCACAACCTACAAATTTTATCCCACCACCACACAAAAACCTTTTTACCAACCTTCAATAATACCAACCTTTTTAATCAACCAAATTTATTTCGAACACAACGGCGTCTGAGAAACGGAGAGCAGGAGAAGCGGAGAGCAAGCGGAGGAGTCAGGCATACATGCATAACGGCGTTTTTCACACCAATCGATTTCCACTTTGCGGACAATCGATTGGGGATGGCGGGCAGGAGGGGATAATAAGGGATGGGCGATAGTAATCACATACAATAATGATGCGCCACATGGCGCGGGGGCCCGGGGAGGGGGGGTGAAAATGAAACGGTCGCTACAGGCTGCTGGGGGATGGATGTATAGAACACTCGCTTTGTGTGTATAGAAAGGCGGGGATGAGCATGGGGAGAGACAGTCTTGGCTGGTCCCGAGATGAGATGCTTGGAATGGAGATATTACTCACTCACTACTTGATTGAATGCTTGGTGATTGCTTGGTGACTGCTTGGTGACTGCTTGGTGACTGCTTGTGACTGCTCCATGATTGCTTGGTGATTGCTTGGTAATTGCTTGACTATTTCATTGACTACTCTACCCGGAGAATCTGAAAACGTGGGATATGAGTATAGAGTGACAGACAAATAGATACAGCGGGATCGGTTCAATCCAGTTAAGCAATCAATTCAATTCAACTTTCAACTCAGCTATCCATCCCCTCCGCTACAAGAATGGGTATTTGCATATGCCATCACACATCACATCATTTATTTCATTTTCCCCCTCCCCCCTCTCTTTTCCCCCTTCCCCTTCCCCCTCTCCCACCCTCTCGTCCTTTCTCCCCCCCTCCCCCATGACCCCAGAGTCTCAGGGCGTAGCCCCTCACCTCCCCTGCCACAACCCCCGACTAGCCTCCCTAATCCTCTCCTCCTGCTTCTCAATCTCCGCACCACTCTGCCCCTGCCCACTCCGTCTCGTCAACAGCCCCGCCCCCGCCTTCGTCGGCTCCTCCGTCGTATCCATCTTCACATCCCCCTCCGCATCTCTCCCCCCTCCCTCCCGGTCGGGATACGTCTCAACCCCCTCATCATTCAGCGCAGCCTTCCTCGCAATCGCCGCCAACGCCGGCCCCGCGCCTCCAGTGTTAGAATCCGGCGTAGCGTCAGAAGATGAATTCCCCGCCGCCGCCCTCTCAGGCTCCCCACTCCTCGCCCCATCCATATGCCCCGACCCCTCCCTCAACTTATTAATCGCCCTCACCGTATCAATCGCAGCATGCAGCGTGCGTCTCGCATTAAAGTTCTTCCTAACAGTCGGCAGCAAATCGCTCTGTCCCTCCTGTTCCTCTTGTGGCCTCGCCGCCAAGAACGGATGCGCGAGTGCTTCTTGTGCGGTTGGACGAGCAGACGGATCGACGGTGAGGCAGCGGGATACAAAGTCTTTTGCGGAGTCGGAGACGCCGCGCCAGAAGGCGAGGGGCTCGAAGCGGTAGTCTGCTATGAGGATGGCTTGCATTTCTTCGAGGTTGGAGTCCCGGTCGAAGGGGGTGTAGCCACAGAGTAAGAAATAAGTAATGACGCCGATGGCCCAGACGTCGACGGGTTTGCCGTGCCCTGCTTTCTTGAAGATTTCAGGCGCCATGTAACCTGGTGTTCCGCACGTGGTTGTCAGGACGTGGAAGTGCTCGTCGTCCATGATTCTTGAGAGGCCAAAATCGGCAATGAGTAAATCGGCGTTGTCTTCAGGGGTGCGGAAGAGGAGGTTCTCCGGCTTGAGATCCCGATGCACGATGCCGTGGGCGTGGAGGTAAGCGACAGCAGAGAGGGTAGCGAGGATCAGAGACGCGGCGTCGGATTCGTAGTAATTCCCCTTACGGCAAATGCGGTCGAAGAGTTCGCCGCCGAGCGCGAGGTCAGTGACGAGGTAGAGGTTGTTCTGCGTCTCGAAGTAGTCGACCAGCGTGAGGATGTTACGGTGGCCCATGGAGACGCGCTTGAGGACTGCAATTTCGTTGCGCACCATGTGTTCGCGCCCGGCCATGAGGCGCTTGTTGATTACTTTGGCGGCGTAGTAGCGTCCGGTGTCGATGTGAACGCATTCTTTGACGACGGAATACGAGCCGGCGCCCAACGTCTTGCCGGTCTTGTAGTGGCACGGCTGGACCTTGGGAGGGGTGCGCGACGCTGACGTGGGGTAGGGGGCGTCGTAGCTCATCGTCGCATGTGCTGGGTGTTGTGTATGTGGTGGACGAGGAGAGGAGAGGTGGAGGAGATGTTTCGAGGTCGAGGAGTTGGAGTTGTTGGAGGTGGTGGAGAGGGGCGGTGGTGGTTATCAAGGCGAGGGCGGTGGGCGATAAGGATGTGTAAGTGAGGGGTCCAGAGCGAGTCGAGTCGAGTCGTCGTGCTAGCTGAGTACGTACTGTCCTAAACCTCTCTCTAGTGGATTCGCACAAACAATACCAAGGAATAAGAGGACGTCGCACGATCCGGTTCGCGATGGAGGTTATAGGGCTGAGATGTGCGAACGACTATTGAGGGACAAAGAGGGGACTTTGCGCGCGGCGCGGGGAAATGGATATATATTGCGCGTTCACGTTTTTTTTCAGCCGCTCCTTAACGTACTTATGGCACTCTGCATTAGCAGCTGCTGTTTGGGGTGCCATGATTCGTGCCTGCTGAGTAATTGGAGGTAGGGGTGCTGCCAATTATGGTGCTCGTATGAGATTCCAGAGCCAGGGTCGCGGAAGGGCGGGGAGGTGAAATTAAGGGATTTTGTAGTGGGATTGTTAGAATGAGTACTATTTCTTGCTATATTATTTGCATTCTCGGCGCCAAACTGACTACGGTAGTAATTGTAAACGTTTATAAAACGGTTAGAATGAAGCCGTAGAGGGCATATTGTAGATCAGCGCAAAATGGGCTATAAAACTCGACATATGCGCCAAAACTGTGTATATACAGAACACGGTTGACATCGTGGATTTGCGCAAAATCAGCTATAAGTACAGAATTTAGTGCTAAATCCTACTATATGGCGTAAATCGTTTATAAAACACTTACGAGGCCTTTTGCAGATCAACTCAATACAGCTTAATACGGATGACATCGTAGAGTTGGCGCAAACCACGCCTCGAAAACTGATATTAGCGCCAAACCGAAACGTAAATAGACCACCATCGATATCGTAGAATTGCGCAAAAGAGTGCAATAAAATTGAAATCTGCGCTGTAATCTTAGATGTGTTTGTTAAACGTTTATAATGCTTGTTACGGAGCACATCGTAGCTTTGGCGCAAATGAAGCTTTAAAACTGATATCTGCACCAAAATGAAGAGTAAACAGAACACGGTCGACATCGTAGACTTGCGCAGAATAGACTATTAGATTGTAAAACTGCGCTAAAACAGAATATATGCAGGATGCGTTCGTAATATATTCGTAATGCATTATGAGGTCTGGTGCAGCAGACAGGCACTGCCAAAGCTGTATATGAATATATAGCATAGAGGAATGAATTTGCGGGACCAACGTAGGTCTAACGCAAGTCTAACGCAGATCTAACGCACAGGCTGCACGCGCAGACAGAATCGTAGTTTGAGTAAGATGGGCAGATGAGCTCAAAATACGAAAGGAGTAGTGAAAACGGACCTAATAGGGGCAGGAAACGGACCCGTTACGGAGCACATCGTATATTTGCGCAAAACAGGCAATTAAATCCGAAATCTGTGCTAAATCAAAGAGCGGAGCGAAAGCAACGGTAAGAGCAAAGGCAAAATCAAGAGGAAGAGCAACGGTGAAAGCAAGGGCAAGACAACGGTAAAAGTAGCACAATACCAACCACAAAGACAATGGTAAAGTAAGAGAAGAGCAACGGCAACGACAACGGCACAACCAAGGAGAGGGCAATGGTAAAAGTAACGGCAAAAAAAAAGGAAGGGCAAAGGCAGAGTAAGAAGAGTAAGCAAAGGAAGGGCAACAGCAAAAGTCAACGGCAAAGCAATAGCAAAATCAATGGTAACAGCAACGGCAAGCAACGGCAAAAACAAGAGGAAAAGCAAGATTAGACCGTGTTTAAACCTAGATCAAACCATTAAAGCTGTATTCGCGCAGGATAGACTACAAAACCCGACATTTGCTCCAAAACGTAAGATTGTAAATTTGAAGAGCAGATATTTGCGCAGAATAGAGATAGTAAGTGGAACACTGCGCAAAAAGGGCTGGCCGGTATTCCAAGCTGGTATTCCGAGTAGTCTAAGCAAAACAAGCATATCATCGACAATTGCGTTAAATCGACTATGGAAGCTGAAATCTGCGCTAAAGCAGATAGATTGTAAAGTTGAAGAGCAAATATACGCGCAGAATAGAACCATAGATAGAAAAGGTGCGCAGAACAGTCCGTCCGGTATTCCATACAGCTGGTATTCCAAAAGCAATCTTGCGTAGAATAGAGTAGAAAATAGGAAAAGTGCGTCGGAACCCAAAAGATGTGTTTATGTTTCATTTCAAAGCTACACGGAATACTGTAGCAGGTATAAGTATGAGAAGGCATACCCTTCTCCTTTAAGCAGAACCACATCACTCCAATCTCCACAATTTCTCCAAAACTAAAAAGAAAAGAAAAAATGCTCTCCCACCTCTTCACCGTCTCCATCCTCGCCTTGTCTGTCGTTGTTTCCGCCACTGCGGTGCCAGCAGTAGACGAGGTAGGAATATGGCGGTTGTGTTGTAAGATCATTTTCAGCTGATGTGCGACATATCTAGACCGCGGACGCCATCGTCAAGCGTGCGTGCCAGCCCGCGTGCTGCGATCTCCTCGTTCAAGTGAGACCTCCTCCCACGCTCCGAACCCTAACATCTTCTCAACTTTGAATAGTCACACGACGGCACTCTTGATGGCGTCCAATGCGAACGTGGCGGAATTGACTGTCCTTTCTCTGGTCAACTAACGGCCTGCTGCGAGTCATTTACGGTACGTCTTTGCCCGTCACTACGCATGTAAAGTGGTCTAACATGCACGTAGTTGTCGACAAACGCCCACAAATGCACCTTATAGGCATACGTACCACGGATCGGTATGGTTCTAGCGGGTGATAAGTAGCGCACGAGCATTGCACTCTAGTATATCAGGCAAATGAGACTGCGCCTTCTCGGCATTGGAGTTCGCTGTCTGCGGTTTGACAATTCAGATGGCGTTCTTTTTCTTCACAAGCGGTAGTCTCCTAAGACGTACTAGAGCGCAATGGCATTCAAAGTGATATCCGACTGTTCTTTTATGCTTGACAATGTGAAGCCACCGACCCAGCCACCATCCTCTCCCGCTGTCTGCACAGACTCTCTTAGCTACTAAGGATCGCTTTCCACCAAGACGCCTTTATTGTCTACCACGGCCCATTACTTCCAAAACTAGGTCTGTATAGATGGGGAATGGATCAGCCGGGGGTGATCTCCTGATCGCCGAGGGTCGCAGAGATTGCTGGAGGTCGCCAAGGTTCGCTCCAGGTCGGTAAGGATCTCTGGCGTTTTGCTAGGAGCTGTGGGTGTTTAGAGAGGTGATTTCTCATGGCTGCTGAGGGCTGTGGCCGCTCAGAGGTGGCTACGAGGCTTACCTACGAGGCTTAGTCAGCTGATCCGTGGTGGGTAGTCTGTGGCAGGACACCGCTCAAGTACAAATCACAAGAAACTGGAAACGGGATGCGACGTAGAAATGTACTACTACAGCTGTGGCAGTACGAATGCAAGAAACTGGAGACGGAATACGACGTAGAATTGTACTACTACAGCCGTGGCAGTACAAACTCAAGAAACTAGAAAGGGGATAAGTAGAAATGTACTATTGCAGCTGTGGCAGTACGAATGACAAGAAACTGGAAACGGAATGCGACGTAGAAATGTACTACTACAGCTGTGGCAGTACAAATAACAAGAAACCGAAAACGATTAAAGGCCGCGTTGGTCAGGGTGAAGAGGGCGCCTCGGTTTCAAGAAACAGAATATGGGGCAGGACTCCACCACTATAGATTGGACACTCCGATTCTACTGCTGGAAAACAAGAAACAGAATATCGGGCAGTAAAATCTAGTGAAACAGTATAGCTGTCTCCGAGTGTCGGGAAGAGTTCAGTAGTACGATTCTCCTTTGTTGACAGCGAAGAAAATCAACCACTAAGCCTCACGCAACACCAGCCTTAATAGTAATGGTTTGAGTTTATCGATCCATCAATCGAGATACAACAATAGCTGTTTTACAACTAGAAACCTACATGGCTAATAGTCCTCCTAAGAGCTATAACGGCTTATTACTATTATAAAGAGCTTAGTAGTATAGAAGGCATAGTTATTAAAGGGTGTAAATTAAGGCTGTAACTATAAATGCATTTATATGCCACTATACGTTTTTAGCTATAGTAAGGCTAACTAGGAGGATCTATTAGGTAAGGCTATGTAGTATGGAGGGGGGAGAGGGCTAAGCGTTACATAATAAGGGTACCTGTAGAAACTATGCACTTCGCTTCCTCTCGTGTCCTAAACGCGCATTTCGCTTCCTCCAACCTCGAGCGAAAGCGAAAAATAGTTTGGTCACAACGATTATATTCCGAAATCCCGCATCTAATCCCCTCACCAGTGTCGCTGCCCCTGCGCCAACCCTGGCGAAAACTCCTTCCCGACCTCCGACTCACCCTTACTACTCTCCCAAACGCGCCACCAATCCCACAACCGCCCCGCCTCCTCGCACATCCTCACATCCCCTCTCTCAGCCCTCTCTCTTAATTCGCTCGTGACGAATGCCAAGACATCATGCCCCAAGTCTCCATCCTTCAATAGGCACGGTCGATCCCGGACAATCGCAACAGTACGATCAATAACATACGCCGCTAGCAAGGTATTAGCTTCCAGACTACCTGCTGTAAGAGTGCCCATATTCAGGCCCAAGTCAAAGCAAGCAGCTACGATGTTTGCATTTAGGATGTAGAGATTTAGTTCCTGGGAGCTGGAAACCAGGATAAAGATGGCGAGGAGGATGCCGGATTGAATGCCTGGGAGAGAATCCCATTTTCCAGTGCCGTAGGATTTGATGCCCAGGTAGAAGTAGTGCTGAGCAAGCAGAGGTGGTTGCGAACATCGTTGTGAAAGAATGAAGGATGAGATGGCCCATGCGAAAAGTCCGCTGCTCCTTTTTCCAGGTTGTGAAGGTGTCAAATGGGAGTCGTTTACTGAAGGGCAATCCTGCATGGCTTGTGGTGGCAAAATTGAGAATAGGGGTTGGATGACTTCATAGAACGTGCGGTTGTAGAGGTAGCCTTTAGTTTGGTTTTGGATAGATACCCCACAGGTGCCATCTTCCAGCGAGAGTGTCTGACTTTGCATAGACTCTGTGAAATGCATCCGTTGAAGACTAGGAGTTGAAATGGCCTTGGTAGTTTCGTAGAAGAGCTCACTAAGGTCTTGTTCCGGCCAACCAGATTGCTGGCCTATAGGAAAGACATCCGATGTTGCCCTACGACGTGAATTCTTACCTTCGCCATATATATCAAAATCGTGGCTGAGCGAGTTCATTGAAGAACGTCTGGAATGTGATGGTAGGCTCTGGTTTGTGACGGAAAGGTTGTCGCAGTCAGACACGTAACTTGGTGCTATGATTGAGGGTGTGGAGAGACCGCTCCATGAACTAACACTTAGTTCTGGTAGGCAAAACAAAGGCAGGTCCGTATCTGGCCCGTTGAATTGAGACAAAGTGGGAGATTGAGGTCGGAATCCATCCCATGAAGTTATTTCGATCTGGGGAATTTCCAGAGTGAGTTGCGACGGATTAATAGGTAGCCTGTGGCGCTCTTGGGGACGCAGCGACGCTAGGAAATCACCTTGCATAGATGTTTCGCTAGGACAAAGAGATATCGCCCTTGGGCGTCCGTGATTTCTGTGTTCGTTCTGATTAGGGGTTGGCTCCGCTGAGAACGGCGCTGTAGACCAAGGTGGTACATCGCTAGGACTGAAATGCTCTGGTACGCTTGGAGTCGCACTTGGTGGATGGCTCCATGCCAGAAAACTTTGAGAATATTCGCTCAGAACGGATGGAAAGTCGTCTAATTTCGGCTCATGGAAACCGGGCGAAGAAGGTGTCTGTAGTGTCAGCCTAGGCGGCTCCAACCTTCCTGGTGATTGTGATGGTCTAGCTGCTGGACTGGATATGAATTCTTGTGCCAGTCCTGGCATGCTCACATCAGCAATATGATTGTTTGGGTTGGTGTGTATCGCAACAAGCTTCTCTTCCAGACATCTAATTCTATCCTCTAGAGCGCTGAATTCAAAGTCAGCATGATGGGTCCTAGTCGAATGTGAACAAGACACGAAAGAACCCACGCCTGCTGTTGTTCTTCCCTCTTTTCTGCTGAATCTTGAAATTTACATACGACGCGCATCCTTGTGCACTGCTCGCAAGGAAAGAACTCGTCACATTTAATCTTCCTCCTCCTGCAGCGCTCACAAGCCTTTGCCGCCATTTGGCGAGGTGGTTTCCTAGTCGCCATTTCTTTATTGTATATCCTCTAGTCTCTAGTCGTGAATCCGCTGCGATTCGATCCAGATCCAATTGAGCTAGGTCTCTTAGCCCCTTTCGGTTTCATTTAAAAGATAGTTAGACTCACATGTTTCCAAAAAGCACGGCCACGCAAATACTGCAATCCCCTTACTTACTTCCCCGACCCAAGGAGCCGACACGCTCAATTCCCCGATTATCCCAGAAGAAGGACTGCTAGAAAGTATTCAGTCTCGTCCATCCAGCAGCCACCCACACAATCTGAATCCTCGCTCTATAGCCTTCCTAGTGTCGATTCAGCTGCTACATTCTCTCTTCATAGGCTTTGAAGGAATCCCTGAGGGTTTTCCTGGAAATGGAGGATTGGTCTGATGGACTCCAATTGTGGTGCAGAAAATTGACACTTCCATTTCATTCATTCCAGCTACTCACGATGCGCATGAGCCCTGGCATATATTCTTCCGGATGTGCGACAAAGGCAGACAGGCTTCGGAGACCAGCCTCAGAATGAAGCGGGGTCACGTTGGGGCTGTGCCTGTCTTGGTTTACGGATACAGAACTTGGCACCTCTCAGTTGCTGCGATTGTGGGCTGTCCCGCACTCTCCACTCAACCAACTGTCGACGGAACATGATACAGAACTTGGCACTTCTCACTTGTTGCGAGCGCTAGCCGTCTCGCTATCTCCACTCAACCAACTGTCAACCGAACATGAGTGCACTGCCTCAATTGACTTCTACTTCTATGTACCCACTCCTCTCTTTCCTCTCCAACCATTAACCTCGAGAACAATACGGAACTAAGATTACCCGTCGCGCATACCAACACGCAAAGGCGGGCATCCCCTCCCACTAACACCGCCGTCCTAGAATCAAATTAGCGGCAAGCGGGGGTGGTGGAGTAAACTTAGTTATCCACCACCCGCTCGCTTGGCTAAGAGACACAGTCCCGAATTTTGCCATTGCTCATCCCGATGCCCAGATTATATCATGCCAGGCAAGAACTGCTGAACTATACTTCGCATTAGATAGGCAGCCTTGTCATATATTCACGGGGACTGGCCAATCACATAATTTTGAAAGAATTTGGTGCCGTATTTGCACCATGCAATTCTTTGTAGGCGCCGCCCTAGTCTGCCCTCAAAGGTTCGAATGGGGCATTTAGCTTTGAGCACAGGCCTACAGGCCTACAGACCTGGGGTAAATCCTTGTTCAACAAGCACCGCTCAATTATAATTAAGTTGATGCCCCGGAAAGAACACCGAGTTCCGCTGCCAATGTGATATAAATTTTGAAGCAATTTACAGTATCTTGCCATGTACAGCCTATCCTCAACTCTAGGGACTTCCCGTGTCTATCTCCCGAGAATCATCTAATCCTCCTATATCCTCTAAATAAAACTATTCAACCTAACTATAAGACTCATCTCGAGTGCGGGGCCAGTGAACACTGCACTCGACACCATCATAACCTCTCCTATCTCGCCGTGAAGAAGCTCAGCACCGTCTACGCCCCAATTTTAGGATTCTTATCTCCCCTATAAGTCAACCCTGTTATCCCTACATTCTCCACATGCATTCCACTCTCATCCTTCTCAAGCACTTTGCCTTCAAGATCGGTGATACTCGGGGCGCCGAATAATTCGTCCATCTCATCTAGGGTCTTGCCTTTAGTCTCTGGAATGAAGAAATAGGCCCAGAAACCCATAAGCACCATAAGTGTCCCGAAGAACATGTAGGTGCCATAGCCGAGGGAGGTGATCTGTAGAATGTGTGTTAGTGGGATGAATGGTAATGAAGGTAAGTAGGATCGGGAGATGGAGACGTGCAAGGAATAATAAGAGGGAGGAATTTACCATATATGGAGTTGTACGGGAGATAACGAAAGACCATAGCCATTGGTCAGCAGTCTATATGTCCGTATTAGATCGTTGAAAATTTGTAGTAGAAAGGTACGAGAACTTACGGTGAGAGCCACACAAAGCAATCTAATATCATGAGGGAAGATTTCAGAGCAGTAGACCCAGGTGATACCTGTTTATCGTTACACGTTCGCAATTTTGACATCTTTCAAGCACAGAACCAACTCGATCTAAAAAATAGAAAAAGGGTGAGAGCACATACCTTGCCAAGTCGCGCAATAAATAAACCCATAAAGATACACACACACCATCGCTATGTACCCAGCAGCACTCTGTGACACATGGCCGGAAGCAGCTGCAGTCGCTGGGTCGGCTTTGAATACATAGCCGCCAATGTACCACATTGGGAGGGAGCCGATGAAGGCACCGTAGATAAGACCGTTGCGGCGGCCGACTCGCTCAACGAGATATATTGACTGTGGGTTAGATATTAGTGACTATCGCAGTTTGGAGGCGGTACGTGACATACGAAGACAACCATGCCTAAGGTTTTGGCAACACCGTAAAATCCTGTTGCAAAAAGCTTGGTATCGGTTCCTGTGATGCCGAGAGTTTCGAAGATACGGGGAGAATAGTACGTGATAATATTAACACCGGTGAGGTTCTGGAAGGCCATGAGCAGCAATCCGATGACAATGCGATTCCTCGTTCCTTTTTCAAACAAGCGCTTGAACATATATTTCTTGCTCATCTTTCCGCCACCTGGGGGCATTCCAATCAATGCTTGAGCGCGAATACTAGCCATTTCATCACGGATATATTCGTCATCGGTGGAGAGATTTCGGATCCAACACAATGTCTCCTTGGCCTTCTCCCAGTCGTCTTGCATCGCATACCAACGGGGTGATTCGGGGCACCAAAAAATGCCGATAAAGAGGAGGGCTCCAGGAACAAGCTGAAGGGCTAATGGAATAATCCATTGGGTTTTGGTAGAATCACTGATGGTTTGGTTGACGGCATAATTGATCCAAAAGCCACACATGCCTCCGGCTCTATGAGCATTGTTAGTGGCATACGGATAATGTAGAAGGGAAGACATACTGAGACAGGATTTCAAATATACCGACCAAACGACCCCGTATAGAGGGTGGTGAGGTCTCGGCGATATAGACCGGGACGAGAAGGGAGACGGAGCCGATACCGAGGCCAGCAATGGCCCGACCTGCAATGATCAATTCGATTTTACCATTCGAGGCAGTCTGAAAGGTCAGCTTCTAGTTGCATGATTATTAATGCGACAGTTACCATAAGTATTCCTCCAAGCAAGAAGATTAAACTCGCGAATATGATAGCCTTTTTGCGACCAAACTTCTCACCAAGAGGGAATGTGAGGAGGGCACCTAAAATGGTATTAGGACGATTCACTTTCTAAGAGTACCATTACTCCATACCGAAGAATGTCCCAGCCTGGAACGTGGAAACAATGTTTCCCTGAAGCGTATCCCGTTGGTGCTGAGTTGCTTTGTTAAGGCCAAAATCCCTCTTGAAGGAATCCAGAGCCACCGCATAATTATAAGCCTGGAACTCTAGAGACGAGAGTTATTCAACTTACTTGTACCACCTATAACAGATGTATCGTAACCCACTGCAATGCACGTCAATCACACCTACAAAGACCAAGGTGGAAGGAAGGTAAGAGTCACATACTAGCAACGGAACCCATAGACGCAATAATAGCGATCATATGAATCCTCCAATTCCTCACCGCAGGCGGATCATCGGTATTGTTGGCATGTAAAGCGAAACCCATCTTCGTCGACTTCAGAACTGATAGTGGTTTTGGGACGGGCAAGTTCAAGATGCTCTTGGCACTAGAAAAAGAAAATGGCAGCGCGAATATGTACCAAGGCGTGTTGAGAGATGTAGCAGTCACCAATAATGCACGCGACAACCCATCATTTATAGAACATAGCTGAGGGGTTATTGTTTAGTTTTAGCAAGTGTCTACCCCACCCCACTCCATCATTTTCCACGTTTGTTGAGGTGAAATCCGGGGTGAAATCCGGGGTAGGAGGAGGGGAAGGATGAGAATTGCGGTAGATGGTACGATGGAGGAAGTGCTAGGGCACAGGGGGTGTGGGGATGTGGGGATGTAGGGGTGTAGGGATTGAGGGATGTAGGCAAGGACAAAAGCGGAGTAGGAGCTGCGTGGAAGCGCAGCAAACCGTCAACTAACAGCGGCAACGCTCTACACCAAGGAAAACGGAACCTCGTGGCATTTTTTTGTGGGGATCTCTGCCGCCATAGAGTACCTAGGGTGCCTCTGTAGCGTCCTTTGATCTTTCCAAGATAAAGTCAGGACCCTAAAGTGAGGGGTTTTCAAATTTGTACTACGACAAACGACTCTAGAGGTAGTCTATACGGAAGATCGATAGAGACTGGATGTAATGGATAATTACATAATATGTTCTGGTCACATGACACGTCTATAAGACCCAGTGCACATCGATTTTGTTGTGTTGTTTATGTCTGCGGTGTAAGCTGCTGTCGAAAAAGAAACTGTGCCCTGTCAATCTTCGAGGCAAATGGCGGAGTGTACCGGAACTTTCACCTGGCACGAAAACCTTATTTGCGCCAGATTCGTCCTTAGCTTATAGAATACCCTGCCGTGGCAGCCACCTGCATAAAGAAGTCGCCGTGGCAGAAAAATCGGAGAACGCCAGGTACAGAAAGTGGGGAACGGAGTTGCTCCGCGCTTAGCTGGACTCGACTCGAACGTTTCGTTAGGAGTTAGCGCGGCTGGGAAGTCGGAGAACGCAGGGAAAAGAAAGTGGGAACGGAGTTGCTCCGCGCTTGGCTAGTAACATCTCAAGGGTTTCGTTGCTCCTAGTTGGGAAAGCTTTAGGCGGTGGCTGGCGATCATGGAGTACTCCGTGGCGTGTGCTGTACTATGTTGCGTGTACGGCACGGAGCAAGGCTAATACCCATCTGAGCCTTACTTCCTGGCCGACGTTGTCGGCATCCAAGCCAATCCGACCAAGCTTTCACGGGGCCTAATCTTCTCAGATGTGAGGATTTTGATTTCTGCACAGCCTCCATGTTGGCTCTTATATACCAACAGCCTGAGGGCTTATGCCTTCCTGATCATTCTGCTTCGCATCATCATCCCTTACTTGCTTATCTCAGGAAGACAAGATGCTATCAGTACCAAAATTACAGGTGCGCAATCAAGTGAGTCGCAAGTCTTTTTCTACTGAAAACACCTGGTTTTTTCTAACAGATCTTTAGGAGGGTAGTGCAGACACAGACGAGATATCCCTCACAACAACACGGCATTCTCGGTCTGCATCAGCCGTATCCGGCTCATCCTTCCTCAGCCTTCCCGCAACGCCTAGCGGAGTTAGCAATGCCTCAACATTAGCATTTGAAAACATCGAAAATGCATTACAACCTGACCTAGGCACTGAGCAAGACTTTAAAGTCGACGACAACTGCTTCGCATACAGTCCAGGACAGTTGAATAAACTATTGAATCCAAAATCCCTCCCGGCCTTTGTTGCCCTCGGCGGCCTTTCCGGCCTAGCGCAGGGTTTAAGAACGGATATATACGCCGGATTAAGTGCCGATGAGACTTGCCTCGAAGGAAAGGTTTCTTTCGAAGAGGCTGTGGGCTATCGATCAAAGGTTCGCGATTACGGGGATTCGTCATCATCACAAGCAGTTGCTGTTCGCGGAAGTTCTTCGGATCCGTTTTACGACCGCGTCAGAGTTTACGGCCAGAACAAGATTCCAGGGAAGAAGGCTACTCCATTATGGAAACTCATGTGGATCGCATACAACGACGCGGTACTACTGCTGCTGACTGCGGCTGCAGTTATCAGTTTGGCACTTGGGTTATACGAAACGTTTGGTGCGAAGCACGAACCTGGAGCCCCTGCACCTGTCGACTGGGTTGAGGGTGTGGCAATCTGCGTTGCGATTGTTATCGTTGTGATGGTTGGAAGTCTGAATGATTGGCAGAAGGAGCGCGCGTTCGTTAAGTTGAATGCGAAGAAAGATGATAGGGAGGTGAAGGTCGTTCGCTCTGGGAGATCATTCATGGCCAACGTTCACGATATCTTGGCAGGAGACGTTCTCCACCTCGAAGTAAGATTCCTTGGATCTCACAACTAGAATTCAACTAACTCCTCCCAGCCTGGAGATATGATTCCCGTGGACGGCATCTTCATTAGTGGCCACAATGTCAAGTGCGACGAATCATCTGCTACAGGAGAATCGGATCAGATCAAGAAGACAGGGGGCGAGCAAGTCATGAGGCTATTGGAAAATGGCCACACGGACATGAAAAATTTGGATCCATTTATTATCTCCGGAGCCAAGGTTCTAGAAGGTGTCGGCACTTATCTCGTTACTTCAGTCGGGCCCAACTCCAGTTTTGGCAAGATTATGATCTCTATGAGAACTGATCCCGAGACCACCCCTCTTCAAGTCAAGCTCAACGGCCTCGCCACTGCCATTGCTAAACTTGGCTCTGCCGCCGCCGCTCTCTTGTTCTTCGTTCTCCTGTTCCGATTCTGTGCCGGCCTACCAGAGGACAGTCGCCCAGCTCCCGAGAAAGCTTCAACTTTCATGGATATTCTCATTGTCGCCATCACGGTTATTGTTGTGGCAGTTCCAGAAGGTCTTCCTCTTGCCGTCACTCTCGCTCTAGCATTCGCAACTACTCGTCTTCTGAAGGAGAACAACTTGGTCAGAATTTTGAAGTCTTGTGAGGTCATGGGAAATGCCACTACAATTTGCTCCGACAAGACTGGTACTCTCACAACCAACAGAATGACAGTCGTTGCTGGCCTTTTCGGTAAAAACGAAAGCTTCGAGAACAATGAATGCGCACAATTTGTTCAAGTAGTTTCTAAGGATATGAAGGGATTCCTCATAAAATCCATCGCGATTAACTCCACTGCTTTCGAAAGTCAAGGTGACAGTGATGAAGGATTCATTGGCTCAAAAACAGAAGTCGCCCTCCTCGAATTTGCCAAGGTTCATCTCGGAATGGACTCATTGTCCAATGAACGCGCCAACGCCGAAGTGGTTCAATTTTTTCCATTTGATTCCTCCAAGAAGTGTATGGGTGCGGTCATTAAGATTCCAAAGCAAGGTTATCGAATGTTTGTCAAGGGTGCTTCTGAGATCCTTCTCAAAGAATGTGCTTCTATTACCGATGTCAAAACTGGAGAATTATTGAATATCACATCTAAGATGCGAGAAGAGATTGAATCCACAATTTCGTCTTATGCAAAGAAGTCTCTCCGCACAATTGGTCTATGCTACAGAGATTTCCCATCCTGGCCTCCAGCTGGCACTAAAACACCAGCCGATCCTCACTCCGCTGAATTTAAACCCGTTCTCAAGGATATGATCCTCAATGGTGTCGTCGGTATCATGGATCCAGTCCGTGATGGTGTCCCAGACGCCGTCGCCAAGTGCCAACTCGCTGGTGTCAAAGTCCGTATGGTAACAGGTGATAATATTGAAACCGCACGTGCCATCGCCGTCGACTGTGGTATTCTCCGGAATGAGGACGAGATCATCATGGAAGGCCCTGATTTCCGCAAACTCAACGACGATGAACTACTCAATATTTTACCACGTCTTGCTGTCCTTGCCCGTTCATCTCCCACGGATAAACAGGTCCTTGTTCAGAAGCTTAAGGCTTTAGGCGATACTGTGGCCGTTACTGGTGATGGAACTAATGATGGTCCTGCACTTAAGGCTGCCGATGTTGGCTTTTCCATGGGTATTTCTGGCACTGAAGTTGCTAAGGAGGCCTCTTCTATCGTTCTTATGGATGACAACTTTGCCTCTATCGTCAAGGCCCTGATGTGGGGCCGCGCTGTCAACGACGCCGTCAGCAAGTTCCTCCAGGTAAGTTGCACAGCTCTCTTTCTTGATTTTAACTGACCATCTCGTCTCATAGTTCCAAATCACCGTAAACATTACTGCGGTACTTCTGACTTTTGTCTCTGCTGTCTCCAGTCCAGACATGACTTCCGTCTTAACGGCCGTTCAGCTCCTATGGGTCAACTTGATCATGGATACATTCGCCGCCCTCGCCCTCGCCACTGACCCACCCACCCTGGATATCCTCGACCGCAAGCCTGCCGGAAAGAAGGCACCTTTGATTACCATCAATATGTGGAAAATGATCATTGGCCAAGCCATCTTCCAACTGACAGTCACATTCATCCTCTACTTTGCCGGCGAGAAAATCCTCGGGTACGACACTACTGATCCACAGAAGAAGCTGGAACTTTCCACAATGGTGTTTAATACCTTTGTCTGGATGCAAATCTTTAACGAATTTAACAACAGACGTCTGGACAACAAACTTAACATCTTCGCCGGTATCCAGCGCAACTACTTCTTCATCGGCATCAACTGCATCATGGTCGGGGCCCAAATTGCAATCGTTTTTGTCGGCGGACAGGCCTTCAACATCACGCCTATTGATGGTATCCAATGGGCTATTTGCATCGTTCTTGCCGCGCTCAGTTTGCCGATGGCGGTGCTAATCAGGTTCTTCCCGGACCCGTGGTTTGCGACGTTTGCGAAGGTTATCTGCGGCCCATTCGCCGTTGCATACAGAGCTTGTCGTCGTGTTTGGGGGGGATTGAAGGCCAAGCTGCCAAGGAGAACTAAGAACCGTGAGATGGAGACGGGTGACCAGCAGGGAGAAGAGAGAGAAGAAAGCGGTAATGACGTCGAGACTGTTCCTGAGATTGTTGTTGCTAGGGAGAAGGACTTGGAGATGGGTGCTAATAGAGTCTAATGGGTTTTCTTGTGATTACTCGGTTTTTTTTGTTATTGTTATAGAACTAGAAAAAAAAGAATGGGGGATAATAGAGGCATGGCGTTTTACAAGTATTATAGCATTATAGTACAGGTCCAGTTGATGTTTCTTTTAGGTCTCCTTTTAGCTAGACTTTCCTACTAAGTTTCAATTTATTCCCTAATAAACCTGACCCTGTTTAAGTTGACGCGCGTTTACACGCCGATGCTGATTAAATACATGGATCTCGTTGGTCTAAGGAAGCTGATATAAGATACTAAGTCTATGCCACAGTGTGGTTTTGACGAAGATCAGGGTATGGTTGATGGTTTACTGCTGACATTTGAAAGGTCTAAGTTAGGAAGCGTTGATGAATTGATCGCGTGACAAGCGGCTGAATCGTAGTTGTTGTAAACTAGTACTATCAGCCAAAGAACAACGCGTAGGGGACCATAAGGGCTTTCAGTCCAACCTAGTCAGACATTACCTTCTTTTCTTCTCTTAGCCTCTAATAGCCTTTACTCTACCCGCAGACCATAGCAATAAAGGATATTAAAACGACTATTTAAGTGCCTAAGGTGGCGGAAACGGTGCCTAAAATATAGATAGGCTTCTTTGAAAATAGTGAGCAGTAGATCAACATATGTCGCGACTGTCGTTTAGGGAATTTGCAACAACAGTCCCTACATATTATGTAGAAGTCATATGTTGTTACCTTTAAGTTATGCCTCAAGTATTTATCTCGTCTACAGTAATTGATAAAAACGTTATTTTTATCAACTGAGGCTCGACTACTTGCTATAGTATCTGTAAATACCTATTTTACCTGTAGAAGATTCCGATTTTATAAAGCCTGATCTTAGCCCCACTGCATGAGTGTCATTGGCTGACTTATGCTAATATGGGGGGTTCCAAAGAGCGCGACTGACGCCAGTGCGGTTTAAATTTTTAGCTAATTATCTAAGAGGAGACTGCTCTCGCTGGGTGCTCGTCGAGGGATGGGTTCGGGTAAGTGTCGGCGTCAGGCTTTCTCTTCGTTGAGCTGGTGTTTTGAGTCGAATGGTGTTTACTGTAGTTTTCACCGTGCTGTCGTCTTGGGCCGACTGGCGTTTTAAGGAGACTTTTGTTTTCCCGGTGTATTCCTAGACTTATGAGTGGGCTGTCGTTTTGAGCCGCCTGGTGTTTTACCATGGTTTTGACCATGCCGTCGTTTTGGGCAGACTATCGCTTTGGGCCGACTGGTGTTTTCCTGGGGTTTTTCCTCTGTTTGGTTTAACCAGGCAGGCGCTTTGAGAGGACTAGTGTTTTCCTGGTGATTCCTTGGATTTATCCAGACTGGGCATTTTGGCCGAGTAAACTAGCTATTAGAAGACCGTTGGGCCTGGTTGACACCGTTGAAACAGGTGGTTATATCCATAGTGTGCTCACCTGAACGAATATCCAACCCCTGAGTTTCCATCGAGCTTTCCGGATACCCCACATCTCACACCCACTGATCACAATCACGAACACAAGCACAAATCACACATCACCATCACCAACAAAGACAAGACACATTCCGAACCAAATCCTCATAGATATTTACGTAAAGCTCATAAGCTCATAAACTACGTACCAGCAAGCTGGACCATATCTTTATCCCCCACCCCACAATTCAAAAACGCCATTCCCATGCCCACCACCACACTTTAAATTTCTTATTTCCTATCACACCCACCACCCATCTATTTCGCCACCGCAGCACTCAGCACCTGTGTCCTGAAGAAGCCACCCTTAGTCCTCTCAATGACCTGCTGATACACGCTGCTCGGCGGGTGGTTCATCACAACCGTGCCCTCCTTATAATCGATCTTGGCATCAACACGCGTATCACGAATGAGGTTAACGATCCACTTCTCGCCCTCGTCCTGGTCGAGCCCCAGACGCGCCGAGAGGTCCTTAATATCAATCCTCTGATGAATCTTGCAGTAGCTCTCCGAGATCAGGTGGCGCGCGGCCTCCACAAACGCATCGGACGCAGCGACGAGGAAGAAGTCCCCGCGAAGTACCTCCTCCGCCTCGATGAGCTTGCGCTGGGCCTCCTCGAAGTCAAAGTCCACGTACAGCGCCTTGATGAAGTCGGTGACCGGGTCGCTGTACTCGTACGTCTCCTGCTTGACGATGCGGATGATGTCCTTGAGCTGCTTCTGGTACTGGCCCGTGTTGCGCGTGCGGCTGCGGTTGGTGATGACCGCTGCGGCGAGGTAGCGGAGGACCCAGGGGCAGGCGGTCTGGATGGTGTTGATGAAGGGCGCGGAGAAGAAGAGGTCGCAGATTGTGTCGCGCGCGGGCTCGTAGTTGAAGAAGGGGAAGAGAGCCCAGTGGATTAGCCACGCGCGGTGGTTGAGCTGCGCGAGCGGGTTGGCGAAGAGCTTGGTGTCGATGGAGTCTTTGACTTTGGTGACTTCCTCCATGGCGGACTCCCAGTTGGTGGTCAGGATCTCGGAGGCGAGCTTTCCCCAAGTGGCGGCGGAGACCTTGGTCTCGTCGGTGGAGAGGACACGGAACTGGTAGAGCAGCTCGGCGGCGGCACCGTAGTTACCACAGCTGTACTGGAAGTTACCGAAGTCGTAAAGCACGTCGACCATCTCGGGGGTGACCTATTATCGACGCGTTAGCAAGTCCATCCATCCAAAACTCGTCGACGAAAAAAATTATGTCGCGGGGCCAAAAACACATACCTCATGCTCCTTCTTCAAGTACTCCAAGTTAGCCACCTTATCCGCCCTCAAATTCGTAATAACATCCTCCCTCCCCAACAAATCCGTAATCGCCGCCGACTCCTGCTCAAACTGATCCAACCTCTCCAGCACGGCCTGCCTCTTCGCGCCAAACTCCTTCGGCGGCTCCGCCACATCGTTGATCTCAGTATACAAGCTCGCCACATAATCCGTCATATTCGTCGTCTTCAACAACTCGTACTTCGCCCTCGTGATCTCCTGGCTATCCTCCTCATCCTCCTGCTGCTCGGCCACGAACTGTAGTAGGGGGAAAATAAGATGGCGATCCAGGTGCGTGATCAGCTTGGGAAGAAGGTTGTTCTCCTCGCTGATCTGCTCAGCTGTCTTGGCTGGCGCAGGCGCGCTCGCTGTGTCCGCCATGATTGCGGTTTTTTGCGAGTTTTCTTGACGTGGTGGTTGAGGTAGACCTTGGCCGGGGGGAGGTCGTCGTGCGTGGGGTGAGGAAGTGGATGGGAAAGATTGTGTGCGCCAAGACTTTGCGGATTAAGCGTGGTCCCGAAAAACTGGCGCTAAGCCTTTTCGGGTGCAGCGTCGCGAAATGTAACGACGGAAAGTTGAGCGAGCGAGCTGGGGATAGTTACGAGAAGGGTGAATAAACGCAGCGAGCAGCAACAGTCACTCATTTTTTTGATATTCACAATGGCACTCGCATCCCTCCGCCCAGCGGCATACATGTCCTTCCTCCGCCCCCTCGCCCTCCCCCGCGCCGCAACCCTCACGCGCTTCCTCTCCACCAGCCCTGCCGTCCAATCCAGCACCGAAGCCACGACCACGACCTCCTCCTCCACGACCTCCTCCCAGAGCCTCGAGTACCGCGTCTCTCGCACTCCCTCGGCACAGCTACCCATCTACCTCCTCGCTAAGCGCGGCGGGAACCTGAAGCAGACGAGGGTGAAGAAGATTGAGGGGAATATTGCGCAGTTGAGGGAGGATCTGAAGGTTGCGTTGGGGATTGAGGAGGATAGGGAGATTCAGGTGAATCATTTGACGAGGCATATTATTGTTAAGGTATGTTTTTGGCCGTTGCTGGTTTCCTTGTTCTGTGGGAGTAAAGGAGGGGGGGGTTGAATTGGATCTGGGAGCATGGCTAACATTTTGAATAGGGACACCGCAAACCGGAGGTTGCCAAGTTTCTGGAGGAGCATAAGTTTTAAGAGAAGGACAGAGAGAGGAGTCATAGAGTGAGAGAGTGAGGGGGGGAGAGAGAGGAGGAGGAAGAACTGTATTACAAAAATGGAGTGTATATTATAAGGCCATCATCACGAGCAGTTTACCAGCGCATATATGTATAAAAAGCCAGAGAAAGAATCAAACCAGATCAGACCATTCAATCTCACCATCGTGAAAACCCCCCCCCAACATCCAAACATAAAAAAGGACATCACCAGATACCTCGAAGCAGCACCAGCCCACTTCCTCCTCCACAAAGATCAACTCTTACGTGCGAGACTTCGCAGCCTGCGCCACCGCCGCCAGCCAGTTGCCGGGGATAAACCAAACTGAACCATGCGTCTCGGCCACGGCATTCGAGAGGAGACAGGTGAGAAGAAAGTAGCAACAGCGACAGCGACAACAGCACTCCCATCGGTGAGAAGACAGCAGCAGCGACAACAGCACTCAACCAGCAGCAAGAACCTCCCATCGACAACAACACCCACCGCCAACAACAGCACCCACCAAGCACCCCAACAACACCCCCCCCCCCAAGTCCCACAGCTTCAAAGACATCCCTCTACTAGTCCCGGATGCATTCGTAAATGGTGATGATGCTAAACCCAACTTCAGAGATCCCACGCGCGATTGGGCTGTTCATGCTATCATGGGTGGGTTATATAGAAGACGTTCACTACGCATAGTCATAGTTCAATCACACACACAAAGACTCAACATCATGCAAAGTAAACTATAAAAAATTCATCAAAACCATCTTCATTCACAAAAACATCTATATACAACCCTTCTCCCCCCCCCCCCCTCC